TATGGAAAGTCAACACAGAGGAAACCGTTGCAATAGCTAATCAAGACATGCATCGTCCGGAGAAACAATCTCAACTTAAAAAAGAAAAGCAAAAGAAAAACAGGCACGACACTGGCCGTTGAGATGTCGCAAACGCACGATGTAGGTCGAGACATCCTTCGCTTGCTCAATTAGGTGTTATCATTAAACTATTTGCCTCCCAAGCCTTCTCTGCATCGACATGCCAATGCGTTCTAAATGTTTTCCAACGCTCCTGCTGCGATGTGTATGATACAAATCCCCAGCTGTATCCCAGCTTCTCGGCCGTAGAGATCGTAAAGGTAGGTGGTAGCCAGGTGGTAGTGCTTCCGCGCCGACAGCCTTGGCGTTTCTCGATAGACTGCACGACGGTGATTCTACCGGTTCCATAGCCCGACCGACCGAAAAAAAAAAAAAACTTACGTGAATCAAGGTTTGCAAGTTTGCCCCTCATGTTCGCTGTCATCTCCTGCGCGATATATTGCAGAACAATGATCTGTACGGGAACTCCCCCGGGGTGAAGGGAAGGTCCTCGAGGATCGACCATGCTGTGCGAGTATGGTGGCCAGCTTCAAGGTTAGATGCAGGCTGGCAATATATGCTGCACTAAACAACATAGCCCAATCAATTGCATGTTCCGAAAAGCGACTGGCAGCCTGTTCCGCAGTGCGTCGCAGAGTTGCCACTGAAATTGTCTCATCAGTATGTCGACTTATTGCGAATAATTGCTACCGATGGAGCAGGCGCGAAGATAACCGTAAATGGAGAGAAATGATAGAAACATACCAGTATCCATATTGAGAACAGCACGTTTTTGTGCCGTAATTCTTGCAAGTGGCACTCCATTGAGTTCCGCAGAGACCATTGGAGGATTCGCTCACAGCCGAAGACTGGGGCGAGCAAGATCCAAAGCCCGGCTGGCAGCCCGTTCCGCAGTATGTGAGGCTTGAGCCGCTGTGGTAAGGGGAAGTTGTCAGCCTCATCATTCAAGGCGTCAAAGGCGTCCAAAGACTTACCAGAATCCATAGTAGGAGCAGCAGTTGCCAAACGCTGAGTTGAGGCACGTGTAACCACTGGCGCCACCGCAGGTCTGGTCTGGTGACACATTCGTCGAAGCAGGCGCACTTGACGACGATGTGCGAGTTGCTATGGTGGTGGATGCTGTGCTAGACGTGGCTCTGGTCTGTGACGACAAAAAAGGCGTTGAGGTTGCGGAAGTGGGCACGGAGGTTGTCGTCGTCGTCCTCGTCGTGCCAGGTGCGACGCCGGAGCTAAGAGCGCCACCCGCAGACCGGTACCAATTTTCTCTGGGATCATTGAGACACTCTCCCACGGTCACAAGACGATATCCACGGGCCTTGGCAGTGTCAATCATGAACTGTGTCAGGTTGACCACGGTCTGATAGTGGACATCATGGGACAGCTCGATGTAGCTGTTTGCTGCCGCGTTTGTCGAGATGCCATTGGAGAAGCGGTCCTTGGCGGTCTGAATCTCCTCAGGCGAATCATACATGTAGTCCTTAGTGTCGATATTGACGTTGATGATATGGTAACCGAGTGTCTTGAGCAGGTTCTGGCACCCTGAGCCGGCGTCGCATTCAAGGAACGGCGGGCGCATGTAAGTGGGAATCCAGCCAAACAAGTTCCGGAAGGACATCTCATTATAGATGATTTCGGTTCTTTGAATGGTGCTGTTGACCTCGTTCAAGTTGCGGTGGGTCCAGGTATGGCTTGCAATGTGGTGGCCAGCGGCATACATTCTTTGCATGATGGCCGGCCAAGGCGTATCGGGGTTGTCCATCCGGTTCTTGCCAATGTTGTTGCCGGCGACAAAGAAGGTGGCGGTGACGTTCTGGGCCTCGAGGATGTTAAGCAGGTTGGAGGTGTAGATGTAAGGGCCATCATCATAGGTTAGTGCTAAGGTCCCTGGGTTGGCACAAGTTGTAATAATTGAGCCTAGATTGGGATGCAAGTTAGGTCTGTCTCACGATGCATAGGCAGATGAACACACCATAAGGCACGGAGCCCACGAGGGGCCGCGCGATACTCTCCGTGCTAGCACCAGGTGGCGGAAAGCTGTCGAGTCTTGGTTAGCATTGTGCGGCATAGTCAAGTCTCCGACCGACGGTCGACTTACAAGGTATCGCAAGAATCGCTGTATGCAAGTTGGCATTGCGAGCCGCCGCAATAATCTGCCGTCGTTCCACACCAGCCGGCTTCTGAGCAACACTGTCCCGGATCACAGGACCCGATTCCGGGTCCGCACTCGGCGCGCTTCCTCAGGGGAGCTTTTATAGTGGCGGCCATGGCCGCCCCTGAAAGGAGAATAGGTAGAAGCCCATGCATGGCTAGAGAAAATGAAGCAGTCTGCGACGCAACGAGGGTATGATTCCGACCGATCGACGCTGCGGGCAAGATGGAGAAAAGGTTCCGGGATGGTTCAAAGAAGGCGAGGGGCGGTATTTACGAGAGATGTTCGAAGATAATGACTGGTCTTCGGGTTTACACTACGAAGATGGATATTGCTCCTCCAGACCTGCCAAGGGCGCCGTATTGATTCCAGTCCCCCAGGATTTATTGAGAAAGAGGACAAGAGGAGGATGGCTGATAGCATGTGACTTGGCAGCAGGATCAATGGCGCTGGCCAAGCGCATATAACAGCATTCTTCGAGTCGAAAGGTGGATGGAGTCAGACGGGAAAACGGCACTTGCAAAGTTAGGCTGGCGCCTTCAACCCTCTCGATACGAGGCAGCGCCCCGTTGAATCGTGGGCTAAGAGTCCAATATTCAGCATGCTAATACGTCCTTCAGATCGTTGGATCCATGGCTTTGGACCCAACTATTCGTATGTGACCCTCCAGCATGACTACATGCCAGACATTGACGCATAGGCTGTCGGCAGGTGGCATACGAGTTGCCGAGCCGCGAGAGCCGGGTCAGGTACGGGAACGTCGCGAGTTCTTAGAGATGAGCCATATGAGCATTCACCCGATCACGGCCCCGTCGTGCCCGACTAAAGGCTGGGATCGGCAGATATTGCTCGCGTACGAGGCCAGCCGTCCAACAGCGGGACGGCAACTGGTAGACAAGGTGTGCGTTGGCAGGCTAATGGTGAAAAGGAAATTTTTTCTCCCCATCTAGTATAAGATGGGCTGAGTGAGATCAAACATATTGATATTGGGCCCTTGCAGACTTGGAGCCGCGGAAGCTGGGCAAAAACACACCCAGTCAGACCAGGCTAAGTAGTATAGCCAGACAGACCGAAGATCCACTGCAGGTGTCCTGATGATAGATTGATGATGTGCTTTGTGAGAATAACAGGGGCATACCTAGAGGAGGATCAGAGACCAGGAGCTGGGAGGTGACTGGGGTTTGACCGCGAGCGACGAGATGCCCTCGAGCACTCCAGCACCCCCAGTTGTGGGCGGATAACCCCTGTCAATCCACAAATTCGCTTATCCGAGCATTCCAGAATGCCCACTGCGAAGCGGAGACTCGAGAGGCGGGGAGTCGATACGGTGAAGTACGTACCCGTCCCCGCCCTCGTCTCCCCTCAGATGAATATCCTCGTCCAAGTTCCGTGCCTAGCGCGATGTCCAACCAAGTCCAAGTAAACCGCGAGAACAGCTTTGAGCCCTCAAGCCCATGATTTCGGAGACCGAAACTCGAGGACCAGGATCCGTTGTCTATCAGTTGGTCGGTCTCCTTCGCCATCATATGTTGCCCATAAACAGCTGGTTGAGGAAAATAGCTGGTGCGATGATCGGAATCGACTGGCAAATTAACCGAATGGATGGGTTTGTGTTTCCCCAAGCCTGGTCAGGTTTGTCCTCTTGCGGGTGCGCCGGTCCTTGGCTGTCTCCGATGTTCTGGTAGTGAACCCGAGAGGTGAAGTCGTCGATGCCCGGCGTTGCTTTGCTCAGTGCCGCGTTCTCATCAGTAGGCTTTTCGTTCACTTCCACTACATCCTCCAAGCAGGCGGAGAACTTTCGGATCTTGGCCACCGAGAAATGCCAATATGCTCCAATATTTCCAGTGCTGTCAGCATCCTTCTCTCCGCACACCAACCTCTTCGGTAATAAGGTGGACGCTGAGTTGTATGTTTCTCGTCTCCATGGCAGTCGAAAATGCTCGTCAGCCTAAGCTCGTCGGGTTGTCGGTGTCATATCGGGTTGGACAAGGTCGTGAGGTGTAAATGATTGAGTAAAAGCTGCAGCCTCATCGACTAGACCTCCTCGTGTACCCAAAAGACTGAGGACGCACAAGTCACCCGACTGAAGCGGTGCGATCATGGCTGGGGCCAATGACATACCCAACCTCACACAAAGAGTGAGATGCACCTCGTCTTCTTTGCATTGCTGGCAGAACTTGGCGCCAACCTGGCAGGGCTGCGACTCCAATATCCGTCCCTAACCCGCTCGTGGTGCCTCTCCAGTTCTATAATTACATTGCATCTTGCATTTGCAGCGCAATGGCACCAGCGAAGAAACTTGTGCCATCCCATCTTTTGGTTAGCCAGCGTGATGCGAGGGTACGAAGTCCCACCAATCATGCCGATATCGAGGGCACACCCTGAGTACGATGGCAAATCCCGTGCTCGGAACATTGGAAAAACTCTCCCAAGTCGCAGACAACTAGTCTGATGAATTCGCAGTGGCGGTACGCCATTGTCCGCGGACGTCGCGTTGGGCTTCTCGTGGTCGGGCCCGGTCGGCAAGTGTTGCGAGATCGTGGTGAGGAGACGACATGGTAGTCGTAGTCGCCCTCGTCGTCTCACTGTCGCATCCATATGGGAAGAGAAAGAGGGATTCCCGCATTTGGGGTCCCTTTTGATGAGAGCTGCCATCAGTTTGAAACAAGCCGAATGTTTGGTGATGCCATTCAGGTCGACAGTGTACGATCTGGCCCATCGATCAAAACCTCTCAGCGCCCCTTTCTGGGCAGAGCCTTGGCTTGTTTGAATGAAGCATCATGGCACGGATTCAGCCCGTCGGCTCGAGCCATGGGTTTGCCCCCTTACCACAAAAAAAGGAGGCGGGATGGCAAAAAACATCGTTTAGCACATCAGAATGTTGCCCCTGTTTGCTGTCAGGCAGAGGCCGCTGAGCTTGAGGGGTTGAGGGGCCCGAAGTTGAGCTGGGAGGAAGGCAGCGTGTGCAACGCAAGTGCTTTCTCCAAGGCGCCGCGCCGGTCCCTAGCCGAGAATGACGAGATGAAGGGGAGATCTTGGCGTGGATACTTTCTTCTTTTCTTCCTGAAAGAGCTTTAGAGAGAACGAATAGGGCAAAAGAGAGACGTCTTAGGGGAAGAGTCATCCACTGGCGTTGTTCTCCACCACGTGTATGCCGCCCAGTGCAAGGGGCCGTTTGTGGCTTGGAAGCTTGGATCGGTGTTGAACGGGCGGTTGATGGGGATGGTATCGTGGAGGACGGACCGGAAAGCCATTGATAGGCTCGCGCCCCTCGAAGCAAGGAACCTAGCTGATGAGGGGGGGCGGACGGGGATGAAAGTGATGATGGAGGTGGCGTGGGGAAAAGATTAGATGTGATGCAGTAACGGAGAGGACGAAGACAGAAGGAAACTGAGCCGGGGTGAGAGAGACCTCGCACTCATGCAATACCACGCATGACTTCCCGAGATGCAATAAAAGACTCTGCCCCATTGCGCTCCATTACACGAATGGAGACTAGCACGTAGCGGGGGCGGATCCGTCGCCCTCATGCCGCTGTGTTGCATATTGCATGACATATGCATATGTATATGCATTGGTACGCATCCATGGGGAGCTGACCGAAGGTTCCTTGTCTCGTTCCTCGCGCCAATCATTTTCTCCACAACGTATGCCTTTCTTTATATTGCTGTGCTTCGACACATAACGTCGTCTCATTCGACTTTGGACTCGATTCCAAGCTGCCAAGACAGTAGCTTTCGTCGACCTCTCCAAATGTGCATACGGGATACGGAGACCGAAGGAGCTTTCTGTGCGCCGCGCTCTGTCCGTACTCTGCAAGCAAGCCTCATCCTGGTTTTTTTTCAGCTTGCTTATACACCCCTTCTCGCCTTGTCGGACCCCTGTCAATACCCTCGCAAGCTTTCCGTCAAAGACGACCTCCAAGAACTTTTTTGGAATATCGCCAGAGAGGGAAAGGAATCTCTTCGGTGGAAGTCGTGGCCATACGTGATCGACGCGCCCAAGGCCGGTGGCCAAGCAAGCACGCCCTCGGCCTCGAGATGTGATGGTAACCCCAGATGGTAACCCCAGCGTAGACTTCGGCCATTTTCGATTCATCTCGATCCAGCAGTACCCTGGCCCGCCGCTTACGAACCCCGAATACGGCCATGCAGCAAGATTGTCATGTTCAAATTCCGCGTGCAGTTCCAAGAAAGCATACCTCCTCCAGGCCAGCCGAGCAGGCCGCAGCTGCCCACTCCCCAAAAATTGGTCCTCAGCAAATGTTGACGGGAGGCGTTCTGCATGACATCAAGCGTTGAAGGAGACCTCGGCGAGAGAGTGATGGGCAGACAGGGGAGATGAGTGTCTTTGCCTGCCTCATCCATCCGGGCTTGCCAGCTTGGCCATTCCAGGCTGGACAGTGTTTCTTGTAAGTGACGGGAGTCTGGACACAACCGGCCTGAGCAGAATTCTGCCATTGTCGTTCTGCTGATGCGATATTGCGCTATTGTTTCCTTCTCCGTGCAGCGTCGGCTTGCCGAAGCGCGCCTGTGGTCGTGGTTTCGCTCCGGAAGGTGGAACCTTCAGCCACCTTCATGCCGCTTTGCCATGGGCTGCTTTTGGACAAACTATTGCTGATGGTCGCCTGTTTGACTCCAAGTTCTGGCCTGCTCGGGAGCTAGCCTCGACCTGAAACTAACATGTCGTCTTCTTTCCGACTTTGATGTGTCCACGGCCCCGTCGCTATCCCCAGCAGTGTGCCGTCGGGCTGGCTTGAGAGAGCCTCACCACTCCCATGGCGTTTATGCCGTGTGCTGCAAACCAGACGTGGATCCCAATTAGGCCCAGCAACACCAAGCTTGATGCCATGTCTCAATCATCGCTTTGCTCTGGTGCTGCTATGGAGAGCGGCGGCCGCAACGGTTTGGTCTGGGCAACCTCGACAAAGCTGACACCAGGGACAGGGCCAGTATGAGTGGGCTGTCTCCTCTTCCTCCTGTCTCCTTTTGCCTGTCCATCATGTCAGTACCTCAGTCGGCAAGTCTTTTAAACTCCCATCTCCGTTCCTCTCACAAGGGCCTTTCTTCCTTCCTTCTCGTGCGCCCCTCTCTTCCACTCTTACGCCCTTTCCAAGAGCGATAGCCACTTGGCAGTATAGTCGACTTTTCCAAAGGCAGATATCAAAAAAGATCTTCTCCTTCGCCCTTCAAAAGTCTATTCAACCGCTCGTTTTCCAAAAGTCTTCATCGTCCATTTACACCCTCGTCCCATCGCGATGGATACCCAGATGCTCACTCCCGATACCCCGGAGCAGTCTCCGGCCTACCACACCGGTTATCCTTTTAACACCACGGAGAGCAAGTCCGAAAGATGGGATTTTCCTCATCATGGTTACTACCCTATCACGCCTCCCACGGAGGAGTGCGAGTCGGATGAGGAGCTCGCAACTGTTGCAAGCTCCATTGACCTCGAGGCGGAACCTTTGGTGGCCGTCATCGGCGTCGGATATGTTGGAGAGCACCTTGTTGGCAACTTTGCTCGCAAGTTCAACGTTCTCGGTTTCGATGTTTCTGAGGCACGCGTTCAGAGTCTTGGCCAGGAATTCGGCCCAGACAGCAAGGCCAGGTTCACTTGCAAACCTAGCGATATGGCGGCTGCCACCCACTTCCTCATCTCAGTCCCAACGCTGTTGCGCCCAGACCGGACTATTGATTCCTCCTTCTTGAGATCTGCTCTCAAGAACGTCGCCACATATGCTCGTCCCGGTTCAGTGGTTGTCGTCGAATCATCCGTCGCAGTCGGCATGACGAGAGAACTCCTTGGCCCCCTGGCGAAGGAGCGTCATCTCTTCGCCGGCATGTCCCCCGAGCGAGTTGACCCTGGCCGAGTTGAGCCACCCGCATTCGCCATTCCCAAGATCATTTCCGGCTTGGACGACATGGTTCCAGGCTCTCTCAATGCCATTGTTCGCCTGTACTCGCAGGTGTTTGACCATGTCGTCCCTGTATCTCGGCCTGAAGTCGCTGAGATGACCAAGTTGTACGAGAATTGCCAGCGTATGATGTGCATTGCGTTTGCAAACGAGATGGCCGATGCTTGTTTGGGCCACGGCGTTGACCCGTACGAGGTGTCCGGTGCGGCGGCGACCAAGCCCTTCGGATACATGCCATTTATGCCCAGTCTCGGTGTCGGTGGTCACTGCATTCCAGTCAACCCGTACTACCTTCTTTCAAACAGCCACTTTCCTCTCCTGCAACATGCAACGGAGAAGATGCGCGCTCGCCCCATGGCGATTGCTCAGCGTGCGGTCGACACTCTGTGCGCCGAGAAGCTCAGACCCAGCGTCCTCGTCGTGGGTATGGGCTTCAAAAAGGGCCAATCGCACTTGGCCAACTCTCCAGGTCTCGAGCTTGCAAAGAGCCTCGTGCTGACGGAGAAGGTTGGTGTCTGCTGGGTCGATCCGCTCGTCAAGCAGGAGTCCGTACCGCAGATTTCGCGCCTGGATGTCGAGGACTGGAACGCCAAGTCGCTAGAGCAGCGCTTCGACATGATCATTGTCGCTTTCAGGCAAACAGGGCTCGACTTTGGCGTTCTGGACCAGCTCGAGAAGACTCGTGTTGAGATGTGGTGCAACTAAGGCTTCGGCCAAGGTTTGCGGCTGTCTTGGGCTGACGGTGGCGCTTTCCTCAGTCATCACTCCCTCATATTCCTCACAATTTGCTTTTTCCTCTAATCAGAAATCAGTGGGATTTTCATCACTCACTTGGGCTTCTGGCGCATCCTTGTAGCGGCCTGTTGTTTGCGGTTGCTGTACAAGGGAGCAAACCGCAGGTTGAAACGCGCAGATGATGTTGACGACGGATGTAATACCTCGGATTTCCTTGTGCTTTTCCTTTCTCTCTTTCTCTCTCTTTCTCTCTCTGTCTCTCTCTGTCTCTCTCTGTCTCTCTCTGTCTCTCTCATCGAATGGTGTCCTGGCTATCATTTGTTCCCGAATCTGGTTTCTTTTTTTGGTAGATAAAACGGCCGTCGCGTTTTGACGATATCGGTTTCGAGCGTATTTACGGCCGTCCAAGATAGATGCGAGATACATATTCGAGGAATTCGTTCATGTTCCTTAATTTCGAGTCATATTTTTCAACACTCAGTCTATTCAACCTTGCTTGGTCGTGATTATCGTTTGCCGTGAATGAATCGTACCGTGGCCCGCGAGGGTGAGAGGATTGTCGTCGTTGTCGGGCGTAGCTCTGTATTAATCATTCGCGGCAACCAATCCCCCGGGAGATCCGTCGGGGAACACGGCACGACCTAACCGATCTGTCCTCCAAATGCATGCTTTACGCAACTCTCGATTGGGATACGAAGTCATCTTTGGCGGTGCCGAGCTGCCGAGAAAGTTCCCCATCCGCGATGGCACGGTGAGGTCTGGAAAAGGTTGCGGCGCGCCCTGCAAGACTAGCGACCCGGGCGATTGACATATCTGGCATCTGGCGCTGCGGTCCATCCATGGTTTATCAGTCTCAGAGACGTGCTGGCATGCCGCGCTTGTTTCCCCGTCCAATCCTCATATCGCGGTGCATTATCTATTGATATGCGCGACATCGGCAACCAGCCGGGGTCTGGACGTCTGGTTGGCAGCCCTGCCCACATCCCGCCGTCCATTATCTTTGTGACGAGATAAGAGGGTTGCTTTTTGGGTCTCTTTGGGATGGACCGTGGCGATAGTCTGGGAACGAGAGATGCAGGACGGCACAAATACGAGCATGATGCCAAAATCGAGCAGTGTGCGCTGGTCGAAGATGGTGTGAAGGGCGGTGAGCCAAAATGCAGTGCCCAAAAACAGATAGACGTCGAAGGAGAATGAGGTTAGGCGACGGGTTGCTCCTGTGCGATTCCGGGAAAGGTGCCGTTGCTCTCTCCCCCTCCTTTTGGTACCTGAATGCATTTGCGCACGGAGGAGATTTAAGAAAGCACGTATGGCAAAGTGGATGAGAGGGCATGAGTCTCGCTGTTTCAGTTGCCTCTCAGCGTCCGCATTGCGTGTGCCGGCGGGAGTCGGCGCCTGGAAGGCGTCGGCCACGCAGCGTCGCGGACCGCGGGCTCCTGTTTCTCGTACTGCTTCTCAAAGATGACGGTCACGCCGCGCCAAGAGCCGTCAAGCATCTGACAGCATGTAAAGTAAATGTATTGGCAAGGCCGGAACGGGTCAATGTGGCCTTGCTCAACTTCCATCAATCACCACTACACTAACTCCATCAATGGTCTCGTCGCAATGTAGCTGTCAACTCTCTACAATCAACACTCCAACTCGGAATAGCGCACTACCAGGGGCGCGGTCATGTTTTTATCTCCAAACTGAGACCAATGAGGTCTGCCGGTTTATGGAACGAACTTTGCATGTTCCCAGTTCATATCGCTCGGAGGGCGCGCATGCCATCCGGTCAGCGTTTGGGGCAATCAGTCATCTGATACCGCCCACTCAGTTACTTCGGATCTGGGGATTATTACTCTCCGGGGAAATACACCAACTTGAATTGGAAACTAATCCAAGTCTCGCGCAGTCGGTTCATTGGGTAAATGTTGAAGAGGCTACAGAAGTCAACGGTGAAACTGGTTGGCCTCATTGAGGATCCAAGAGTGAACGAGAGATTCTCTACGTGGTGGAAGTCAGAGAGTCATATGACGCTGGTCAAGCATGGCGAAGTCTGTCTAGGTGTGGCAACAACGACATGGTGAAGATGCTGTTCCAATTGCCGTAATCCAGAAGACATGGCAGGATGTTTAACACTGAATTTTTGTTTTCAGATGCTCCTCAGGTCAGGTTTGGTCAGTCAACCAAAGGACAAATCTCAGACGAATTGCTGTGTTTGAAAGACCTTCAGATAGAAGGAAAAGATGACGAGTCAGATACTATGTGTCAAGAGCAAGTTGAGTCCATGCCTAGACGAAAACCCCTAGTCCGGCGTCCCTCCAGAAAGCAAGCAAGGAGGATACATGCGGGACCAGTACAGTTCCTGGACGGAAGCGCGAATCTTCTCAAAACGTAGCAAGAAGCCACCCCGATCTCCCAAGTCCCCCATAGCCACCAGAGCCAAAGTCGCTATCCTCAAACTTGATTTCGCGCCGATGGGTTACGTCCCAATCTAGACGATATCTTCCAGCCCAATTCTTCTCGACAAAGCAAGAAAGAAGGATACACAGAGCTCGGTAGCTTTCGTACCGTTCGTGAATGGCAACGCAAACCTCATCAAATTGCCGCAACAGGCATAGAGCTGTTACCATCACCAAAGCTTCCAAAGCCTCCTCTGCGACGCGCACCGAAATCATCGGATTCAGAGTCATTCTCCCGACGCCGCTTCTTCGGTCCTGGGTGCTCATCTTCCGGATCTATATAACCAAGGAAGTCCAGGTCTGATACTTGCACAGCCTCCTCTCTGACACTGCCGTGAGCTCCCACATAAGCCTTGTGCTTGATATCGATGTTCAGGCCTTCATCATCTTCTTCCGGTATCGGCCCTGTCGTCGGTCCATTATTGCTTCCCTGAGGATTGCAATGCTCTGAAAAGGAGTCGGCAGAGCTGACGGAGCTGGCTGGGCTGGCGGAGCTGTTGGTAGAGGCGGCCGAGGGGCTGCCCTCCTCGGGCTCATCGTCGGAGTCAACGAAGAGTTCCCTCTACCACAGTTCCTGCTACTGGCCGTCAATTATTAGTGAGCAACACTCGCAAGAGATGAGAGGGTGAGAGAGGGCGGAAATGGGATTGCGATGATGGTTGGAGCAAGGGCAATGTAAGTGTACGATGAGGGATCAGGTAGACAAGCTCAAGATCGATGACTATTTTGGGGTGCAAGATCGAAGTGAAGCGACGAAATGACGTCTTTGAACGCAAAGAAGCAGCACAAAACCGGGAAAAAAAGAGGTAGGACTTACATCGATTGTAGACAGATATCGTGGGAAAAGAAGGCTGTTGTTATTGATTGTCTGGTTGGTGATATTGAGGCTCTTCCAGAAATGACTTGAAAGAATTTGCGTTCGTGTCTGGGTGGGAAGGAGAAAGAAAAGAATTCAAGATACCTCACCTGGAGGATTGCTCAAGGGACTCCCTCGTGGGGGTATCCGCATGTCGACTAAACAATCTGGGGCTTCAGTGCTCACGACGCTCATGGTATTTCAAGATGCCTTGGCCTAGTCCCTTGGCTGTTGAGCAATACTTAGGTTCTGTGATGTGGATGGGGCTCTTTGCATGGGGCGATGATTGAGAGCCCCTTACGCTATGTAACTTATCTGGCCCAGGGACACGGCTAGGGCATGATGATGTTCCTTTGAGGCATGAGGTAGAGCAAAAGAGAAGAGAAGCTCATGATCTGAGTTTGGTAAGACCTGTCGTCAGGGTTTGCTGCTTTTTTATTGTAGCAGCTTGTGTATTTAATCACCTTGTTAGATCTGCCATAGCCTGCCTGCTGAAGACCAAAAAGGTCAGTTGGGGCGCGTCAAAAAGACGTCTCGATGAATCTGACAAGGGCTCTCAGGATGATGGACATTCTCCTTTTCGAAGACGGCGCCTGCGATCTGTTTAGCGGAAAGACTGGTCTCGGCCAGGAACTCGAGGCCTCATCCGCCACAACTCAATCATAGATATGACAAGAAGATGTGTTGGCATTCATCATGAAGCCATCGTATTATTCCCTAGTTTCATTTTAATGTATACTGGTAGCGAAAGACTTCCGATGGACGGCGACGACATACTCACAGACACGGGGTCTGGAAAGATACCAGATGAGAGTCACAGAACATAGGAGTAGACCACAATGAAGATGACACGGAGATTAAGAACCATGTATTAAAAGCAACTGGCGTAACCAAAGGGTATTCGGCAACGGGTCCCTGCTCTAAGATGTACATTCTGACTTGAAACATGTCGCGCTCAGAAAAAGCAAGAACCATGGACACAAATTCGTACAAGACTTGTGGGAGGGAGTACTGCCGCTAACACAGTCCAACACAAGAGTCGAACAATCCGGCGGATGAAGAGAAAAGACCGGAACGCCAGTAGTGAAGAGATGCTCATATGCAAAGCCGATGCGTTCATGAAGAAAGGGTGCGGAGGAAGAGTAATTAGTCGCCAAGGGGCATGCCATCGAGCTCATCGAGGAGGCGGCGCCAGTTCTCGGCTAGCATCTCGGAGTACTTCACACGCTCCTGGGCCCAGTCCTGATTCCAGCGCGAGACGTGGAACTGGGTCGTCTGGAAGTAGATGAGTTCGTCGCGGATGCATTCCTTGACAAAGATGGATCGGTTGTGTTGATTGACGATGGACTCCTTGTCCTGCAGAGATTGTCAGTACTGTATCGAACGAGGAAAAAATATTTGACCTACCTTGAGAATCGACTCAACCACCTTCTCAATCTCACCCGGCTTGACCATGCCCTCAGGTTTGGTACGGAGACTGGCCAACTTCGTCTCATTGGTCTGGATCCTCCGCTCGAGGTAGGGAATATTGTCCTTGTCCAGACGTTCCCTACGGTCGAACAGGTCACGGATGCTCACGAGCGCGTCTCGCTGGCGCTTCAGGTCCTCCAACACGCCCTCGTCCCAAGCCTTGCTCTCATCTTCCAAAAGGGTCTGGCACGTTGTTAGATGTCTACTCATGGACGTCAGACCATCATTGAGTAGAGGCACATCGTTGGTGTCGCTGGCGTATGTGTCGGCGCTCGTTTCCGTCAGCGATGTCAGAGACATGGCGATACGAGCGTGGTCCGCTGCAACTCCCTCGCTGCGTTTGACCAGGCGGTCCATGGCGTTACAAATGTTAATGTACAGTTCGGCTGACCGTCGGATGCCGGAGCGCGTCTTATCAAACATGGCCTCGAGGGTAGACGGCAGGGAGTCCTCCAGATTGGGAGGCAGGGCACGTCCCGAAAATTCATCCTGGACGGAGATGGTGGCCTGCTTGCGCCATACAGCCAGTTCCTGATACTAACAATTAGCGAGACGCAGTGGGCCGGGACCATGAGACGCGGCTTACAGTCGGGACAGTGAGGAACATGATGGTGAGCTGCTCCTGGCTGAGAATGGGGTGCCGAACAAGGGCATTGAGAAACCTCGCCAGGCCTCTGCGGCGCTTTTCGATAAAGGCACCGTCATTGGAGAAGTGATTGCCGTTGACTGTCGACGTTAGCGGGGATCATGTAAAAGTTATAAACATGATAAAATGACATGGAGACTCACCAGCAACACGCTTAGGCGGCAGCAGAGGGAGGGCCCTGAACGGGTACCGCTTGTGCAGGCAGTCCAAAAGCCACACGAAGTCGCTGTACCGCCTTACAACCTTGCTACCACGCCGGACGCTCGCAACCTCGTAATTGTGATGTTGGAACATGAAAAGTCCTTCCTTCTCCGGCATCAAAGTAACGACGACGTTCTCCTCTACAGAACTGCCAGAACGACCACTCACGACGGGCCGCAGAGGAGGCACAGTCGCGGGATTCAAATTCGCGTCGCGTCCACCGCTCGCGCCACCAAAGGGACTTGTGATTTGGTTGCTGGGGGTGGGTTCGTTGAAGCCGCCTCCCGTGGTGTTGCCGTCAAAGTAACCACCCCATCCGCCACCTGGCGATGTGCCAGTGTTTACATCCTGACGCCCGGAGCCCCTCTCTGAATCGATGGCCGCAGTCGTGTAGGAAGACATGGTTCGGCCGGCGATGGCAGTGCTCGGCGACGTGCTGTAGTGGCCATTGCTGTTGCCGTTGCCATTTGCTGCAGGGCGCTGGGGGCTGACGCCGTTGGGTCTACCGGGGGGGTCGGCGATGGCGTGCGCGTGGCCCTTGTGTACATCGGGGGAGTTCCATGGGTCTTCGGGCTCTGGGAAGTCCATCGGAGGTCGGCGCAGAGTGCTGGGCTGAGGCGGCGGCGACGAGGGCGATGGGGTGTCTTGGACGGGAGTTGCAGGGGCTTGGGGAGGTTTGGCAGCAAGCTCGGAGACGGGAGGCATCACGGGAGCAGCAGTCAAGCCGGCGAGCTTGGGAAGTGGGAGATCTGGATTAGTGTATTGGCAATTAGCAGGGAACCCCACACAGATTGCGCGCACTGATAAGTGGTAGCAAGGTACGAACGAGGGATAGCTACGAGGGTCGATAGCTCAGCTCGGCGGACAGGGTGCCGAGGTCATGACATAACAAGGTGGATGCTGATGGTGATGGTGATGGGGATGGAAAAAGATTGGGAAAATGGACTCACTTCTGCGTCGCTCGTCGACGGTGTCGAGGCTGATATGCTCGCCCTCCTGTGACAGGGCAATGAGAGCCAGCAGGACGTTGAACTCGCCGCGTCCTACGGCAATGTCGCCACCTGCAGCTGGCACAACCATGGACATGATCTGCGCCTGCTGGTCAGCTCCCAGGCGCGCAGCGGCAAACAGCTTGGCTATGCCGCCGGCGTTGACGCGCCCTCCACTACCATCTTCGCGCACGACCGTGTCAAAGGTCTCGATGTAGGTCTCGGGCACATCGGAGGCAGATAGGAGATTCCGGATGACATCGGCGCGCGACTGCTTCTTCCTCGGGGTGGGCATGTCCCACGGCGAGCTCTCGGCTCCGGCGATGTCGTCGTCGGTAAAGAGCGAGTTGGAGCCGGACTTGGACATGGAGCCTTCGTCGAACAGCGATCGCGAGGGTGCAGCAGAGGTGTTTGAGGGCGAATCCGCCGGCGGTGATGAACCGAAGAGGGACATTATAGGCAATTATGTACTGGCTGCCGATTGCGATTGGGAGGGATGCGAGAGGAGGGTGGTAACGAGTTCCAACGTCGTCGAGGTAGTACTGGAATCTGGCTGGCAGTACTCTGGAGGCCAATTGACCTTCCCTGGATGGATTGGAAGGGCTGCTGGTCGGAGAAGTGCGCTATCCAACGCAAGACACAGAGCGAGAGGCCTCGTAATTGATGCGTAATGGGGGACTTGAAGGACCACGGGCGGGTTGCAGTGGGACGAGATAAGAGAGCAAAGGTGTCCAAGGTGCAGACGGAGTAAGCTTGCGGCTTGCCGAGTACCTCAGGTACCAAAATAAAGTAGGAGCGATCCAAGGCCAAGGCCAACGTCAATGTATCGCAGTAACAGAGAGCTCGAGGTCGATAAGGTGTGGGAGAGCTGCGTCGAGTCGAGTACCTTACAAACACCAACAGGGAAAAGCCGATGATGAAAGGAAGACCGGGGGGGAGGAGTGATGATGCGACAGGCCGCGACAATGGAAGTCCACGCAGCGCCGGTTGACGATGTTACGTACGTACACACAACAGACTGTGCAGCAGCAGAAGCAGAAAAGAAACTCTGCATACAATAAACGAGAAAGGAAAGAATCCAAGACGAAAAGCTTGAAACTTTTTCTCTCCAACCTGGAGGCAAAGCTGGGGCCAAGACTGGAAGCTTGAGACACATCGAGACGGGCCGTGGGCTGCGAGGGACTTGGGATTTTGGAGGGATTCGTCCAGTCTGGGTTGCACGCAGCCTGAATCCCATTGTCCGCCTGTGCCTGAACCAGGGACGGAGCCAGGACTGAACCAGGAGACCACGCTATTGCGGAGCAAATAGTCCCTGTCGTAGGTCAATGTCAATCCATTTAGAGGGGCGCTGGGCTGCCAGCCTGCCGCCATGGAAGCTTCAGGCGCGAGCACCCGACCTGACGCAAGTCATGGCACTCAGTGGGGGGCTAAGGTACCTACCTGCCTTACCTTACTATGTACAGCCTACAGCCTGAGGCAATTACAGGCTTAACAGATACAGTACCCCCAGCACTAGCCACACCACCTCGATAAGCCCATCAGCCACTTGTTCTGTGGCTTATGCCTCAGGCCAAGGATTTCGGTCTTTCTTCGCGTGAACCCGCCGACCCGCGACCTGCGACCGGGCCACCTGCAGCAGCTTCCCGTGAGTGAGGCTCCATTGGAAATTTTGGAGGACTGAACCTGGAATCTTGGGCGTGCCGCTGTTCATCGTCACCACCACCACAACCACCACATCCACACTCACAATGCCGCCACGGATAGTATCGCCGTTGCATGTCTCGACATGCTGTAGCCGCGCCCTGCATCCGTCCACGAACCCCCCGAGCCTCGTCTCCCTCTTCGCCGGCCTGTCCATCGGCACCCGCAATGCCTCCATCCTCGCCAGCCTAAGCGACAACAAGGGAGCGTACAACAAGCGCATCAGACTTGGTCGTGGCCCCTCCGCCGGCAAGGGCAAGACATCTGGAAGAGGCCACAAAGGTCAAGGACAGCATGGTCACGTCAAGCCGTGGTTCCAGGGTGGCCAAACGCCCTTGATCGTCCAAAGGGGAACCAAGGGTTTCGACAACAAGTAGGTGCATTCTTCCGGGCATACACGCCAATGGCTTGTTTCTCGAACAGCATCTGACTTCCGAATGCAGGCGTGCCCCCGTCATGTCCAAATTGAACCTCGACAAGCTCCAAGAATGGATCGATGCCGGCCGACTGGACCCCACCAAGCAAATCACTGTCAAGGAGATCATCGAGTCGGGCCTCATCGGCAGCGTCAAGGACGGCATCAAGCTCCTCGGCCGCGGCAAGCAAGACCTGCGTCAGCCCATCGACATCATGATCTCCCGCGCCTCTGCCTCCGCCATCGACGCCGTCGAGGGCACCGGCGGCAAGGTCCTCACCAGATTCTACACCAAGCAGTCCATCAAGCGCATCCTCCGCGGGGAGAGTCAGAACACGGACAAGCCCCTGCCTGTCGGTAAGGAGTACGTCGAGAGCGTACTCTCCGAGGCCCGCAAGAAGACGTTCGTCTACAGGTTGCCCGACCCCACGAGCCGTGAGGACATTGAGTATTATCGCGACCCCGCTCACCGCGGATATCTCAGCCACCTGCTCAAGGAGGGCGAGTCGCCCAGTTTGTACTTCAAGGTTCCGATTGCAAGGAAGCGCGTCGATAACGCTGCCAAGGAGGCGCGCAAGGAGACCAAGAAGGTTACCCGCGATGATGTCCTCTGGTAGATGCGGGAGACGGCGTTGTGTAGAGGAGACTAAACCAGACGAAAAATGTACCATTACTTTCCGGCGATTTGTATATACACACATTGTATACTACCCCCCCAAGCTCAAAAGCTGGGCCTGTTTTTCACAATCGCCATTCTCCGTCCGATGTTTGAGCGGAAGCAACTAGTCTAGCCTCATATCTGGGGATACAGGCTTGCGGAGGCAACGGGAAGCAGAGTTCGGCCCTACTCTTACATTGCTGACATGCTGAGAACTATCCTGCATAGGCCGCGTGTAGATCTTGCTCATCTAGCCGATTGTCGGGGAAAGATTTGGCTTCGAGGGGGCGCAGACTACATCGAGAGCGGATCCGTGTCGATGGCTTTGGTGCCGGCGGGTGCTCCTACTGTTGGATGGTCAACTCCCATGCGGGGAGCATGAAGAACTGGCGTTTGGTGTTGTTCGACCATCCCTGTTTGCCAGAGTCAATTCGACAAAGTTTTGGACTAGACAAACCTTTGGACTGGATGACGTCTGGTCCGACCATTCACATGCGTGTTCGTTTCTGGGGGACATTTAAGTAGCTGAGGATGGAACGAAAACATTAGGTAGCGCAGCCTGAACTCCTCCATTTTCACTGAGATTACTTCCCCACTAGGTACTTCCTCCTTCAATCAGTTTACTATGGACTCTCTTGGGTTTCTTCAGACCACCGGACTCTTCGCCCTCCTCAGCGTGGCATATAAACTCGCATGGCCCTTCTTCCCCCTTTTCCGCAAATGCAAGCTCCAACGATACCTCCAAGCCGTCAATGGCAAGCCGGCCTGGGCACTCGTCACCGGTGCAAGCGACGGCATCGGCAAGGGCCTCGCAAACGAGCTCGCCCGCCGGGGCTTTAACGTCGTCCTCCACGGCCGCAACGACGTGAAGCTGGAAGAGGTGCGCCACAACCTTGCGCTCGCGAACCCGGACAGGGAGTTCCGCATCATGGTCGGCGACGCCGGGGTCCTTGGGGCTGGATCCCAGCCGTGGGACGTCATGCTGGCTCCGCTGGAGAACATTAACCTGCGGGTGCTCGTCAACAACGTCGGCGGACCGACGGTGCCCGCCCTGAGGCGGCTGGAGGAGTCGACAATGGAGGAGATTGCGGCCAACGTGCATATGAACGCGCTCTTCCCGACGCTGCTCAGTGCTATACTGATGCCGCGCTTCACCAGCTCGTCGAAGCCCGCGCTCATTATCAACATTGGGTCGCTGGCCGACAACGGACTACCGCTGCTGTCGTATTACAGCGGGAGCAAGGCGTACCTCGGTGCGATGTCGACATCCTTGGCGCGGGAGCTGTCGCTGGATGGGATCGATGTCGAGGTTGTGGGCGTAAGGGTCGGGGGTGTGGTGATCAAGCCAGAGCTCAAGACGACGGGCGTGTTTTGGCCTTCGGTCGAAACGATTGCCAACGCCATATTGGACCGGGTCGGATGCGGGAGGGCGGTGTTGATTCCATACTGGGGCCACGCGTTGCAGATGGCCCTTATGGACCTGGTACCCGTGGCCTTGCAGGAACTGTTGTATAAGAGGGGTCTGGGGAAGATGAGGTCGCTGGAGAAGAGTAGGATGTTAGACAAGGAGAAGTGAGGGCCCTCAACAACAATCATGAAGGAGGCCCTAGATGAGATGGAATGGGATGGGCCGAGGATTGCGTTATTTAATGCCCTCTAAACTATGGTCTCTGCTCATTGTATCCCAGAGATAGACATCATCAGCATTTGAGGGATGGTTTGAGGCATCGACATGGTTGGACAGGGCACTGCAAGATGACGATCCATTGTATCCGGGTTTGGGAACGAAGTCATGGACATGAGACCTGAACATCAGAGAGAGAGAGAGAGAGAGAGAGAGAGAGAGAAAAGACACAATCGATTTTTGGGGTGAAGATGGGGATATGTGAATAAGACTCAGTAGTCCAGATGATTAAAATTTAATTATTTCATGCGTTAACTAGGGCATCGGAGCTTTGTGTCCAAGCCACTTTGGCATCTGATAAGGGCGTCAGGAATGTAAGAAGGTAATAGAATAGGTAGGTAGGTAAACATATGGCAAGAAGAGACAGGGTGCATAAGTTGTTTCTTCGAATATAAAGTATGATCATAGACACGCCGTCCCAATGGCATCAAGAACAGCAGAAGCAAACCGGTGTAGCGAGATGCCATGCATCGGCCATGCAAGCATCCACACAATGAATAGAGTTGAAGTCATGGTTATCTGGCGATCCACACAAATAGATGGCTCTCATTAATGATTCACAGAGCTAGCCCAGCTGTATCCGTATTTCCGGCTTGAACTGGAGCTGCAGCTGGCGCCACTTGTGAGAAGCCGGGTCCTACCTTACTAGGTATGTCGGCACAGGAGATGACTGTGTTGCACGCGGTCGTGGCGGTACCTTACACTCTACGGATACTATGCAGAGACGTACGGATAAACTGGCTGTGCATGGGCGGGAAATGCCCCCAGCGGAGCAGGATCGAATCAAGTGCAATTTATCTGCTCGGCGATTGGGCAGACGGGAGGGGTGGAAGGTGTGGAAGGTGTGGCGCAGGCGGCAGAGCTGACAAGCTCAAGGGCAGGGCCTGACAACCAACTTGGCCTGTTTGTTCCTTGTGCTGAAGCAGCCAGATTGCAGGAAATGGGATCCACTGCAAAGGCATGAAGCCAGCTGACAGATTATGGGATTGGAAGCAGGAAAAAAAAAAAAAAAAAAAAAAAAGGTCCATACAGAGAATCAGGACTAATAGCTCTTGCTTTGGACAGGAGACTGAGGAGAGGACTGTGGTCTGAAAGCGGGTGTACTTCGCCGTGTCGATAAAAACGGGAGAGTCCAGAGAGTCCAGACTGCGTGGAATCCTCGGTACGTACCCCGGAATGCCCAGATGAAAAGGAGGGGATCCACTTCCTCCTTTCCGCGCTTCTTGGCGGGACGATCTATCCAATGACGCGAGGTTCCCTGAGCTGCTCGCATCCACTCAAAGCCCCGTCGCCCCCACTCTGCGCTTCCTTGCCATGGTCTGGTTGGCTGTCTCGAGTTGCAGTCGTTGCAGTTCCAGTCCAGATTCAGTCCAGTCCGGTCTGGTCTCTAGCATCCCCGTCAAAGACAACCTGGAAACGGTGCAAAGTCGCCATGCAGCATGCCATGGAGTGAACTGTGAAGATGAAGATGGCATTGGGGGAGTCAGCACTGAGGGTGCATGACAGGAGACAGCAGACCGCCGTCCCTATCTCGCTACTACACTAAAGTACCGTCAAAAGGGCCAAGGCACCCGACTATCGACTCCTTGCCGCCTACCGTGGCTCCCCCGTCTCTGGCCCCCCTACCGCCAGAAAAATGCCAACCTAATTATCCGTAACTGCCTGCCTCTCCTCGTCCGTATCCGTGACATCTGTCAGCTTTTTTTTTTCCTTTCCTCCCACACCCCCGAAAAAGTTGGTTCCATAAGGTACGAGTTCCCGACGGGTTCCAACTGCCTTTCCTCCCTCCCACGAACCCACCCCCTTCATCCCGCCGGCCGACCTTCCACTTCTCCCACAACCTCCCCGACGACGACTGAGACGACCAAGACGACAACGGCAACCACGATAGCGTTCGCACGCGTCTGCGCCCTTTGATTTTCCGCGAACGCCACTGGCCTATATCGCCTGCCGAGACGAGGCCTCCTGCTCTTCGCAATCGACCACATCCAAATTCGGCTCAACCCGTCAGGCCCTTGTGTGTGTGACCTTGGGGGAGAAGAGCCAACCTTCTGCCTTTGACCTTTGGGCACAATCCCATAAACACACACACACACAAAACCACATACCACGAGGGTAGTCAACCGTCGACTTTCCCATTGATTGCAGCAGCGAGGCGAGGCCTATCTGACAAAGCAACCCGCTGCCGCTACCGCTATCGCATCCACACCACACCTCCCCATCAGCGTGTGCCGTGTCTTTCCTCCGCCTTCGACGCGAGGTCTGAAAACTGTTCAGTCTCAGCTTCTCACCCCCGTCTTCGGTCAGCACCTCCACAACCACCACACCCGACGCCCTGCTCGAGGGAAATTTGGTCCCTGCCGCTCGTTCACGTACACTTTGCAATCCGCACCGCCCGCGCAACCACGTGTCAATCAGCCTGTTTTTTCTCGCCTGCGTATGCTGCTTCGATAACAGACGGCTTTGCTTTTGTTCGCGGTCCGCGTGTCCATCCGGAAAAAAAAAAAGGAAAGGAAGAAACAAGTCCAATAATCGACGTATCGCTCCGCAATCGCCTCCCACACCCCTTATCCAGGCCGACTAATCTTGACGACACATCTTTCAACGCCACCCTTGGAGCCGTCCCATCTCTCATCCGACATCCCTCCGCCACGAGACCGCCTGGCCCAACCTCTCTTCTTCACACAACTGCTGCCCACGGTGCGCCGCAGCCGCAGCCATGGACCTTTTTAGACGAGCCGCAAAGGCGATTCCCTCGACGTCGCCGCAACTGCCCACCGCCGACGAGAAGCCAACCACAAAGGCCGCTCGCCAGAATAGGTTGACCTCGCGGCTCGCCTTCTTCAGAAGACCGCTGCGACTCCGCGGGAACTCGAGCATCTCGGTACCCCTCGGCGTCGTCATCCTCTTCCCCTTGATTGTCGTCATCCTCATTCTCGTGCTCTTTGTCAGACACCCCAGCTCCCCTGGAAGGATATTAATGCCCGCAGGCGCTCCCCCTGCTATCAGGTATGTGTTCAATCTCACTGGCCTCAATCGACCAAATCTAACAACATTGCGTACAGGAAAATCAGCGAAGAACACGACAAGGTCTTCGTCACCGGATGCCTCGAACCTGATACGAGCAGGCCCAAGGCTAATGGAGCCTTCGTCGTTTTGGCCCGCAACAAGGAGTTGGACGGCGTCATTCAATCGATCAAATCCATCGAGCGTCACTTCAACCGCTGGTACCACTACCCTTACGTCTTCCTCAACGATGGCGACTTCAACGAGACCTTCAAGGAGGTCGTCAAGAACTACACGTCTGCTCCCGTCGAGTTTGGCAAGGTCGGCCCTGAGATGTGGGGTTACCCCGACTGGATCGACCACAAGGTCGCCAAGGAGGGCATCGCGAAGCAAGGTGACGCCGCCGTCATGTACGGTGGTTTGGAAAGTTACCACGCCATGTGCCGCTTCTATTCCGGGTGCGTTGCATAGACAGAAGCAGCCTCTTTCTTGTATACTGACGTAATACAGTTTCTTCTACAAGCACGAGCTCCTCGCCAAATACAACTGGTACTGGCGTCTCGAGCCGGAGATCAAGTACTTCTGCGACATCACCTAGTATGTCTAAACACTCTGAGCTGCACACGCTTTTGTGCTAACCCGCGCAGTGATCCCTTCTGGGCCATGATCGATGCCAACAAGACTTACGGCTTCACCATTGCTGTCAAGGAACTTCGCGAGACTGTCCCCAACATCTTCCGATACGCTTCCGCCTACAAGCGCCTCAAGGGCCTCAAGTCCAAGGGTCTTTGGGAAATGTTCGTCGACCCTATAGAGAAGAAGGAGGAGCCGGTCACCGACCAGTCTCCCCTTCCCGAGGAAGTTCTGCGTGCCGATCCCAACCGCAACAATCTGCCCGATATTGACCCCGAGGCCATGGAAGGCGAGTCGTACAATATGTGCCATTTCTGGTCCAATTTTGAGATTGCCAGCCTCGACTGGTTCCGCAGCAAAGAATACGAAGAGTTCTTTGAGATGATGGACCGCAGTGGAGGTTTCTGGATGGAACGCGTAAGTCTGCAGGATGCATAATCGTTGGGAACCAAGCTAACACTTGACAGTGGGGTGATGCCCCCATCCACTCCCTGGCAGCCGGCGCCCTCCTCTCCCCTCGTGACATCCACTACTTCCGTGATTTTGGATACCGACACACCACCATCCAGCACTGCCCCGCCAATGCTCCAGCCCGACAGCTGCCCAGACAGCCCTACCTCGAAAAGACGACACTTGATGATAAGAAGCGTGCCGAGGAAGACAAATACTGGGACGACTGGGACGCTGAGAAGGAGAATGGAGTTGGATGCAGATGCCGATGTGATACAGACATTGTCGACGTCGAGGGCAAGGAGGGATCGTGCCTCGCTGAGTGGGTTGACGTTGCCGGTGGATGGGCCAGCCCGTAATTGCCACGACAACGCATCGCATACGTATACGATGTCACGAGTCACAGCCAGCATACAAGCTCTGGCGCCATTCATGGGGGAAACGATATAAAAGGGATTGTACATTGACGAAGTGGAGACGTCAGACTCCTTGTCTTCAGAAGGGGGCGTCTCATTAATGTTGGCACGCACGGGTGTAACGGCATTGCCAGTATCGGTCTTTGCTCCGAGTTCTTTGGGAGTTTACAGGTTTCAGAGTCTTCGGCCACTGTCCATAATCGGTTTTTTTCTTTCTTTTCCATTTGATCAAACACACCACAAGGAATCGCGACACATGAAATAGAGAGGTGGAAAGCTACAGAAATGGCTGGCTCGGGTCGTCCCCTGAGCCGCGCAAGTCTTTTTCAAGTTATTGAGAGCAGGCAAGGGGGAGTGAAAGACATGGAGCGAGGGAAACGAGAGAGAGTGTGTGTGTGTGTGAGAGAGAGAGAGAGAGAGAGAGAGAGAGAGAGAGGGAGAGAGGGGGGGGGGGGGGGGGGGGGGGGGGGGGGGGGGGGGGGGGGGGGGAGGGGGGAGGGGGGAGAGAGGGGGGGAGGGGGGGGGGGGGGGGGGGGGGGGGGGGGGAGAGGGAGAAAGGGGGGGAGAGAGAGGGGGGAGGGGAGGGGAGGGGGAGAGAGAGAGAGAGAGAGAGAGAGAGAGAGAGAGAGATGTTGTGGGGAGAATGGAGGGCCGGACAAGCCCTTTTACTGCGCGCACAAGGATACCAAGCTGTATGGAACGCATCAACAACGAAATATCGACGTCTGTTCTCAGGAGAGCTTTCAAAGTTAGAAGTGCATGCTGGAAAGCCCCAGCCTTTCCAGTGCAATGGTACACATGTGGTCTACCAAAAATGACTGCCCGGTTGATGTGAAGCTTGTCCTGTGAAAACCTGCGACAGAAAAGTGGTGTAAATGAATTCCTTCAGAAGCATGTTTGGATCGGCCACGCACGGCCTATATTTGTTGGTTTCTGATGAGAGGTTGCAAGTTTACGGACCTTACGTATCAAAAACATCCCTCATTGCAGCAGATGAGAAAACACATACACAAAAACACAAACACAACATTGGACCTAGTCTGCCACTTGAAATACTTTACAATCCCTCACTCTTGCTCTCGGACCTGGAAGGCGCGCAGTCTACATCTGCATCTATGATGCGATAGATATGATGTGATATATATGATGAGTTATCAAAGCTAATGCTCCCTAGAGCTACACCCAACCAGGTAAACCCTCGTTCCACAAATACGGTCTTGGCAACATACGGGTTCAGAGGGAAAGGGCCAAGATATTGACAGTTGTTTCCCTAGGAGCTCAATATCTCAGTCAATATCTTGAAGATATATCTGCGGTAGACGACGGGAGAGGATATGCTTTTGCGGCCATAAATCTGCCATAAATCGGCCACCAAACAAGTCTGCTTCCAAAATATACCGAATTACAAGTCTATATCAAGACATGTCTACATCTACCACGATGGATCCGACGCGTCCGTGATGGCTCCATGGCTTGCATCACCCACCAGCCTCGCATACTTGCCCAAAGCACCTCTCCTCACATGCGGCAGAGGCGCCTTCCACTCCTTCCTCCGCCTCTCCATCTCCGCCTCGTCGACATCAACCGCGTCAATCCGGTTCGTCTCGCCGTTAATCGTCACCGTATCTCCGTTCTTCACCAGCGCGAGCGGTCCGCCGACCGCCGCCTCGGGGCAGACGTGCCCGATGATAAACCCATGGGAAGCACCGCTGTACCTGCCGTCCGTTACGAGTGCCACGTTGTCCAGTCCGGCACCCATGATGGCCGCGCTGGCGCGGAGCTGCTCCGGCATGCCCGGCCCGCCTTTGGGGCCCTCGTAACGGACAATGAGGACGAGGTTGCCATCCTCGCGGCGGATGGAGCCTGCCGACAGCGCAACGTCGAGTTCGTGCTCCTTGTCGAAAACGCGGGCCTTGCCGGTGAAGGTTAGGCCTTCCTTGCCCGTAATCTTGGCCACGGCACCGTCGGGAGCGAGGTTTCCGCGCAGGATGCGGATGTGGCCCGTCTTCTTGATCGGGTTCGAGAGCGGGCGGATGATCTTCTGGTTCGGGTCCAGCGACGGCCAGTCTGCGACGTTCTCGGCGAGAGTGCGGCCCGTCACCGTCATGATGGAGCCGTCGATGAGCTTCGCTGCGACGAGCATCTTCAGGACGGAAGGTGTTCCGCCGACTTTGTAGAGATCTTCCATATAGTACTTCCCTGACGGGGCGAGGTCGGCGAGAAAGGGGATGCGATTGCTGGTGCGGTCAATGTCGTCGATCGTCAAGGGCACATCGGCCGTGTTGGCCATAGCGAGGAAGTGGAGGACACCGTTGGTGGAACCGCCGAGGATCATGGTCAGCACGAGAGCGTTCTCAAAGGCCGCTCGGGTCATAAGCTTGCGAGGGCGTAGGTCCTTCTCCATGGTGATCTTGATAGCCGCGGCGGCGCGCTCGCATTCGCGGGCCTTTTCTGGGGATAGGGCTGGGTATGACGAAGAACCGGGGAGAGATAGACCCATTGCCTCGATCGCAGTCGCCATGGTGTTTGCCGTGTACATGCCTCCGCAGGCACCGGCGCCGGGGCAGGCATGCTGCTCAATGTCGTCGAGCACGTCCGAAGGCGTGCGGCCCGCGGCACCGGGGTTGGACTTTGCGTGAAGGCGGTCGTATGTGAAAGCACCGCGAGCCTCGTAGCAGGTGCTGATGTTGATGGGCTTCTCGAGGAGGTGTGAGTGGCCCTTCATGATGGTACCGCCGTAGATCATGATGAAGGGGCGGTTGTGACGCGCAGCGGCCATGATGGTGCCCGGCATGTTCTTGTCGCACCCCGGGATAGAGATGTTGGCGTCGTGGTGCTGTGCACAAGTCACCGATTCGATACTATCAGCGATGATTTCGCGGGTCTGGAGGGAGAAGCGCATGCCTGTTGGTGTCAGCTAGTAGTCGCCGTATGACTTGCGATCGAGGGCCGGCTGGTTTACCTTCTCCTCCCATGGTGATGGCGTCTGACACGCCAACGGTGTTGAACTGCCAGCCGAGCATTCCCTGTTTCTCAACGGCCTTCTTCACAATCTTGCCGAATTCGAGCACTGTTCCCGCGTCAGCCTTGTTGGTTCACATCCAGGGCGCTCTCTCATGACCGGGGAATCTGCTTACGATGCGTGCTGCGCCATGTTAGTCGATGCCACTTTTGACAACCACTCCAGAGGGACAGACATACTTGCAAGGGTTGCCCTCCCACCACACTGTTGCAATACCAACATGCGGTGCCTTCTTCATCATCTCCTTATTCGGCACGCCAGCGCCGTACAGCATGGCCTATAACATCGTGAGCTTTCGATAACCCCCGCAGAGACACCCCCCTCATGGCCAGCCACAACCCCGCATTCCCCAACTTCGCTGGTGACACCAGAGACGACTGGATTGAACAAAATGCTTTGCGTACCTGTGCGCCAGGAAAGTCATGCTCCCGCGTAATTGTGTGCGACCACCGATTGAGTTGCCCTTCAATGACATGCTCCTTGAACAGGATGTAATCATGGCTGTCCTTGTAGTTGGTCTCTTCAGCGTCACTGGGGACGTGGCCTGCTTGGTCCGCGCTCATCGTAAAAACTTCAAGGCAGCTCGAGTCGCTATTCTGTTCCGTCACGGAAGACAATTTGCGTGGGTTTACGTTGACACTTTTCGATACAAGAATGGGGAGGGCCAAGCTGTTGCAATAAGCTGAAATGATGCCGGCTCAGGCAGAGAGGGAGGGAGGAGATTCATTGAGCAACAGCCGCGGGGAAAGGAAAATGACGACTGGGGGGCGGCGACTTCTTTTTGAACTTTGTTTCACACGCCACACATGTTAAGCACAGCTTGAAAGCACAGCTCCCGGCAGCAGCAACGGTAGCCAAGGTTCGCAATGCAGTCAAAGGGGAAAAGGGCGGGGGAAATTCAACGGAGCTTGTTGCTTTCCTCCTACTCCTCAATAGGCTACCGGCCGGGACATCGTCTAGTGCCCCACCAAGACATCAGGGACAGATCCGCTCAGGACGACCTTGAATCCATTGCTGCTTATTACGCGTGATCTTATTGGGAGGGCTGCCGACGGAGACGAAGCGGCTCGCAGCTTTCGGTCGGGTGATCCCAGCCGTGCCGGAGGGGGTTCGGGGCATAGTCCGCGGTGGGAGTGGAGCAATAGTCAATTGACTTTGCGGGCGAATTAGACGGGATGGGACGTGTTGAAGAGAGGTAACCGAGATGGAGTAGGTAGACCCATTGACTGGTGTATCCGTGAGGGAAATGGAATTGCGATGGAGATGAACGGCACCGGAACAGCTTTTCAACGTCCAAATGCGAGAGGGGCACGCAGAGGCACAGGCGCATCACAAAGCCTGAGAAGCCATTAAGCCCCGGCTTCAATTTCAAGTATCGTCGCCAACGGCATTCTCTCCGGCATAAACTATGTCCCGCACGCCATACAGCTGCCAGCAACAGCCATCGTCACTGACGCTGCTGCTGCTCATATGGACCGAACGTGCGGACATAACCCCAAAAGATGATAGATGAGAAGCCAGCCCCGCGGGCGCGTGGGCTTCTCGCTGCTCGCGGACCTGTCTCGTCGCCGTCCTGTGATCTTAGCTCACATTAGCGTTTGGTGGGATGCCCAATGCGTTTATGGTGACTAGTTCGTGGGCTTGTGCCGTGGAGTGAAGCTTGGTGCCGCCTTATAATGGCGGCGTCCAGTGTGCATGTCCACACTCGTGTTGTGGGAAATCTTGCCATCCCCCACCAAAGGCACGTTCCAATCACAGTAGAGGTATTTGAGGTACGCTCACTCACTGGGTCAAGTCTTGGTGCCGGTGCCGGCCCCGGGATCGGCGAGATGCTTCAAAGCCGCTCCGCAATGTGGCCGTGTAGCGGAAACCAGATTCGACAACAGCAGATAGGATGACTTTGAGGATTGTTGAGGGATACTATCCGTGCGGCTTTCTTCTTTCATAGGCTGTTGGTTTGACAATGACCTCTTCCTGGTTATGTAGACGCTGCGAAACCTCTAAGGATGGAAACAAGCCGGGACTCTGGCAAGTCCCGACTCCCGGTGGCGGGGCTCAACCGGCTCGCGATTCGGAGATCAAGTATCAAGGTCCTCGGGCGGCTTTGACACGAGGAAATCTGGAGATGATCGTGATTGACGGGGTCTCCAACTGGTGTGGGTCTCCCGCTACCCCTCCTCGGATCCAAGGCTGAATCCTAGACATAGTATGCGAAGCAACGTCGTGAATCTCTCCCCCCCGCCCGTTGCTACACTTGCTGTGTGTAGTGGGCATGTAAATCGTTAGTGTGTGTGTGTGCTCATATGCACGCAATGCCGAGCGCTGCACCACCACCACTACCACCCGCCGCGTATCCTGGAATTGAGAGGGACGTGATCATCAGCTCTGGTATGGTGTCGACTAGAGAAACAGCAATCGTGCCAAGGCCCTGTCGTGTTGCGAAAGTTCGGATAATGAATGGCGTGAGAGGGGCGTCTCCCTGGCGCCTCTCACCAGCGGGATGGGATGGCACTCCGTTTGACTCTGCGTTTGGATCGACGAGGGCACGCTGGCAATGAAGTCATGCTTTTCTCTCTCTTGTTTCGATGTGCCCCGGCGTCGGTAGATAGAGAGAACAGCGTTGGAAGTACGTTCGTCCAGGGGACTTTTTCGTCCGGGGGACTTCTTCGTCCGAGAGACTTCTTCGTCCGAGCTATCCGCTCAACTCTACTCGTTTCGAAATCCAGACGGATGGCGCAGCTCATTACGAAGCCTTCCACCCCTTCCCCCTCAGACCCCCTCGTCCTTCCTCTTCAACCATGCCACGCCTTGCTCTGCCGTGCTCGTGAGGACCGGGGGTGGAAGAAACAAGTCCAGGAACCATGCTTGGCTGGCGTCCGGTTCAACGAGGCCAAAACCATTCATGCTCTTAGAGATGGGAGGAAAGAAGGTTTCGGAGGATGTCAAAAGAAGAGCTTTGCTGATCAAGGCGGACCGACGAAACCTTGGGATCTTTGGACGTTTGGGCCGAGTGGTGATAGGTAGTCCAATGTACCGTATCAAAGAGGAGGAAAAGGGGCAGCGTCAGGAGGGTGTGAAGAGGGAGGGGATGGAACCTTGACCGCGCCAAGTACCCTTCGTGCCCTACGTACCCAGACCTCAACCCCAAAAAAGATGCGCGGAAGGCAAGGCCTGCCACCGGTACGTACCGTAGTCATGACACTCCGTGGCCCTGTTGCTATTTCTAACTCTACACAAAGAGAAAAAAGTACGTCACTTTGGTCTTGGATAGAGGGTCTGCGGTCTGCGGCGAGTCTGCGGCCTGCGCTGCACTGGCCGCGGGGAAACAATTGCCGATGGTGGCCACTCTCTCGCATCTTGCATTGCTCCGACATGACACTATCGACGGTTTAATCAAGTATGTACGGACGTTACCTTCGAAGCGCTTGTCTGGAACTGGTACCAGAAACCGCAACTCGGATCATCAAAGCACTTGTCAGACAAATGTCAACAACCTTCACTTGACGACCTGTCACCCTAAATCGGGCAAGGGTTGAAATCGTTTCGGCACAGGCGATTCAGACGTCAAAACATCCCACGCTTGGACACAAGCTTCGCTCGCTTCTCCTCGTATACCCTTTCCTCTCTTATTGCAGCTGTCATGGCACAGGAGTCAGAGTTGAGAACACGTAGAATCATCACTGCAGGAGGGAACCGGTTTTCTCAAAACCTTGATTTCTCAATTCGCCATTTTGAAGAAGAAAAAGCAAAAAAAAAAAAAGCCAACGCAATCGTCGTCTGCATCAATCCCGCAGGACCTCGGGGACCGCTCTATGGTACAAAAAACTGCCGTAACAAGATGTTTCGGAGTAACCCCACATTCGCGAGGTGTTGTGGTTCGTGGTCATCACTTCATTTCTGCAAAGGGTTGAAAAGATGCCTTCCCGAGAAGATGAGAGAAATGTGGTAAATGGCCTCCTCCGCACTGCCAGTCGTGCCCAACCATCCCACTTCAAGAATGTCCAGTACCCTTCGCATGCCTCAGTGATGGTCTCGTTTCCCCCATCCCAAAGTGGATAGAAGACGAAATAAAGAAATGGAAAAAGGGCTGCTTCCCCGTCCTGAGCAATTCCCCTCTTCCTGCGCCGAATATCGCCCCGACAGTTCGCAGCCATCCGATCGTATGTGTTCGAGTATGGTAAAAGATGGGAAGAAAAGGCGCGTGGTCAGAGACCAAGACCAAAACAAAAGTAACCGAATTTCTCGTAAAAAAAAGAAAAGAAGAAAAAAAAAGGAGCCAATAGAAGCGAATAACAAGACTGCGGCTTGGTGCTCTAGTCTTCTTGTCCCACGTCAGGAAGATGGAGAACATCAAGAAAGAATCGGACACTCAAAGTTGTAAAGTAATACACTGGTAGAAACAAAGTATTGGCTGGGTCGGTACCGAGCTTCTTATGCGCCAACTCGTGACTCCTCCATACGCCTCACTAATTCGCGCTCACGGGGAGATCGAGGGTTGGCGTCAATGCCCAGGATGGCAGAGATGCGAGTCTTGTCTTGAGGCCTTTCGTAGCTGTCGCGATCCAAGTTGTCGGGACTGGAGGTGGGGGTGATTGGTGTGCTGGTCTGTTGCTGGTTGCAGCACGCACCGTTTTGCCATGCTTGCTCTAGAAGAACGGGGCTCGAGCCGGGGCCGTAGTCGTTGGCAACAGCAGCCCAGAATGAGGCGCGGTGCGCAGTGTATACGGACTGGAGGCGGTTCATGTCAATGTGTTGATGGGTGACAATAGATTGGGCGGAAGGAAGCGCACATTCCAGACGCAGCGGCGGCGTCATGGGGAGGCTGCCGGACATGGACTGGAAGGCGGCGGAGGGCAGAGCAGCGCTGCGAGGCTCAGGGAGGGGTGTGGGATACCCGCGAGTAGGGGAGGCGGTAGGAGGTGGCAGTGTCATGCAGATCGGCTTGGGGAGGATGGCGGGTAGTCTGGGAGAAGCGCCGTGGCTCATGATGCTGGGTAGTTGCATAGGGGCTGGCGAGTGAGGGGCGTAGCCAGTTGAGCTGCCTGGGGGAGAAACCGAGCGAGGAGTGGACTCTCGGATCGGAGAAGGCATCGTTGGCTGCATAACAGGAGAGTGGTTGGTGGAAGAGCCAGAAGAGACCGAAGTGGCGCGCTGCTTGCGTCGGTTGCTACCGTGGCTAAGCTGATGGTAGTGTAGACGACATGCCAGCTCAGTCTTCTTCAAGTGAGCGGCGATATGCTTATAAGGCATCTTCTGAAGACGAGTCTGGAGCAGGTAGACTTCCTGTGCTACGGTTAGACAATTGGTCTCATTTGAACTGTAATTCACAGTGCGCTAAGACTGCCAGTGAAACATACCTCATCCTCGCTCCATGCTCTACCGCCTCCGGTCGAAGCCGCCTTGCGGTTCTTGGTAATTCCATATTCATGACGGTCCATGGCGTCGGAAGTGGTAGTGTAGGTGGCCGTGTGGGGCGCCAATTGCATCGTAGGAGACATTTTTCCTCGTTAAATCGTTTCGGAACAGTCGATGTTGCGTTATACCTCTCAGAAGTAGGGTAATTCTTGGGTCTCTCGATGGAGAATCTTCACGCGTTGTTCGCGGTGTCCTGGAAGCTGGGTTTGATATGAAGAGGCAGAAACTTGCTGCCGACGAATCGAATGGTAAAAAGGTTTGTTGTGGAAATACAAAGATGTCCCGGCCGGAAGCTCGCAACAACGAAGGCGGCTTTCTGCAGATCCGTCAAGGAGAGAGGAAACGGATAGGCGTGTGGGGGAGAATCCCAAAGAAGTGAAGTGAAGTCGTTTGTTTGAATAAACCGGATAGGTCAAGTTATATTGACAAAAAAAGGCGGTGTTCAAGAAGCGTAGTCAAATGAGTGTGTGCAGCCAAGCCAGTTGGACAATGAAGGAAAGTAAAACCCTAGCTGCGGGGGAAGAAAAGAAGGACACGCAACTGCGCTTCAAGAAGACGAAGAAAAGGGATGTTGATGATGAACCTAAGATAGGTAGAGAAGGTAAATGAAAAGATGAAAAAGCAGACGAGATGGGGGGAGGGGGGGGAGGATAAAGTAATATTGCAGCCGCAGCCGTATTGGGTCCCGGGTCTCTTCAGGCAACTGGCATGACGAGACAAGACGGGACCACCTCTGCCAGCATTAGACCGTATCTGTCCCCGTACCTAGACAAGGCACCACTCACACATACGCCCAAAGAAGAAGAGCGGGTGGGCGGGCATAGCAAACATTGCCTCATCATGTTCGGGCGCTGGTACATGCAGGACAGGGGGGTAGCACACCGTCAAGTCTAGCCCTGTTGCAGATATTCAGCAGTGAAGCCAGCCAGACCCTGGAGAAGATGGGGTGGATGTGACAGAATTAGCAGAGCATAACGTTTGGTCTGATCCGCCCGGCCTGCTGCCATCCCCATTTTCTGAAATTGAAAAGAAAAAAAAGAAAAAAAAGAGAGAGACACAGACTGGAGCGAGCAAGACAGGCCCGGCAACGCTTGTGCAAGCCACACCCTGTTCGGCCACACCCATGTACGTAACTTGTTCGAGGGCCGGGCCAGAAAGAGGAGACGGACGAGGAACAGGCATGGGAACGAGATTATGGATCCGGTGAGAGACGAACGTGCGTCTCAACCGGCCGCCATGATGGATCGAGAAGAGAACAACCAGACTCCAGTGGCGCCCGCCAATAGACAAGCCAAAGTAAAATGGATTATTGCCCGTAACAAGCTGTAGCCTCGGAGGCTCGGATACAGGTTGAGCATAGACCAAGCCTAGGGCCCCCCCAGAGACGGTGCCATTGAAGAGCAAGAGAGGACAAGATAGATTAGGAAAAAGAGCCTCTTGTGAACCTGGGATGTGGGAAAAAAAGCCACCAAATCCGTGCAGCGTAGCGTCCCCGTTGCCGAAAAGAGCGGTGTCGTGCCTCCGATTTGTTTCTACCCCTTCTTCATCAAGGGGAGAGCCTTCAGAGCGCCTGCACCGAGGCCTGGGCTCCATGCAGATTCATTTCAGAGCCTCAACTTGGCTAGTTTATTGCAAGCATGTTGACGACCCGCCAGCTGGTTTGGTTTTGGTTTCGGCCGCGACACATGGTCTGTGGATCTTGTTCATGACTGAGGAGGAACTGAGGAAGAATTCCGTCCTTTCTCTACTACCTTATGTACCCGAGTTGCGCGCATAGCAGGGCGCCGCCTCCTATGGGGCTTAGGATGGCGTCGCATGACATCGCCGAAGGCTGTTTTGAAAAAATAAGGCAAATTGACTCGGAAAAAACAACCATTGATCCCGAGACCTCGACAGAGTTGACACCGTCAAGCTGGGTCGGGTGGCTCGCAGCAAGGAAGAGGGTGTTACTATTTGCGGCCGACATCTGGTCTCAAGTCGCGATAAGCATACGTTTGCTCGACGTCGATCTCGCGGAGGTATTGGCCAAGATGAGGGAGGGGAAGGAAAGGAAGGGGAATGGCTGTAGCGTTTTGGGGCTCTGCGTAGGGTTGCAGAGGGGTTTGATTCTTGGAACGACGATAGTGAGGTGTTACTCTTCCTGAAGAGTATCCGTACGATTGACAAGGCAGGGTCTTGGCGGGTACGCGATGCATACGGAGTATTTTCGCGGCATAAACCCCATTGAGAGGGAAACGGGGTATTGAGCAGGTTGCTTTCCTCGTCTCGGCCTCGTATGGTACGGGGTATAGCGCGTATGTACTGTGTACGTGTGGTGCGGGCGGTGCGGGCGGTGCGGTACAGGACCTTACTGCGTAGGTTGCGATGTGCAGTACGAGGATAAGCGTGCGTGTGCCCGTTTGCGATTGCGTTAAGAAGTGCTAAATTCTGGTTTGTTGTTGTGGTTGATGTTGCTGCTATTGTTGGTCTTGTGGTCGTCGTCCTGATCGTGACCCTGTGTCTGAAGGTTGTGTGAGGATGTCTGTCTGACGTTTGAAGGCGGGGTCAAGCAATGGACGGTACGTGTTACAGAGGCGCGCTTGCGGCTGCCATTGGCCCGTTTTCGCGGCACCCCCTGAGCCCTTCCTTGCGAGTTGCGCGCCGAGAAGGGCAGGCCACGCTAGGCGGATACTAGTCCATATTAGGACAAAGTAGGAACAGAAACCGCCCTTGCCCATGTCAGCCTCGCAACCGCAGCGAGTACGTACCTAGCTACGTATCTACGTATCAAGCGACACCTGCTCCCGATGCAAAGAGCCCCACAATCGAGCCACAGCATTCCACGGTCCACCCATAGGTTGCGAACCACCGGTGCGGAGGGGCCGATCACCCCTGTCCACTGCAACAGTCCTTTTGTTCACCTGGAGGAAATCTCTCTTCTCTCTCTACCTTACAGCACCCTTGGTTTCTACAGAGTACCATACACACTACCTGCACACTAAGTTCCTCCTTGCCTTCGTCCCACGTCGTGTGTAAGAGCCTCCTAAAAGCCAGAGCCGCTCCTACCATTAGGTATCGACAGGACAAGATGCCAACCCGGCTGTTTGGTTTGATGTCAGGGCTCTTCCCTACATCAGTAGCGCCGTCCTCTCTGGGCTCCAAGTATCCTCACGCGGATATCCAAGACAAGCAGGGGATTCTGAAGAAGAGACAAGTTCTTGGCTTCATTGCCTTGAACCATGACACGACTGTTGACTCTTCTCGTGATCCTATCCGATCGAAATTTCTGGCGAGCCTATTTCGTAAACCCCCGCGCGACCCTGTTGAAGTGATGTGATGTGATGGCGTGTCCTGTCCAGGCGTCTGGCGTCGTCGTGCAGTACGTTGTAAGGCAGAGGCTTTGGCATCTGCATCGAAACATGAGGTTGTTTCTTGTTCGTCCCTCTCTAACGCCGCTTCGGCACCTGCGCTCTGGGACTAACAATTCTTAGGCTTAGTTGACTGCGTACTTGGTGCGGAGTGCCTGTCCATCTGCCTTACAGATTTGCTCTCCATTAGGTACGTGACATTGCTGTGGCAGTCATTGGATCACCCGGCATAACGGCATGTTTGTTTAAGTTGACTGCCCTACACTACGATGCCGTCCCAGCGCACACGCCGCATTACACTTTGAATCGGCTGCATCCATCCACAGCCAAACTTAGCCCACCCCTCCTTCGAGAGTCGTTAAAAGTCTCCGTACCTTATATGAGGGAAACCTACGGATAAATACGGATGCTATTCATAAGACTATCAGGCACTTTGCCCAGCCACACACACGCACACACACGCGTACGCATACACACGCATACGCACACACACACACACACACACACACACACACACACACACACACACACACATACACAATTCCAGGTTCTCTTATGCACACGGACATGGACACGGAACAGCCAGTCAATCACTTACTCTACGGCAGTCAAAAGTGACAAGTTGACAAAATAGATGAAATTGTTCTACCGCAACTCACCTGTAGGGCAGCTTCCACTGTCCAGGTTTGTCAGGAAGGGTCTCGATCCTCGAGTATCCTCCCCCGCCTTCCGTGGATGCCGAGACACACCAAAACATTGAAACCTGCATCACTTTCCTGCCAAGATGTGGAGACAGCAATAAAAACGCTTCACCTGTTTTCGTAACGACAGCACAATTAAAGGGCAGGTTCGTCCGCCAGAAATCCCCGGAGACCAGGGGCCTGGAAAGAGACTCAGCTCGTTTTTGCTCGTCTAGCTGTGAGATCATTTGGGAATCCAAGCCGTCTCTTGCGTCTTGGTGAATTTCCATGTCCTGGACCCACGTCCCTTGAAACTCGCTAGCGAGCAGGCGCAATTTCACCCACGTCTCAGCCCTTTCCCTCTTGGTCGCCTTTTCCCCTGGCGGCCTAAGGTACGTACCGAGGGTGTGGACCCCCAGGCCCCCACCACCTCCACTCCGCTCGAGCCACCCACACGCCATACACACCGCCCGTACGGCTCTTGGAAGGGACTACAGCCAATCAAAAGAGTGGCTGTCAGCTTCAACTCTTGTTCGTCCCTCTTTCTGCCCACACTCGGGACTTCGTCACTCCCCTCCAATGCCTCCATTTCCACCACTCACCTTTTTTCCCGACGACGTCTCCCAAAACTCAGACAGACGCACGCGGCGAACAGACAGCCGACCATCCACACCCTCCCCTTCCCTTCCTCTGGCCGACGGGACGAACATGGATTGCGAGAAACAACAGAGGGGCCCTAATGCAGGAAACCTTATTTGTTTCTCAAGAGATCTCTGCTGAAACTGAATCTGGCTTGCACGTCTCGGTCTCCAACGGGGCGTTTCCGCTTCCAGGCACTCCCCCTCCACTCGGTCTCTACCGTAGTACCGTCTGGCGTCTACTCCGTCGCACACACACACACTCTCTGTCTCTCTCAGGTCTGTAGCCCTTTAATCGTCGCAAATTAAGCCCTCTCACCTCATTCTGCTACTGCCGCCCGCCGATTGCCACGGCCGAGAGTCTGAGCTATGGGAACACCGCACAGAGCTCAACATGTCTGAGCCAAACCTCAGTCTCGGGCCTCCTCCAACGTCTATCCTCACCAGAATTCGTCTGACCTTTTCGCCCTAACAGCCTGTCAAACCAGACTACTGGCACGCTGCCTAACCTGACGGACGGGTCCACCGAGTCGTAACTGTCTGCTGCCATCCATCACAGATCGCAATTTACATCCTACAGGAGCAGAAACATCCTCGCCACTACTGCAGTGACTTGCACTAGCAGAAACAGGCTGTCCCTTGAGTGGCTTCACTCAAACTGAAAAAGCCGAGCCACCATCGGCGTGATGGACTCAGCCACCCGCAGCCGGGCTGCTCGTGGCCCCCAATTCTCCGTGGCAAAACTATGACTTGCAGCCGTCCGCTCCGGACTTTCACTTCTCTTTACGCCTTGCGCACAATAAGTATCGTCCGGACGCCCGTTTGGCCGCCGCCCCGCAAGCTTCAGCAAAGCCCCAATGCTAACTGGAGGTAAACCATGATTGATTGCCCCGTCGGGCGTTCCGCCATCCAGGCTTCAATATGCAACCTGGCCGCCCTACCAATCCAAGTCCCTGATCGCCCAAAAACTCCGCGGCATGCGAGAGCCTCAATCCAGCCAAGGAGGTTCAGAAACAAAGGGTCTCTCCCCTCCATACTACCACGACGGGGGAGCGACATGCCACGGGGCGGATGCCCATCATCCGGACCATCAGCAGTCAGGAAACTTTTCGGCCGGCAGAGTGGGAAAAGAGCAGGCTTGTTCTCGGTATACCTGGGGTACCGAAGGGATCGCCCCCATTCCGCGAGCCCAGAAGCGCCCGCATCGAGACCTACCCGGTGGGAAATATAGACCAAGTAGGTCTCCGATTCTCCCAGGAGCATCGCTAAAATGTAACGCGCATTGTCTGCCGCTCTGCTATCTCATCTCCAATCCGGTGATGGCGGCGGTGATCTTCAGGAAGCCAACCGACCGAGTGCAAATGTCGATGGGCGCGCGAGTGGTTGAGATATCATAGAGGCACAAACGGCCGCACCAATTGAACCCATTGTTCGGATTCGTGTTAAGATCTTCCCACCGAAGCAGGTGCTGGGACTGTACTAGACTCAACTAGATGAACCGTGACGCCCGTTTCCCTGACCTGACAGAAGCTTGGCGATACTCCTTTCGTCTGATCTCTCGACCGATGGACTGGGGCGGCCCCACACTCAATGGTCCTGCAACAGTACAAGTGCATCCACGGAGGACGGAGGCTAAGGAGAGCGAGATTACGGATACAGGCCATGGCTTCAATGCCGTCCGCTGCACACACCGTTCAGCCCCAAGGCCTGATGGACTAGGTTTGCAACAGCTTCGTAGATAGGCACGTGGCGGTCAGCACCGGCCGGAGAGTTACACAAACGCTGCATTGGCTCTACTAAATTGCCCGACAAATTGCAAAACGATGAGGAAAGGGGACGCTGCCGTGCCCAATTTGTTCCGCGAGGTCTCGCATTACTCGGCCGAGTGAATACGTGGAGTTTGGCCGGCCCAGCCTTGTGGGTCAGTGCTCCAGCCTTCCAATCAGGGCGTCCCATGCGAAATCCTCCCCTTTGCTTCAGCTCAGAGCCCCGAAGTACCCAGGGGCCTGAGTCTCTGAAGCAAGAGCAATTGCAACTGAGTTTTCCAGCGACCGTCCCAATTGTTCATGTCGCCATGGATCGTCGTCGGATCGTCTGGTCGTTGGCCGTCTTTGCATTTCGCATGAATTCTCTTCGTCCAAAGTCTTTTGAGCGGCTTCTTGGGGAAAACATCGACAGGCTCGACAAACTTGCTCGCGACGGGCACTGGCCATCGTTCCAATTCACGGCTTGGCCGATCCTAGGGTCGCCATGCGCGAGGGCGTTGTGGTGGACGTGTCTTCAGTCACACGTTGCCCAAGAGCCGCGAGTCTCAAACAGTTGGTGCCGGAACCCTGCGACTAACATCGTTTCACAGCTGGGGGTCTCTTATCACGGCCAGCCAAGGAGGCATAAAGTCTGTCCATGTTCGGAACGAACATGCACGTTCTAGCAAGGAAAGATGGCGGCACGGAGTCTGACTGCCTTACACGCATGAAAGTAAGAGACCGGATGGCAGTAGATGTGGTTGGGTCAGGGCTTGTGAGGCCGTTTTGTGTTACCTGTCGACAAGATGAAGCTAGACGACAGCATCTAACGCGAGCTTGGCGTGAACCTGGGGCTCACCTTTTTGGTGGTCATGGGGCTCCCCCTCGCACCAGGTGTGATCTGGGGCCGTCGCCAGGGTCGGGCGAGCCACCTTGTTTCGTCGCCTTTTTCTTGGGTTGAAACATTTTTTGTCTTGGGAGGCTAGCAGCGTCGCTTTTGTTTTGGCCGTCAAGCTGCGTACCGCTTACTTGGGTGAGCGGAATCCGCGGCCAATTAGTTAGAATGTGCCTGGCGGTTAGCCGTATCCCCCCTCTCTCTGTCTCTCTTTGTTATCCTGAAGAGCATATGGATACACGCTGCGACTATTATGGAGTAGCAAGTGGAGAGGAGCGATGCCGATGGACCGCAGCATCTCGGGCACCCATGTATCGCCGCCCCGATATGGCCACTGCCAGGTGGACCCCAAAGTACCCACCCGGAGCCGGTTACAACCGTGCACTTGTGAGGCAGCCCGGTACCCCAGCACCGACCCTCTCCCGATGTTACCTAAGAAAAGCCGGGTCTTCGGTCTACTGCCGTGAATTTGCTGGCCTCCGTCCCGTATGATTAAGAAAGCTGGCGAGACCGCGGGCTCCGCGCCTCGGGATCGTCGGGGGACCAGTAGGTACCGCACGGCAACCTCGGCGTGTTGGGTGTAGGAGTCCTGCAGTATTATCCATTGCATTCCACCGCGATTGCCCAACGCGATAACCTGGTTACTCAAAGGTGAACATCTGTTGTCGCGTCCGTGACTTTCTTAAGCGCAGCCGAGTCACACCGATGCCAAATATCATGGAGTGAAGGATTAAAACTGAGTGGCACACCCATGTGTTTTTTTCGAGGCAGAGACTCGAGCATACTCTGCCTCTTTCATTCTGACAGGAGCGCTGGGACAGCGGAGAGGAAGACGTCAAGCCCATGATTGGCAAACTCTCGGGTGTAGCATCGCGCACTGGTGGCTCACGAACACGTCTGGGCGGTCAAACGCACAGAGAGAGGCGTCATCACAAGTTGACGATGACGAGTCGCTCCGAGTCTGGACGAATATAACCCGCCAGAGTCGTGGCTGGTGGCGGCGTGATGCTATCGCAGGGACTGAACATAATGGCCGAGACGTGATGGAGACAATTTTGTTGGCCCTTGGTGCAGTCGTGCAAGCTCATTCAGATGCATTGAGCATCGCCATAACCAAGTCGTCCGGTTTCTGGATTCCCACCTCACAATCGACTCGGCGCGGATGGAAAGTACATGGAAGAGGCAAGGTGGCAAGGTACTCGTCGAGAGACTGGGTACTGTACGTACCGTTCAGAATCCGATGTTGTGGTTGGTGTCCACCAGCGGTACCGCTAACAGGAGGTACATGAAGCGAGGATCAAGTACTTGGACCATGCAGGCGGTACATCTAGTACATGTAGCTCGAAAGGCTACCGAGAGGGAACTGCGACGAATACGCTTTTTGGTCTTGTTTAAGATACCTTGGACCTTGAAGCAGCACAGGGCACGAATACAATATGGCAGACTTGGGATGCCCAATTAGCAGGAGGACCGGAGGTGGAGTGACGAGGCTGAGAGATTATGCGATAAACTTTTCATCTTTTCTTTCCCCTTTGGCATATTCTGCGTCTACCTAGCTTCTCCAGCTCCCGTCGCTCTCGTTGGAGCACCTCAGTTGCTGCCTCGCCCGTTCCGTTACCCGCCCACGCCGTCAGGCAAACAAACGGGAAAAATGAAAGTGGCGCAGATTGTGCCATGAGCCATTGCCATTTGCTTGAACAAGGAAAGTGGCTGAGCGGAGGACTGATGAGGAGGCGGATTTCCCCGCAAGAAGAAACGCTTATGGCCTGTGACCTCAGTCATCATTCAAGCAAAGCGCAGGGGCACGCGGCCGAAGGGTCCGAGGCGAGCAAACAGCTGTCAAATCTGCCCGACTGACAAATCTGATGTCCACGGGTGTTCAATACTGTACGTCTGCACTCATACGAGCAGCGGCAGCACCGAGGTCGCAGTCGCAGTCGCAGTCGCCTCGTACCGCTTGCAGAGGAAAGTACGACTACAAGTACCTGCCTACGTGCCTATCTGACGTGCCTACATGTACAGATGAGATGGACCGGACAACTGGCAGCTGGACAGACGAGAATAAAAGTGGAGCAAGGACAAGGCACGGAGCAGCCATTGAGCATTGAGCCATGACGAGGTGTCGAGTGACAAGCAAAAATAGCCCGTGCGACACGAGGGGAAGATGGTCTGTGCTGAGCGGTGGAAGTCGACGGCCGAGGCATCCAGATAGGAAAGGAGCAGCTGTGCACCAGCAAAACTAGCACCAAAACCGACACCAAAACAGCTGTCCGGCTAATACTCGGACTGAAATAGGCACTTGCTGCCTGACCGAGGCCCCACCCGAATCGTGTCGAGTGGCTCCTTCCCCCCCGCCCACCTCCCTCATTTCTTTTCCATGTTCCCTCGCCCTCCCCCTCTCCCTTAGCAATTTTCCCTCCTGACCCCTTCCACCACCCACTTTCTACCAGCAGAAAAAAATAGAGGGCAACCAGAAACATCACCGTGAACCAGGAAGTTACTTCCATCAGAGGTACATCCTTGGGTCATCGCGAGGCATAGCATCCCAACTCCCAATTCGAGTCCCAACCCAAGCACCCAAGGTCCCGACCCGACATCATCAGCTTGAGTGCGCTCCAGCTCCAGCTCCACCTCCGCACCTTGCTTCCTTGCCGCTACAGCAAAGGTATCCGTACAGCCACATACAGCTGCTACAGCTGCTACAGCTACACGGTACGCAGTACGCGCCTAGCCAGGTACATACCATCACCTCACCTCGCGCTTCACCTCAACCTCACCTCCAAAGAAGACCGGGTGAGAGAGATACCTGAGAGCTTCAGGTCAGCGACAAACCCGACGTGAGCAGCACCCGACACAGACGTGCTACCGCCGCCGCCCACTTGTCGCGCATTTACACTACACCACATCGCCGCAACCGCAAGGGAACGGTGATATCCACCATCGTCGCCCATCAGCCTCAAGCCCTCAACCACCTCATCGTCGCTCACAGGTCTGTCATTGTCGCTGTCGCTGTCGCTGTCGCCATAGCCGCAGTCGTCACCACACTAGCTTACACCTGCTTCATTTGCGCCCGCCATTTCCACGTACCTCCATCTCATTCCGCCTTTGCCACCAACCATTGCACACGCATTTCCCCCCGGGCCTATCTCATCGACGTCTACCACTTTTTTTTCCCTTTTTTTTGTGCCTTCCCTGCAGACGTTGGCTACGTCTTACCTCATCGTACACGCGCATACACACCGCATCGCGTTGCAATATCCGACACTTCCTATCTGTCTTGCTCCATCTCACGCTGCCTCTCGCCATCGCCTCTCCAATCCCCAGGAACTGCATCAAGCCAGTTCTCCTTTCCTCGTCGCTTTCTCCATTTCTCCCTCCCCAATACACGCGCCCAGTACAGGATCGCCATCAATCGTCGACGACCCTTGGTCCGAGGATCCGCCACCGACCGCCAGCTGCACCCAACACACGCGCGAACCAACAACCAACGCACGGCACATCTCGCGCACTGCCTCAGCCGCCTGTCTACTCCCGTCTACTTACGCCTGTCTATCTGAACCTCTGTGTCTTCTCCGGATACTCTCCGGATACATCACTCTACCTCTGTCTGGCTCCGCTGCTACTTATCTCTACCTGCCAGACCTTACCTCGCGATCCACCACACACCTCTCCTCACCTGGTCTGACCTGAAGCCGTCCACGCCGCTACCTATCTACATTACTGGGCTACCTGATTGAATACCTTATTCCAGGATAGAGTCAGGGTACGCCGCCGCACAGCAACTCTCGGTACCCTCTGTCCCCCCCCCCCCCCCCCCCCCTCCCCCTTTTTTTTTTTTTCCCCTCTCCCCTCTTTCCCCCCCCCCCCCCAAAAACACCCCACTTTTTTTTCCTCCCCCCCCCCCCCCCCCCCCCCCCCCCCCCCCCCCCCACCCCCCCTCCCCCCCTCCCCCCCCCCCCCCCTCCCCCCCCGTCCCCCCACACCGAAGGAAAACCATCCATTTTCTTCCCGTCGCCCCCATTCGACGAATCCCGCGCGCCGCGTTGCTCTCTGCCGCAGACCCTTCACCTGACATCACCTGACCATTACACCTTCGACCTGCTCGCAGCGCTTTCTAGGTTATTGCAGGTTCTGGCAGTTATCTGCCGTCCATACGAGATCCACGTTTCTTTCTATTTTTTTATTTTTCTTTTTGCGTGTCGCGTCACTTTCGGTCGCTGCACCCACGTATCGCGCCGCCCGCACACACCACACAAAGACACACGCACCACCCGACCCGAGCAGCCAGACCACAAGGCACCACACACGGCACCACACGGCGGCAGCCAACCCCAGAAAAAGAGTACTTGAAGCAAACACGTCCTCGGCCTCGCGCGCCTTGTATCTTTTTCCCCCTTTATTCTCACCTCTACCTCGCACCATCCCTCCCTCTTCCTCCCATCCCTTTCCCTCGTCACCGGCCATCCCCCCCCGACCAAAAAAAAAAAAAACCCCCCCCCCCCCCCCCCCCCCCCCCCCCCCTTTTCCCCCCACTCTCCCCCCCCCCTCGCCCCATCCCCCCCCCCTCCTCCCATCCCCTGCCCTCGTCACCGGCCATCCCCCCCCGACCAAAAAAAAAAAAAGCCCTCTCCAACCCCGGGCGTGTGCGTGACCCGCTTCTTGTCTTTGCGACTCAAGGCTTGGTCCAAGTCTCTCTTCCACCCCCCGAGAGAGCAGAGACCAAATATTCCCCATCCATCAACCCGTCGGCTTATGCATCGTTGTTGAGTTAATACTACCACTACATTGCCCGTAAGTACCTGCACCCATCTCCTATGTTCCTTTTCACCCGTTGTCCCGATTGAGGTTCAATTCACCACCTGTACCTCAAAGATGGAATCGTCGCGCGCAAGCAGCCCGCCTCGTTGGTGTTGATGCTGTCGCGTACTTCCCATCAGGACTTATCATCTCGACGCACTCGTCAAGGTTTTTTTTTTTCTGCCTCACCGCGTCTTCGCAAGCACGTCTGTAATCCTCCCCGACAAGCAACGCCTTGCGCAATTGCCTGCGTCACTCCTGTTTGTCGTCTCCATCTTGTTCCATCTCTCCAGTTCGTCTTCATCATTTCATCAATCAGGCTCTTGTTCGTCCGCCGGCTCTTGTCGTCGTTCGTCGCTACACACAATAGCAGTCATTGTACCCTCTTCCCTCGTCGGAAGCGCCCGTGTCGCGTTCGCGCCTTACGGCGTGGGCCCCGCCGCCCATGACTCTTGCGCGACAGTTTCTTGTTTCCTCGGGTCGCGAATCAATTGACCATGGTACACACGGTACTAACCTTTGGCCCTCTTGTTAGATCATGCAGCAGTGGCAAGTCGGCCCCGTGCCGGAGTACATCTACTCCAACTCCACCCACCAGCCTAGCGACATGCAGTAAGTACCTCCTCCACCCTGTACCCCTCGATCACTACCTACGTTCCCCGTGCCCAAAGTCACTCTCCTTCTCCCCCGTCCCGTCCCGTTCTCCTTCCATCCTCCTCGTCCGCCCCGCGAGGCTGCGTACAGACACCTCCCCTCTATCCAGGGGTACATCGATATGTACCTCTGGAATACCTTTTCCCTTCGAGTAACCCCGGCCACACTGTCTGGGCCTGCTCCGCGGCGTAAAAGAGGGTGTAACAAGCAACAACAACAATAACATGACCCTCCTCTCCGCCGTCGATGCATTCTCACACACGACCTCACGAGAGTCGTGTCCATTCGCCATGCTGATCCCGTCGGAAGGAAACTCTACTGACAGTCCATCATAGTCCTCAACACCCCTATCAGCAGGACATGTCTCGTCGGGACCAGCACCCACAGTTCCAATACGGAGCGCCGCCTCATCAGAGCCCGGCACCTCAGCATCACCAGCCCACCCCGGTGCAGCCTCCGATGACTGTGCCCCAGCCGCCTCAGCCTCCGCAGGCCCAACCTCACCCTCAGCAGCAGCAACAGCACCACCAGCAGCAGCAGCAGCATCACCAGCAGCAACAGCAGCAGCATGCGGTACAGCCCCCGCCCCAGCCGGCGCCGCAACCCCAGAGGAACCGCAAGCGTCCGGCTCCGGCCCCGGCTCAACAGGCCCCGCCGGTCGTCACTAGCGCCCCTCCCATGCCGCCTGCTCCCGTAGCGCCCACCGCCACACCCATCCCGCCACCCCAGATCAACCCTCCGGTTGCTGCTCCCCCTCCTCAGGCTCAACCCGCCTCAACGGAAGACGCCAACGCTCAGGCTCCTCAACCTCCCCCGGCCAAGAAGAGCCGCACAAATACCCCCTGGACCCCGGCCGAAGAGCTTCGCCTGAAGCAGATGAGAGATGCCGGCAGCAGCTGGGCTGAGATTGCCAAGGTTCGTCTTGTCTACCTACTACCCGCCTCTTTTCAATGACAGCACCCACTGACACCGCGTAGACTTTCCCTACTCGCACTGAGGGTAGTGTGAAGAAGCACTGGTACAAGGACATGCACTACGCAGAGTTCGCGGAAGACGAGGTTCGTAGCAGATGCTCCTGAGGGGTATTTCTTGTCAAAATTGCTAACAAGTCGCAGAGCCAAGCACTCCTTAATGCCATCAAGGAGTACGAAAACAACAAGTGGAAGGTCATCGGGCAAAAGGTCGGCAAGCCCGCCAAGGCTTGCGAACAGTACGCCAAGGAGCACTTTCCCGGTATGCCCTCTCTCAACATCACGTCGGTACGGCCGCACCCACATCAACGATACTAAATGATTCGTAGACCTCTACGCCAAGCCGACCAACCGGTAGAGGAACCTCAGCTCATCGGCGGTTCTGAGGATACTCGGGAGATGGGCAACCCTTTGAAACGTGGCGCTGGGAGTGTCTCGACGCGTTGGGATATACCAATTGTGTTTCTTCTGTCTCGTTCTGACGATCACAACGACCTGGATTCGGAAAAGACGATTCCCCCTGTGCACTTTTTAATTTTTTTCTTCGGTTTTTTCATTTGGAGGCTCGACTTTAATTACTTTTTGACCGCGTCCCATCTCGACGTCTTCGGCATGGCCTCCCTCGGTCGACAACTCGCGGCGGATATGGGAGGTGGCCTTTTGGGATTGCTGGCCCTTCGTATATGACGGTCGCCCTGGGTTAGGGCTTGCCTGTCATCAGTGTGCTCTGAATTTCATAGCGCAACACGAAAAGGAAGTTGAGTGATGGCGGGTGTCATACCCGTTCGAGAGATGGTCTGCGCGTGCTCATGTATGCGGAAGGACCTTCGATGTGGTATTGATGTTTGCGAAGCATTTCCAAAAAGGGAAACCTCTCTTTATCTCATGGCTTACCCAGAGGAGATGAGGACATAATGATGCGTGGACGAATCGTCCATCGAGGGTGGTCGCGAAAGTCTAGGGACAACTTCACACAAAACTGGTTCGCTTGGGACGGTGTCATTGGAAGGATGGAAAGAGGGATCGGTACCGGGATTGTGAGATTGTTCGATTGTTCGATTCATGATTTGTCTATACCCTTTAGTGAGAGAATCGTGTTTTGTTGTCGGGTCTAGAAGAGACTTGGTGAACATATATCCCGTATGATGAGTGATTGAGGACAACGGTTATTGAGACAACTTAATGTGATTTAATGAGCCGGGTTCTTACTATAAGGGTGCCATCGCCCTTGGGGGTGAGGTATGGTGAGCAGAAGTGTTGAAAATGACAAGGAGACTAGACAATATACAGACTGTTATCCAAATTCATTAACGTGACCTATTTAGTTTTCGAAAAGCGAACAGTGATGTTCTCCAAGGTCAAAGTGACGCCAATCTGAAGATGTTGCGGGTGGTGAGGATGATTTGCCTTGGATATCGAATTGTGAGCAGCTGCCAGACACCACAGGTCAGAATATGCGTACATCCTACGGGCAGCCTCAAGATGGCCGAGTGGTGGAAGACGAGCCCTTTCCCGTCAGGTTGTGTGGTTTTTTGGCAAATGGAGAGGGCGTTTTCCCAAGGGCATTGCTGCCGATATGCTACAAGGTCTCTAGTAACCAATGACGATGGGTACTTGGAAATGAAAATGGGCATTGCTCTAATTGTTGCCAAACACAGTAAACATGTTGAATGTTGAACATTTCACACCAAAAGGTAATAGACGAGATTAAAAAGCAGAGACAGGCAGATACCCGGACGGCGAACTATACATTCAAGCCCTCTTCAAGGTCAGCATATGCCATTAAAGATATATGAGTGCATCGACGGCCGCCCTCTTCGTCTATGACGATGCTCAAGATTCGTCATGGATCATGGCTGTGTTCAGGGTGGTTTCTGTACTCGTCAGCTTGATCTTGACCATCTCGTCCGCTTCGCCGCTGAAGAGTATCATTTGCTTTCCGGAATAGTTTAATATGCCGTGTGTGGCATCAGTGCGGCTGAAAATAGTAATCTTGCGACGAAATGATTCTCCTTGCTTTTGACATTGAGTGGTGTGGGCGTGGCCGATGTATTCACTCTATCCAAAATAGCAAGTCGTGGCTTAACATTCTGTAGCTGCTAGGTATATCATCCTCGTCACCGGTGAACTCTTGACAATGATCCAGACCAAAGGACGAAACAGGCGAAATGATGTATTTTCCTACACTGTCTTATTCAAGGGGATGATCCTGGAGAGGGCAAGGGTTTCCATTCAACATGCTTATCCAAGCATTTTGGCAGCCGAACGACTCAGCCAGAAGCTTTTCGATGCTGTGCTCTGGGCTGCTGTGGTCCGTTCATTGCTGACATACTTGTTGATATATCTGTCAGCGTGCGATTGATTTGAAGAGAGACTCGTGATCAAGGCCAGACATTGGCCGCGGCGAGAATCATGCAATGACTACGAGTTTCTCTGGGTGGCTCGTGATGAGCAAACTGGAAGTTGTGGGGGGCACTCATCGATCGAGGCACGTAACCGCGGTTCTGTCAATCATGCATTTTTTCCCTTTTCAATAACCTCAATCTTAGCACACGACGAATCTCTGTTCTTTTTGGCAACACAAGCTTCTCACATGACACAAAGGAAACGAACGGCCGGGCAACCCTGGCGACTGGAGCACTGACGGGTGCGCGATCTTGCGGCTGTCGCCGGTCAGACGCCTCGTGTCACATGAGCACGACAGGCGTTTTGTCAGGCAAGCCAGGGGGTTCCGCGGTTGTCGTCCGCTTATGGGAGGACGGACGCAAGGCGTGCCACGGCGGGCAATGATTGGGCTACCCCACATTCGCTACGAAGTTTTGAGACTCGAGCATCCAGGTTGTCTTTTTGTTATTGTGTGTTTATACAGATGAGTGTTGTTTTGTTCCGTTATTGAACTCGTTTACGGATAAGACGGCGAGAGGAGACTTTTGTTGTTTGTGATGTCCGTGGCATGTGGCGTTTGGCGGGAGTCAAAGAATGTGGTAAATAAACAATAGTAGACAATGAAATGTGCCAACGGTGGAAGAAACGGGGTTATTCAGCGATGTCTGACGGTTTCAAGTCGACGGCTCAGATTCGACAATTGACGGATGGCTTGTTAGTGCTTGATCCTACCTTAGGCTGCCGCGCAGTACCCGTCAATGAAGCGTCAAGCGCCAATGTATTTAGTTGTGTGCAACGATGCAACCCAAAGCCATAGGTAGCTACAAAGGATGCAGTGACACACACACACACACACACGGGGCCAGCATGCTGCATCGGTTGCCTGACAGGCGACATGTTCGCAGCCAGTGGCGGCCTGGCAGGTGGACGATCAATGGGCGACGTTGAGAGGCACAGAGGAGAGGAATGGTTTCTGTGGTCCCATGCCCCGTGCACCGGGAGCACAGAGCACTCGGGGCGAAAATCACTGCAGAGTGAGACTTAATCGAATTGAAAAAGTGGACGGCCGAGGGAAAGCCCGGGGGGGAGGGGGCAAGCACGGGGATTGATGCCGTGATCTTCCAACCTTGGTGCTTTGGTGAGAAAGGTATTGGACCGATGATTCGGGGCTAAGCCCAAAAGGGGACAAGAGGCATTGAAGAGTGGTCCATAAGTGGACAGAAAATCATGATCTGGGAACCCACCAAGAGAGGGATGGGCAGGTGGCGATTGGACCAATACGAGGAGAAGCTGCACTCCAGTTCTTGTTTCCCCCGTACCTATTTCTTTTTCAAGGTTTCCTCATGAAGGGAGGCACATGGTCAGGGCAAGGGTCGGGCTCTAACCGGCTTTGCGGCTTGACTACCCAAATGAACCCGCGCTTGACCCGATGGGGCAACGAAGAGCGGCTTCGTTGCCCCACTCGTGTCCATTGGTCTGCAGCGGATAGGTTGAAGGACGAGGAGAGGCCTGGAGAATCCAACAATCCTCCCTGGCGTGCCACTGAGAGACCCTAAGAAGAACTGGAGACCGTCTGGTCAGTAATGGACAGGAGAGCAGACCGAAAGGGGGAAGCAGCAAAGCACAGCCGACTGTAAGGCATGGTGAATGGAGAGAGGTGGGAAGAAGGTGGTGAGATGCTGATGGATGTTGTAGACTTGCAGTTGTATTGGTACGAATACACATAATAAGGTAAGGTAAGGTAAGGTAGGATACAGAGGCGCAGCATCCGTCTAAGCGTAAACCAGGTAAGCGTAACTGCCTCGCCCTTTCTACCTGGCTTTATGTAGGCTTGTAGGCAGGCACCAGGTACCTACTAGCCAATACCCAAGCGTGCTAAGGTGCCCAAGAGCAAGGAGGCACGCTAAGATGTAGTCGTCGTGGGAGGAACAGTGAGCAGCGAGCGCTTGCCTCCTGGTTTGACTTCCCGTGCATTCCCACTACTCCCGCCCTCCCCATCCCTTCCCCCAAATTAATTCTCGCGGCCTTGGCTTTTCCCTCGAGTCAACCCTTCTCTTACGCACCCGTCTCTCATCCGCCGTGGTCTTCACTCGTTCTTGACCCGGGCTTCTCCTTGTAATTACTACTACCATCGCTTAATACTCTTTTCTGCACGTCCGTCCAGAAACAAACCTTCGTTCTACCCATAGACGAACCCTACTACCTCTGTCGTCCGAACGCCCTCGTTTCGTCCCGAACTGACGTCGACTCGAGTCAATCACGAAGCCGGGATCCCCAGATTATCAGCCAAACTCTGTTTTTAATCCTCCGATATCTAAACTCCAATATCGCATCCGACCCGATCCTTCGGACGAGACTTGTACCACGATAATTCGGGCTTGTCAGGGACAGATACACAAGTCATCAGACACCCGAATTCCTCTCCGTCGCGGCAGTAAACACACCCGACCGTATCCCACTGTCGCCCGCGGACGGCCAAAAACCAACAGATCCCAATCGACCTTGAGCTTCAGTCGTAAGAACAACATTGGCCTCTTCTCGAAAAGTTACTTCCGGGTCTCGAGCGTCTCTTGTCCTCTTCCTCCGTCGTAACACTGTAACACGAACCCAGTCACCACACGCACTCGCTCCAAAATGTTGTCGGTTCTTCCCATGGGTCTTGCCCTCCTTGGTGCCACCACCGTCCTCGCCCAGACGCCCCCCTCGTGCTCCCTCACTCAGAAGTGCCCCGAGAGCGCACCATGCTGTTCCCGTAAGTTGCCACAGTCCGGAATTATCCACGATACCCGAGTCTCTAATGATCGCAGAATATGGCCAGTGCGGTACCGGTGCCTTCTGCCTCGGCGGTTGTGATCCCCGAATGTCCTTCTCCCTCGACGCCTGCGTCCCCGCCCCCGTCTGCCAGGACAAGAAGATGCCCATGAACTCGCTAGACAAAATTGTTGATATCAGCAAGTACTACGGCGACCCAAGCAAGGCCGACTGGATATCCCAGGGTGAGCCTGCGCTGTACAATAACGAGGCTGTTCTCCTCACCATGCCTGTCAAGAGTGTTGGAACTGTCCTTGCCACCTCCACCTACCTCTGGTACGGCAGTGTCTCCGCCACGATCAGGACCTCGCGTGGTCCCGGTGTCGTAACGGCCTTCATCTTGTACGGTGACGTCAAGGACGAGATCGACTACGAGTGGGTCGGTGCCGACCTGGAGATGTCCCAGACCAACTATTACTTCCAGGGTATCCCCAAGTGTAAGTCTTGCAAACACCAAAGTGAACTCATTTGCTGTGCTGACCATCACTAAGACGATCAATCTGGCAACATCTCCCTCTCCGACACATTCAACAACTGGCACACGTACGAGATTGAGTGGACTCCCGATGAAATCAGGTGGATGGTGGATGGCCAAGTTGGCCGAACCAAGAAGCGCTCCGACACATGGAACGCGACAGCCCAGCAGTGGGATTACCCGCAGACGCCCGCCCGTGTTCAGCTGTCCATCTGGCCAGGTGGTGCCGCCACCAACGCCAAGGGCACCATTGACTGGGCCGGTGGCCCCATCAACTGGGAGCACGAGGACATCAAGAACAATGGATACTTCTATGCCATGGTCAAGGACGTCGAGATCAACTGCTACAATGCCAAGAGCGGTCCCGGCACGAACAGCAAGAAGAGTTATTACTATAACAACATCAAGGCCACCAATGACACTGTTGTGGATAGCGACAAGGACACCATTTTGAAGAGTTTCCTCGGCACCGGTCTCGACATGAACGCAGGTGCCTCATCGGCTTCCGGCACTGCGGCGCAGCCTACGGCCTCAGCGGCCACCATTCCGGGTGGCAGCAGCTCTGGCACGGGTAATGACCACAGCGACAGCGGTAGCAGCTCCTCCGGCTCGGGCTCGGGCTCGGGCTCTTCTGGATCTGGCTCGGGCTCTGGTGATTCGTCGGGCTCCGGTTCCGGCAGCAGCAGTGGTTGCGGCACCAACGGCTTCTCGCAAGACTGCAGTAGCGGTAGCGGTAGCGGTAGCTCGAAGAGTGAAGGCTTCCGCCGCGAGTCCTCGTTCGGCGCCAGCGCCTTTGCCGCACTTGTGGCTGCTTCTGCTCTCTTCTGGCTGTGAAGCAGAAACTGACTACAGCGTGGCTTTGGGGTTTAAAAGGTTTAATGGATAACGTGATAGCACTTGCTTAGTTTCGATTCGGGCTACTTGTACGTAATGAGAGCATTTTTCTTTGAAGCATGTTTCATGAAGGCATTTTGGGGTAACGGCGCTTGCCGTCCATTCATTTAGTAAGGGGATTGGGGCAACTGTATTGCATATGCAGGCGGCCGTTTGCGAGCTTTGATTTCAAAGCCGGTGTCTGTATATAGGACAAAGATGCGCAATAAAGACAGTGTGAAATTCGATGCCAACTGTACGCGATCATGTCATATCATGGCTTGAACGAGGTTGAACACGTGAAGACAATGTTGGCCGGGTCAGCCTCCATCGAGAAAAGGATGACTGCAGGGCGGGTATGGATGGTTCATCACAAACACAATGCTGACATGGTAGCATTCAGTGAGAGGGGTCGTTGGAGGTACACGGCAGATGCCGTAGCATCGGAGATGAGGCCGAACGGCTGCCGGGAACGCATCGGCGATCAAAGGCCGAGCGAGACGGACGGGCGACGATGGGAGCCAAAGAGACAGAGGACCGGGGGTTGAGCATTTCGTTCTAGGCATCCGAGGCGGTGTGAGATTTCACCTGGGATGCATCTGGGATGTATGCTTGGAAGTTGGGCGAGACGTGGTTGTCAGACGTATTGATGCGGCGCGGGGAGAGAGGCCGAGTATTTGGCTGTTGATGATGTGTCGAATCTTTGATGGGCCGACGGGCGACGGGCGACGACGAGCATAGGCGACGAAAAATGACGAGCGAGACGTGGGACGAATGAGAGGATGAAAGAGTGTTTCGCGAGGCGACGAGTTTGGCGAGTTGGAGCGAAAGACGCGAGCTGAGCCACGAGCTTGGCTGTTAATTGTGCCGTCGGGGGAATTCTAGGCTGAAGTGGGTTCGTTTGTCAGTGTTAGTGGTAGCCGTCCACAAACGCTTGAAGAAGCGGCGTAAGATAACTGGTGCTAACAAACGCCAATAACCATACCGGTCATGACAGGGATGGGCGATGCTGCACGGCGGGGATGCGGATCCTGTAAGCCACGAAGTAGGGGTGATCCTGCCGATCACATCGAGGTTGCAGCAAGGGCTGAATGTGAGTTCCGCCTTTTTCGATTACCTTGCGGACCAACGTGCTCTCTAATTTGTACCGACCGCGCAACGTCGTGTCTTCGTTGTTGGTTCGATTCGTTAGGACGCGCCTGTTTGAGTGCGATGCGGAAGACGGAGGTCGCGGCGCGCGGGCCTGGGAGTCTGGGGCACACAGCCTGCATCTTACCTACCTTGGCTGGTAGGCAGAGAGACAGCATGGATGCGGTGTTTGCTTTCTTTTGCTGGTGAGTTTTCAATGCGATGCTCCGTCCTGCAGACGGGCTGCATGTCTGCCCGGCCTGGGACGGAGGTTGGATGCATATAAGGCTGGGCAGGCTCGCTGTTGGGAGAGGAAAGAGTTGAACATCATCATCATCCTACTCCTTGGCGGCATCAAGCTTTCACTTGACTTTTAGTCCATCCTACTCGAACAACCAAGTCCAATCGTATTCATTGATATCACTCATCCCCTTCCCTTGGCGGTAACATCACTTGCACTTGGCACCACTATCAAAGCATATACCAACCACAACCTCACGCTCTCCTCCCCTACTTTGGGCCACAGAACCACAAACACGACACTACATCATCATGTCCGGAATCAAGACCATCGCCTTCTTCGGCGCCTCGGGCGGCTGCGGCATGGCGGCCCTCAAGCACAGCCTCGAGGCCGGCTACGTCTGCATCGCCCTGTGCCGCAACCCGACAAAGATGACGGACGTCCTCCCCGAGGCCCAGAACCCGAACTTGGTGGTGAAGAAGGGCAACGCCCACAGCGTCGACGATGTGGCCGCCTGCCTCGTCAACCCCACCGACCCGACACGTCTCGTCGACGCTGTGAGCTTCAGTATCGGCAGCCCGCTCAACCTGGCCAAGATGACGGTCGAGGACCCGGACGTGTGCAAGAATGGCGCCGCGGCGCTGCTGGGCGCTCTCGAGAAGCTGCGCGGCCAGGGCGTGACGGGGAAGCCGAGGCTGGCCATCATCTCGACGACGGGCATCTCGGACCACGCGCGGGACGTGCCGCTGATGCAGGTGCCCATGTACCACGTTCTCCTCAAGGCGCCGCACGCCGACAAGAGGGTCATGGAGCAGAGGATCGTGGCGAGCGACGAGATCTTCACCTTTATCCGTCCAGCGTTTTTGTCCGACGGTGCGCAGCCCGAGAAGCGGATCCGGACGGGCATCGAGGATCCCAAGACCGGGGTCCAGACCAAGGCTATCGGGTACGGCATCTCCAGGGAGGACGTGGGACGGTGGATCTTTGAGGAGATTTTCAAATCGGGCGGTCCGAATTACCTGAGGAAGGCTGTTACCATTACCTGGTGAGGTGAAGCTGTGGGGCATGCGTCATGAGGGAGTGAGCGAGTGAGTGGGCGTGTGAGAGAGAGAAATGTAGATTGGCGCGACGAGAGATCCGGGCGTTTATGTCTTTCTGCTTTGAATACCTAATGGACCTCGGAGTCTTGATACCCATGACTGCCGGGTTTCTTCTGCAATACTTTATAGACATGACCTGGGACTGAATGCTTGAATCTATATCATTTCTTCCCTATGGAATTCTTGAGTCAGCATTTTGTTGCTGAAGATTGTGACCATCTCATAACTCGTAAACTCCGACCCTTTCGAATGTTGACTTAGACCTGAAATACCTTTTGCGCTCGTTCCAGATGCTAGTCTCCACAGGATCGAGGTCTTTTGAAGGGTATCTTTGTGACATGCTTGATTAGGTTCAATTCCAGCTCATCAGCAATTGTAGAGATTTCAATAACCTTCAGGTAACGTGAAATGCAGGTGATAGGAGATCCACCGCACTCATCAGTCTTTGAACCGTTGATCGGCTACGTATGATGCTAGGCCTCAAGTGTTCTTGTAGACTGCGCATCTCACAGCCCAGCCCCCCAAACCTCCCAACCAGGAGAGAATGGGCCATGTCGAGATGGCGCCAGCCAAGGCCTGGTGCCACAACCAATAGTGGTCAAGAACATGATTTCAGCCAATGCCATCGCAACAAGCCCTTTGATCCAGAAGCAAGCTCGACAGTCTCTGGCACTCAGGATGCGATGACCACTGGATCAGCCTTCACCCCCGCGCTCCACTGCAGTGCTAGTGCTGAGCTTGGTACGTCCATGGCAGTTCCATGCATCTCGAGCTATTTCACCATCCCATCTCACTTTCTGGTTGGATGCGGATGCGCATGTCGTCTCCAGCCGCCTCGTCTCGATGGTCTGTGGTTAGTTCTCCAAGCGCAGCCACGCCGAGAATACCTACCTAGGAAAAGGCACGTCAACGGCGTCTGAAAGAGTACGTACCGGCACTTGCTGGTGAGTCCACACCGGTACGTACTGTAACGGCCGGCCACCTGGCGGCATGTTGATAAAAGTCGTATGCGGTTCTTCCTTTCCTTACCATTGCCGTCCGATAAAGTGCGCAAATTGCAATGATGCGACAGGGTAAGAGACGAGGATTCTCAATCCCGCCTCCAGTTTCTCCTAAATAAGGATGACAAGGAATAGCAAAGTATAATTTAGGGTAGCTGAAATAAAGGCCGGGTGGGGAGCGGGCGAACATGGTCCCAACTGAGTCTCCCGCTCAAAAGTATGGAAATGCCCAGAATGTTTCTCGCCCAACCCTCTGCGGCCAAGGACGGGTGAACTTGTTTCGAAACACCGCCCCCACTCAGCCCCTCCCAACCGGCGACCAACCGCAGCGCCTGAAGGACGTGACGTTCCCGTTTGGTAACTTGGGTTGCCTCTGGCGTTCCGTGGCCATTTGGCCCCTGTTTCATCGGTAGTGGTCGTAACCTAAGGTAGTGAGTAAGGTAGCGCACGGCAGAGCAGACGATCCGGAGTTGGGTCATTGGGTAGCCGAATTTGGTCCGGCCTGGAGATCATGAGGCTCCCTGGATGATGGATGAAGACCCATCTGTTCACAAATCAATTAGCGAGAGTCTGTCCTGCTGTGGCTGCCCGCTCAAAGGCGCGGTTTATGGCTGGGCGCAATGACAGGATCCAATCCCCGTTGACTGTCGGACGACACGTCGGAGTCGAGTCGGATCTGACTGGACTTGACTGACGCTGGATCCCCACGGGCTCATGCTTACTACCTGCGTCCATGTGGTTTGAGGAATCATAGGCATCTCAGCAAACATGCAGCGTATCCCTCACTCCCCAGATAACGTCTACCTCTCATCTATCGTTTTTTTTTTCCTTTTTTTTCCCCAATTTTGGCGGCTGGCGGCTGGCGGCTGAGGCTCCAGTCGAATAGTGATTGCAAATTGTCCATATGTAGGGAGGTGTCCTGCGGCTTCTTGGGGGCTCTGTAGGCCTGGCGAGTAAGTTGTGCAACAGACCCAACCAACAGCCGGTCACCTCGCCATCTTGGGCTCCCCGGCAATCGTTTCCCTGTTATAAGCCGTGACCCTGACATCCCATCCTCCTTCCCGCATCCCTCGCCTTTGCGTCTTTGCTCTCTAGAACAGGACTCTTTGCAAGAAAAGGATTCAATCATGGGGGGTCTGAGACCAATCGAGGCAGTGACACAAACAGATGCAGACATCCATGTATGCAGAGAAAGGGGGGCTTTGTGTGTTTGGTGGTTGTAAGGCTGGCTACCTTACTGCTGGAGCTCCAAGCTGAGTGGACTGGGCTTGCCATCCCATCTCACCCTATCCCTTCCATTCATTCAACTCAGCCATGGCTGGGGGACTGGGTTGGTCAGGATAGTTAATCTGGCAAGCAAGAGTCAGATGCATGGAAATTAGAGTCAAAGACTAGGTGAGGTATGCATGTTCCAACATGAACATGTGTGCATTTACATAAAGCCTCCCCGGACTTCCCTTGCTGTTTGACCAACTTATAAGGTTGCAGCTCCTGCCTCCGCCGTCCTAGGTCTCCCTCCTAAAGTATTATTCGGATGAAATACCAAACTGTTTTATTCACTTCAGCAACAAGAAACCCCTAATTTCTTCACTCAATCAGCCTTGTTCCTTCCTTTGCTGCACATACCAATTAGACAAATTTCAGCACCTGCCTACCTTGACCAGCTGCTACTTCCTTCCACTTCTCAACCACCACTTTTACTTTTACCTCACAACTTTCCCACATCACTCATCTCTTTTTCCCTTCACTCTTCACTCTTCACTCACCACTCTCTACTTTCTTCTACTTCTTCAATCACACACTCTCCATTCTCTACTGCTTTTCCAGCTCACTCGATACCCTCATTCCCCCTTTCTAACTTCACACAAATTCTCACGATGCGCTTCGCCTCCGTTATTGTCATCGCAGCGGCCGCTTCTGCTGCGGTCATTGGCCGTCAGAACGCTCCCGCTGCTAAGGCCAAGCTGCTCCTCGGTGCTCCTACCACCATCTCCGTTGCCGATTACGATGGCAAGTCGTTCAACATCGTGAAGAAGGACACCCAGTCTGGCACCAGTCCCAGCTGGATGGTCTTCAAGGAGCCTAACCTCCTCTACGCCGTCGATGAATATAGCAACGACATCCGTCTCTTCAACGTAAGTCGCCTCTAATTCCCTCTTCAGCAGCCTCTGAATCCCTTTCTACTCGCTGGGGATGAATTTGACTCTTTCCAGTTCGATACAGCTACCAACGAGCTCAAGCTCGCTGTGTCCGCCAAGGGTTCTGCTGGTGTTGTCTCTCTCGAGTTCAACCATGACAAGACTCGCCTCGTCGGCACTTCTTAGTACGTATAAATTACCCTATTCTTTCCCTCCTTTTCCCACGGTACTCAATCAACTAACATCGTTCAGCGGCGAAGGCACTGTGGACGTCTGGGACATCTCTGACGCGAGCACTCTCAAGCGCCTGCACAAGATCAGCCTCGGTGGCACCCTCGGCCCCAACAAGGTCCGCCAGGACAACTCTCGCGCTCATCAGGCTGTTCTCGACCCCTCAGGTCGCTTCTTCGCCATCAACAACCTCGGTACCGACTCCATCGTCATCATCGACTCCAAGGACGACAAGTACGAGATCGTGTCTCGCAACAGTGTCGCTAGAGCTGGCTGCGGCCCACGCCACGGCGCCTGGTACCCTCAGAAGGGAGACGCGCCTACCGCCTACGTTGTCGCCTGTGAGCTCACCAGCACCCTCGAGGTCTTCTCCGTCTCTACCACCAATGGCTCGGCCATCTCCCTCACCCACACCTCGGAGCTGAGCACCTACGGCGCCGCTTTCCCTCCTGCCAACACCACTTCCGCTGCTGCTGGTGAGATTGTCATCTCGGCTGACGGTAAGGACGCCTACGTCTCCAACCGTTTCAGCGGCAACGAGACCGACTCCATCTCCCACTTCAGGATCACCCAGCAGCCGGCCACGGGCGGTTCCAAGTGCAAGGCCAAGGCCGGCGGCATTACTCTCGAGTTCGTTGATCAAGTCTCTTCCGGCGGCCAGGTCCCGCGCATGTTCAGCTTCTCCAAGGACGGCAAGACGCTCTTCTCGACCAACCAGCAGGGCGTTGGAGGCGCTGGCGTGTTGGCGCTCAGCCGTGCCGAGGATACTGGCAGCCTTACCGCTGCCCCCATCGCGTCCGTCCCTGTCGAGGAATTTGGCAAGGTTGGCTCCGGTCCTCAGTTCGTCCAGCAGATCGTCTAAAATCTGGATGGCGTGACGTGTCCGATCATATTCTTTCTGTTTGTATTAAGGGGGTAGTTCTCTACGGCATCGGCTTTGGCGTTTACACGGCCTGGCGTTGGAGAGCGGCAACTATGAGTTGGTGGTACAGACATGAAACCGCTTGTTTGAGGAGGTTTTCGCTGCATTAGATACCAAAGTCATTAGGGTTAGTGACCTCGTTCTCCAAAAGTCTCAAAAATAAGATCTTTCATCTGGGAACATGGCATATATCGCTCGTTTGCTTTGTGTCAATGTGAGGGGTCTGGTGAAGTTGGGTTGCTCTGGGCTCAGATAAGAGTAGAGAAGCGTGTGTAGTCGAGTTTGTCTATCCACAGCAACCTTGAAGGGTCTACCTTGGGTACTATGCAATTGAGCCTAGCGATAGCGTGTGTCCACTGTAGCTTAACGAAGTGCGAATGCGCTACGACGTCAGAAAGGTCGCTAATCGGCTGCGCTACCCGCTAAAGATGCTGATTGATCACTGAAAAACTTTGTCTCCACCTCCAGGTCGGCGTGGTCGGGTAAGAGCCGACAACCACTCTTGTCCTGCGGCGCCCGTCAAACGACGCAAGCCGCTACCGCCGAAAAACAAGGGCCCAGCGAAATCTTGGGCCGGGATTATGAATGAACAAAAGCAATCGACAAAACCAAAGTACGATTATCTCCCAGTTCGCGCTCCCGCCTCTGGTCTCCCGCCGCCATGTCGGACAAAATCACCGGCAAAAATCTATCATACGACACAAATATCCCGCCATTCCTGCGCGCTCTCCAAGCACAGGCGGCAGGAAACGGAGGCCCGGACGAGATTCTCTCGAAAAGACGACGAGCAGGCAAGAAGCGCTCCGACAGTGAGGAGGCAGAGGACGCACCGCTTGTTGTGGATGATGAGGGCAACGTTGTCGATGTACGGGTGGACAAGGATGGCGCTGTGGAGGCGGATGCCTTGAAGAAGGATGAAGAGGAGGGCAAGGAGAAGGATGCCGAGGGAGAGAAGAGAGAGACGGAGAAGATTGCTGGGATTGGGGCGAGTAAGAAGAGGAAGGCTGGCAAGGTTGTCGGCGGTGATGCTAATGAGGATGCTGTCGTCAATAAGAGCGCTGCGAGGGACGAGAAGAACGAGGGCGTTGACGATGGCGCTAAGAAGAAGGCTGGTAAGAAGAAGGGGAAGAAGATCAAGCTTAGTTTCGACCCGGAATGAGGCGTGTCGGGACCAGGGCGAACTTCATCACTATCAAACGCAATGCGGGCGACGAAGAGAAGACGGCCGTTCCGCACAGGAGCGATCCAAACCATGAGAGCCGTGGCTCTTCGTATTGTCTAGGCCGCAGACCATCAAGACGACGACTTGACGATGGCACAAAAGATCCGCACGGGTCAGGAGTCAGGAGACAGAAATCGGGAGGAAAAGGTTCTATACAGCCACAACTTATGGTAATCTACACATCTGCCGTGCTCACTCCAGAGCAACCCCGATGCCGTCTCGCCTCCAGTCTCCTTGCTACGTGCCCACAATCAGCTGATGCATCTATTGGTATCGGTACTCGGGCTTGACGAAGTCGGCGAAAGTCTTGGGCTCCTCATAGCCGTGGTGGTGATCGTGGCCGTGATGGTCGTCAGTAGGGCCGACGTACTCCATCTTGTAGACGGAGCCGCACTCGGGGCAGCGCTCGATGGGGCGGTCGCGAGAGATCTGTACAATGTTTCATTAGGTCACAGTGCTCTTTGGCAGCTTAATCGGGTCGACGGGCACGTACAGTCAGCCAGATGGTGACGTGGGAGTCGACGGGGACACCGGTGCAGCCGAGGTACTGCTCCTCACCGGCGGAACGGACAGGGATGGGGTTCTCGACGGTGCCTAAGACAATGAGTTAAATTTCGAGCTCTCGCTTGAAGGACCGAGGAGGGGTTGTCAGGTACCCTTGCGGGAAGCATCGAGGGGGCGCATGTCGAAGACGTCGACGCCCTCCATCTTTCCGAGAATCTCGAGACGCTCGAGACCGGTGGACTGCTCGAGGTCGGTGGGAATGGTACCGGGCTTGGCACCAGGTCCGGTGAGGTCGTCCTCAGTCTGGATCTCTGTATTGTTGCAATTGAAATGATTAGCCTTGTGCTCTCTCATTTCCAGTCGTTCGAAATGGTGCGTCACATCGATCGTACGACGCGGTCCGGAGGGATGCGGTCGTGCTTGGGCATTCCGGAGAACCGCGCCGCGGGACGGGAACGACGATATTTTCGAGTCATTGGGATCGATAGACCTTACCGCTGATGGTCTTGTAGGGCTTGGCGGGGGTAGAGGAGTTGGCGTCGCCTGTTTGTGGCCGCGGATGGCCGTAGAGTCAGCGATAAGGGAACTTTCGGAATGGCTTCGCTCCAGCGCTTATTTTTTTCTTCTCGGGATTTGGGGGGCCTTCAATTGGGGGTCGTACGGCGGATCATGGAGGTCGCGAAGGTGCGTCTAGCGAGGGGAGCGACGGCCGCCCGGCGGGCAGCCATGATGGCGGAGCGCTGCAAGAACATGGCGACAGCAATTGGGGGTATGGAGAGGAGAGGTTCGTTGTTGTGACGTCGGATTGGGGTGAAGAGAGAGGGATTTGTCGATGGCCTGATTTGATGGCTTGATGTTGCGGCTGTCGGGTAACCTACGGGGAACGGCCAGTCAGAGAGCACTGGCCAAGGTACTTGCCGTAACCGGAATTGTAAGCGACTTGTCATCACGTGACAAAGAGATTACCAAATGAGAGTCGTGACATTACAGAGCCCATGTCTCCTTCCATCCGCGCCGCTCTCAGAGACGGCTCACGAAGGATGCGAATGGCATGATATTGGAGGTTTTTCATTTGAAAGTGTCACGCTAAACTGATGCTGTCCATCACCTGGATGGCCCTAGACTGTGATGTGACAATTCTCCCGTAACTCATTCACCTCCCCTCCCCGAAAGCCGGTCTCAAAGCCGTTCACCGTCCATCCATCCCATTCCCGTCTCGATTGCTTGCCCCTTCAGATTTCCGATGCACTTGCATCAGAGCCAGTCTAATTCGTCTAGCTTCTGCGCCTCCTTGGAATAGTACCGGGGGAAGACGAACCCATGCGAAACTCTCCTACCAGTGTTTTTTGGGAAAGGACTCTCCCCAACCGAGGCCCTGATGGCCTCAATATTTGGGTTGCTTCGAATTTGTCTTTTAATCTCTTCTGAGCCGACAAACATGTCTATCCATTCCTGGTTGTCGTGCTGGACCTCGGCAGTGGCTTCATCTCGAGTGGGAGGCGTTTCCTTGGTGTCCGACGCATCAACGTCGGCCTTGCTCTTGAGGCTGTCCTGTTCAAGCCTATCCTCCATTGGGGCCTTCTTATCCTCGAACACAGAAGCTTGAGCCTGAGGGCCGCGCTCAGGCTTCTCTCCCAGGATCGGAAAAGATTTGATCTTCGTGCTGGTTGTGGTTGCAGGAGAGCTTGAGGGCAGGCTCTCAGTAGATGGTCTGGTTCGGACCGCAAGCTGCATCTCCATGTGTGCAGGTGCCTGGTACGGCTTCTTGACAGATCTCGATTGACTGTTGTCATATTCAGAAGTCTGTTGACCAAATGCCTCTGAAGAGTGGCGTTTTGTACGTCGATCCCTCTTGCGTCGTCCATCTTTTTGTGCAGAAAATGTCTGCATCTGCATCCGGGATTCCGCTGTGTTGGTTTGATTCAGAGCGAACGTCAGGGTAGGCTCATGTGCATTTCGATGCTGCTGCTGGGCATCGGGATCATAAGAAGTCATCGTCGACCGTTTCAATGCTGCATTTGGGGTCTTTGATGCGTCCGGAATCGGTGTGAACATCTGTGTCTGGCCTCCAGTAGAGGACACCTGCTTCCGTCTGCTCAAGTAGAAGTTGTAGTCACCAGTATGCTGCGCACCTCTGATCTCGGCTCTGCGGAGGATATTGTCGTAAGCAGTGTGCGTCTCGTTGATAATGACGCGCCAGAACGACTTCATAGCGTTCCGTGGATGGCGGTCCAGGGAGACACTCATTCTCCACATAAGGAAGTGTAAAGGCGGCATTCCTAGCTCTCCACGCTCATACATGGCGTTGATGCGGCTGAGGATGTTGCAGATCTTGTAGAGGACATAGTTGTCGCAAAGTCCTAGCACAGGCAAGTGTTCCTTTGCCATGAGTTGGTTTGGATGGATCGTGTGTCCTGGGCGAAACCACTGCTTCGCAACCTTGGCTTGCCTCAGGTTGCGCTGGTATCTCTTGAAAACAGATTCGGGATCCTCCTCAGCTGCTGAGAGAGCTCCGTCGAGAATTTGTTGGTGTCTGGTCGAGATGTATTCTTGATACTCCCTTTCCACTTTCTCTTCGTTGACTGCCTCTGCAAACTTTGTCCACATGGGATCCCAGTATGAGTCGTTCTCGCTGATGGGTGCAACTGGGACACCTCGTAGCATGGCCGGGTCGGTATATGTCTTACCGTCTTCACTGATTGTGAAGACTGTGTTCATGGGGGTAGTTGTGACTTCCAGCAGTGCTGCAGCGTCCTCATTGTCCTTAGGGCTGGGCGCATTGGATGACTCAACTGGTGGGATCGCTACAAGCTTTGCTTCCTTTTTCTCCAATTTCTTCCTCAGGCGTGCGATCTCATCTTTCTTCTCGCTGAGAGCCTCTTTGATATTTTCACGGCGTGCTTGTGCCTGTTGAATGGCCTTGTCGATTGCTGGCGTAGGTTCATCATGGGCGATGCGATTGGATCTGAGCTCCGCAATATAGTCCTCCTTGTAGGCAATGCGGGTCTCAATGTGGTCTGCATCTGCTTCAGCAGCTTGAATTCCTTGTCTCAAGTCTGAAATAGACGACAGAAGTTGCGATCGGTGGGCTTGCACACCGTTGTGAGTGGGTGAAGTTGGGTCCATTGTGATTTCCGTGTCCTGTCGCTTAGGTTGAACGTTAGCAACAGGGGCCACTTTGCGACTATGAATAAAGTACCTACCAACTCAAATAGCTTGTGGTCGGGATGTTTGTTAGGTGGAAGAAGAGGGTCGCAAATCGTTAAGAGACAGTCGGAAGTGGTGAAAAGGGAATCCGATCTGTGTTCGTGAGAGTCTAAGGTAGGTGCGATTGGTGTGAGATGAAAGGTGGAGGATGTGTACCAACCCGCTTCAGCTCACATAGCATACACAAATGCTTCCATCGATAATAGATAGTAAATACCTTCAATTAAAATTGACGATTCTCGAATTCAAGAGAGAAAATCGACCATGGTCAAGTGTCAAGATGAAAACTCTCATGCGGTGTGTAAAAGGAGATTCGATTGATGTGGCGTGCCGAGACTGGAAGATTCTGGTGGTGTATGAGAGAAGAAGAGGATACATAGCAGGACTTCTATGAAAGGCCTGAGAGAGGCAGTCAGAGAAGGAAGGTGGGTGAGAGTGTAAGAATATATCGGCATGGAAGTCATGAGGTTTTACGGCAGGAACGATGGGACCAGTTTGGCAGTCATAGATAGTACCAGTCTGGAAGCAGGTGAGGTACCTTGACAAGACAGGTCACTTTTGAACCAGTGCGATCCTTCCTCTGGGCGATCTTTAAACAAGAAAAACAATGTGATGAGATGAGATAGTCTGGAATGAAAACAAAGCCTTTAAGCTATGCAAAAACCATAAAAGATGCGTTTTGTCGACAGTATCAGCATCTCATTTTGATCAATCTCTATTAAATCTATTTATACCTACATGCATCTAATCCAGTCATCCTTAATGCGTCTGACTTTTTTATCATCTCGTCATAGCTTTTCACTAATCTTGTCGCCATCTGATCTCCGCTCTCGAAGAATACCGTCTTGATACCCAGTGGCGACATGTATACCTTCAGGACTCCACATCTTACAGATCAGTGTCCCTCGCCCCTGGCCGGTCCGAGGAAATGACGCCTCCTGAATCCACCAGCCACCATCTCTCATAACGGCTTGGTCGGCATTGACGTGGACGACGAATTTGTATGTCAAGCTGGCCGCTGTGCCCAGACTCCATCCGAGGCCAACATGGTTGCCTATCATCAACAATCCGTTGCGATCTGACTCAAACGCGTGGACGGCAACATACGAATTGGGATCTTCTGTTGAGAGTGGGCTTTTGAGTCGATATAAGAGGAGTTCTCTCCTCTCCGTAACCGGCTTCCCTTCATTGTAAGCAGTCAAGTCGACTTTGTGCATGTCAACGATGGGAAACGTCGTCTGACCGACATTCGGAAACATGGCTTTGATTTCTTCCACGTCGACTGCCGGAGCAAACGGCCAATCTTGCGGTGCCTTGGTTGACAAGATTTCGGCAAAGCGCTTCTGTGGTGGCTCTTCTTGCGAGACGATCCGGGCTTCTTCTGGCCGTTTGAAGGTGCATATGCAACTAAAACACACGTCACCAAGGGGCCCTTCTGCATCTTGGAGCAAGAAATTGTCCTCATAGTGATCGCGTTTGCTCGTCTCCTTCGGTTGCCGCACAGTCACCAGACGAGAGCAAAATGTCCTACTAGTCGATAGGACCGAGACCTCATATATGAAAGGCCTGTCTGACTTGGCGGCGGCCGAGAAAACACCCTGAATGGCCTTGCTGCGGTGTCAGTGATATCCCCATATTCCACCCAACGCGTTGGAATCCAGTCTCACATGAAGCCCGAAACCTCCTGACTGCGTCCCGGATTCCTCAGGTTCCTCTTCCTTTACAGCTCGGCTTGCGGCTAGCGGCGCCTGACAGTAAACATGCCCTCCATAAGCAGCTCGAGGATCTGCCTTGGACCCGCGGCCTCTTCCGCCAACGAGCTCGGAGCCAGGGACCCAAGCTGGGCATAGACTCATATAACGCTTGGCTATGCCGCCTGTCAATGCCGTATGGTTTGAGGGCGTTGGCAGCAGAGCCAGTGCCATGACATCGTTGAACAAGAGTTTGGACATAGCGAGTGAAGGGGTGAATGAACGAGACCAAGTGGGGCACAAGCAACGTCGATTGAGATGAATTGTGGTAATCACAGAATCCGACGTGAGACCCTCAAGCGGTTCATGAAATAATTTTTGCCTGCCGAAAATAACGAAACCTTGGAGCTTGGGAAAGGGAGGGACTGGTTTGAAAGTTTAGCTTCGAGGTCAGCTTAGTTTCCCCCAGCGACCCTCTGAGACTACCTCAGGATGAGATTGTACCTCGGGACGAGGAGCTCTGTGGCGGGGCCGTGGCCGTGCGGAGCTGCTCCTCGTCCTACTCCTGGGGATCCCCAGGAGTCTAGAGAATCGGTGCGGAGCCGAGGCACCCGTTTGAGGGGAATCCCCTAGAGGATTCTCATAGGGTCGGCTAGTCTCTTGCGCCGAGTCCATTGCTGCATTCCAAGGACCGCCGCGGGACTTTGGGGGGGTACCGGCTACATGCTCCGGAGAATACCCATAATTCCTCGGCCCAGGTACAATATGAAAACGGCGGTTGCCGGTGATTCTGGACCGGTCTCAACGGCGTACAAGCGGCGGGTGATTTTCTCAACATGGGGCTGATGTAAGACGATCGACCTTTCAAGCTTGCCAGTACGACTCGGGCAAGACGCTGTACGACCCAGTGCTGCACACAGCTGATAGCAAATGGCCCTTTTGCTAAGGTACCATGCCCAGGACTCTGGAGGCCAAAGCCGCTGCTACCCTCTCAGACCCTGTGGGATCCGACCCACCTGTTTGCCCGAACCCCCGCTGACATGACCTTTGGGCCGTCCGCGACCTGTCTTCTCAACTGAACGAGAACGAACTTCAGCTGATTTCTGGTCGGGTTGCCTGTCACCTTACATATGCGGTTTGGCGCCGCCTCGACCTCAGTGTCCCTTTGTAAGCGGAAATTTTTGACAAGTGATGGGGATTGCGGCCGCTTGGCCATGAAAGGTAGTTGAATAATGGACTGAGCCTACCTGAGCCCTTGCTGACTCGGGAAAACTGGGATTGTCATGCAACTTGTCGCAGCCTGCGGGCGTTCCAGGCGATGAATTGACTCACTTTGGGATGCGGAAGTCTTGGTATTCGAGCGTTCGAAGAGTCGACGCAAGAAGACATTGATCTAGTATGGGAGTAACACAGCATGTGTTTAGGTAGTGACTCCGGGTACTCTATAGATGAGTTGCCTTTGGCCGACAACCGTGGTATTGGTTGCTGCATCTACCTTAAGATGGAAACACCGAGATCATATTTAGATGGGGTACATCCTGTCACCGTCTTTGCCACTACTGTCAGAAGCTTACTACGTAGTCTTGCTACTCTCACTAAGAGATGAATGTTCATTCGTCCTGAAGCCCATTGGCCAACGAATACTCGCTCATCCAGGCTACTTTAGCTCGAGAACGCTGGCCATTGGAAATATTCTCGGTCGCGCGTGACACTCCCAATTCGAACTTAGCGGCTCAATGCCACCAACTTTGCAAGCAAACGAAAAGCAGCAATCTGCGACGGGGCAGGCTTCGGCGGGTGGAGGATACAGAGTGCCTTACGGTGTCATTCCGGGCATCCTGCATTGAAGGTCTTGCCTCGCCTCGCCTCTCAGCTGTGCTAGCAACCGATGAGCGGTCTTGGAACGATTCTCGTTGGATGAGCAGCGGCGAGCGCTGCATTGTACCCCCCGCGGTGATTGACCTCAGGCGTAAGCGCATGTACACAATAGGAGGACAGAAACCCGGGGGATGGTTGGACGAGGCTTGTTTCCCCGCAAAGTGTGGGAACAAATGGGAGTTTGTTGGCGTCACATCGGGAATGTGCTTGGCTACTGCTTTTGTGGTGTTGCATCCCGTGTCGCTTTGATCGTTCGAGGCTCTCGGCTACTCAAAAAGCAACAGGGAACGGAGCAAGGAGACTGATGTTGTCGACGGGGAGGCAAATGAGCAGATCATCTGTTCGTGATGGTATTTCTCGCTGACATGCTGGATGGGTCATCGGCGGTACAATGATCCTAGTCAGGATGAACGTAGACTAGATTCGACAGCGACGCGAGTGAAGAATGAGGCCCTCAAGCTGGTAGATTGCTGCGATATCTCAACGCTGACAATAGGGGCGATGAAAATCCAGCCGAGCGGATGACCCAAGCCACTTAAGCGGGAAAAAAAAAAAGAAATGCTGGTCTTTGGTGCCAATTCCATGAAACATGACCGGGAATTCAGGAAATGCGCTTGCTTGCAACACCGGACATATCGAACCGAACAAGCCTGGATAGTAATCACTCAGGCGCATTGGAATGTGAGAAACGCCCACAGCTTGCCAAGTGGCGAAGGTTTTGGTAAGCACCAGCTGTGTATGTGTTTTGTTTGTGTGTCAGTCGGTGCAGAAACACAGCCCACGTCTTGTCTTGAAACCTTCGGTGAGATCCTGTCAACGCACGCCGTTGCCCAGCTTCCGAGTACCCATTTGGTGCGGAGGAAGTCAGCCAGCCAGTCGGTCAAGAAGTGACCCATGTGCTCTTTCATGCGGCTTGCCACGTCGCCTCTGATCCGGACAAAACCACCCGGTCCGGGATGCAGGAAAACATGTCTCTTCCTCCCTGTCTACGGATACATTAGTGTCCATTCGTACGGATTTGACCTTGAGTGCGGTAACTCCAGCCTACCTGTAGGATTCCCTTTTCAATGCACAAGTAATACCCGGCGTCTCCATTCTTGACTCACTCTTGAACATCGTCTTCTTGAGGATCTAGAGTACCTCAACTTACCTTGGATACCAGACACCTCGATGCGGTTCAATGACGGATGAATTAAAGCCACGGAAGAACCAAGAGACATCTACATCTCCTACTACTGCAGACCCGGTGCTACACAACATGCTTACGTTACTCGAACAAATACAACTACCTACCCAACACATGTCCGTCCATTGCCTGAAGGCTGAATGCGCCCCAAATTTCCCGCCCATGTCACTCGCATCCTTTCCCCCCTGGACCCCAGACCGGGGGTGGTGCAGGACCGGGGTTGACCGGCGCATCCCGACCACCTCATTCGCCCTTTGCCAGCTTTCCCCAGGTCTCTGCCCATTCCTACCTCCGCGACCCCTGCTGCCTCTCCCTCACACGCCCACACATCAGTCAACTATGACTTTTTGTTTCTCTTAGCCCGTCGTGTCAATGGCTAGCACAGCTCCCGGGCTCTCAAAAGAGAGGAGAAGGGGGTGGAACACGAGCTGGTCACGTTCAATGTTCGTTCGAATGGGCGGTTCCGCCCCGTCGGTTTGTGCTGATCTACCTCTCGCTCTTTACATCCCCCCGCTTTCTATGTGCTCACCTGAGAACCCGTCTGACGCGAAGGTGTAGAGCAATAAATAGAAGACGGGGGTCTCGTGCTTGTCTTGCGGATGCGGACGGCATCAGCCTTTTCGCCTTTCCCGCTCTCCCCACTCTCAGTCACGCATCCTGCTAGGAGGGTCGCTCGCACTAAGCGTAAGGGTCCTTTCTCATCAGCTACCCAGATTGCTCCACTCCACTTTGTCCTTCTCTTCCTGTGCCGCCTTGCCCTCTCAACGGACTTGGTTAATTCTGTATAGGGTCCCCCCGGCCTCCCATGTTGGCAACGGACGGGAGTTAGATTGGCGTCGAGGGAGTGGCTGTGGGATATGAACTGCCTCTTCGAGCATCGTTTCCTGCCAACGCGAGTGATTCACTTCTCCCACTTGAGCGAGAGGCATCACCAGAAACAAGAAGACAACGATGGTGGTTGAGGTCGGTTCTCTGAACCGCAACACGCTGGAACCTTTCAAGACCTGGCACCTCGAGAATTCAGTATGCGAGGACGACGGCGAAATCAACATCGATACCCGCCTCTTCTCGCCACAGGCTTTGAGGCAGTGTGCCAAGCAGGAGACCAACTGCCCTTCAACTACAATTTCCAAACCTAGCTTGCTTCCCCCGAATCATCACCGCCTGGGGGATGGATCGGAAAGACTTGCAAAAAAGTCCATTGGGACTGCCCAAACGAACTCAGTGACCTGTTTTCACACCAGTACGCAGGCGGTACCAACTTTCGTCTTCCCCGCCAAGCAGGAGAAAACTAATTTTGTTTTCTCGAGCCAACCATCATTATTCAAGAGAGAGAAGCGCTGCAGAGCCGAGTCGGACGTCGACGGCCCATACACAGCCGGACTGAGCTGTAAGAAGCGTCGCCTGAGGCTTCATCTCATAACGAGTCGGCTCTCTCAGCCCTACTCGCTACCCGCGACACATATCATCAACCGTGAAGCCAGTCCCTTGGGCGACAAGCGTTTCGTGAAGCTGGCCGCCGTGGCCACCTCGCCCGATGCCAACAAACAGGGTCTGCTTCGAGAGAGCTCCCTCATGCTGAGAGCGGCGGTGCTCAATAGAATCCGTCTGCGTGTTCGGAATGAGGCGACACAGCGTGGTGATTTCGGCGTTGCCGCGACAGCAGCGAACGCAGCCGTGCTTCACCACGGCCAACAGCTGGCCACCGGAGCTAGATTCGTTTCACAATCGCCAGCACACACAGAACAAAGACAGCAACCACCACCGGCAAGAGTGGTTTTGATGCGGCCCGGGGTCTCACCCGGTTGTCCCAACTCAACAATCGCACTATCCGCGCAGGCGCAAAGAAGACCCTCACCTCCATGGACGCCTCAATCGTCACGAATACAACCTAAGTCGCCACGGCTACACCCAAGCCGGTCACCAGTCCTAGCTCCTTCAAGCACAATGCTGGAAGAGATGGAGGATGATGGGCTTCTGGCTTTCCCTACATCAGCTCACGAGTGTTCCTATGCTTGGGCCGACGATGACGATCTGGAAGATGTGTACTCTGACTTTGGTGCCATTTTTGGAGGATCGGCACAGACTGGTGAGGCCGAGGAAGATGGCAGCTCCTACGAGGAGTATCTCGACGAGTTGGATGGTATATCCTGGGTCGGTGGCAGATAGCACCGTTGCATGATGGACGAAAGTTCCGGAGCAGAGCAAGAGTAGAGCGGCTACCAGTATTGAAAATTGGCGCCGAAACAGAAAATAAAGGGTATCAAAACCAGACTTGGCCTATCGATGAAGGTGCCACGGAGCAGGCGCTCGAGTCGGAGCTTTCAGACAGAAGGAAACAAATAAGAAGAAAAAAACTTATTCAGATGCAACGCTTGCCCGCCGGAACCTTGAGCCTGCAGCTGCCTTCAGTTCCGCCCATAATTCCGCCCTGAATCCCCATATCCTGGAGACGAAGGAGGCTTCGCGTGGGAGCCTGGCTGAACGATGTAATTCGTGTCGTGGGCTTTTTGTATTGGCAACAGGATGCTGGCAGCTGAACCTGAATTGAGAGAGCACGGGAAAGAGCAATTCTTTGTGTCACCCCTCAGTCGAGGTAGAAGAAGCCCCACCAGTTCCGATGGTCGGCCCGGTCGGACATCTCCCCGGGCCCCGCCGTGACGTTGGACTTGGGGATGGCGGGGGCACTGGGGGCGGGGTGATTTGAACCAGGGCAGATGAAGCACGACATTGATGTCTGAGTCTCATTGCCCAACATTTTGTTCAAGATTCAACTTCTGACGTACGTTTAAACGCAAAACTGCCAAGATGAGCAACCAAGCTTTGGACGCAATCGTCATCGGGGCCGGCTGGTCTGGCGCCATTGCCGCCCGGGAGCTTGCCAACAAGGGCCGCAAGGTGTTGGTGCTGGAGGCCAGAGATAGAATCGGAGGACGCGCGAACACCTGGGTGAAGGGAGACGCAAAGATTGATGTAGGATGCAGCTGGATCCACGGCTACAAAGAAGGGAACCCCGTGAGATACATTGCCCAAGATTTTGGCGTTGTAAGTTTGACACGGAAGATTTTGGGTGAGAGAGCTGCACAGCTAATGAGATGGGCTAGGCCGCTCACCTACCCAAGGCTGCTGAGGGTGTAGTTTACGGCCCAAATGGTGCGAAATCTTCTTGTCAGAATACTGCGATATCTATATTGATCAAGCCCAGGTCGTCTCTCGACTTCCAACGCCGATAACCTGCGCGCATCCCTTGGTGCTGCTCAGGCATCACTAAAGCTTCCTCACCCAACCCCTGCGCCATCTACTTCGCTCGCCTCCGCCCTTTTGGCCGAAAACTCGGCTCTCTTCACAGCTTTCACATCCCCGGACCCTTCCTCAGACGTCAACCAAAACAGCCCTGCTGACCCGACGCAAGGAGCCACGCAGCCCACAACTGGTTCGTCTCAAAAGGAGCTGGCAGCTGCCCTTGCCCGCTCCCTCGAGATTCCTCTGGGACTCAAGCTCGAAAAAGCCTCTTTGAAATGGGCTGGATGGGAAACCACCACCGCATTCGGCGGCTCTGACGCCGCACCCCAGGGAGGCTATGAGTCCCTGGTCAACAAGGTCCTTGATGATGCCAAAGCCAATGGTACTGAAGTGAAGTTGGGCACAAAGATCACTGGGTTTTCCCAGGGCGAGGAAGGAGTCGTTGTCACTGACGCTAAAGGCAACAAGTTCACGGCCAAGGCGGCCATTTCCACCATTCCGCTCGGTACTCTGAAGGCTCTGCCTGAAAGCACCTTCAATCCTGCATTGCCACCGCGCCTACAGGAGGTTATCAAAGGTACCCACGTAGGTGTCCTGGAGAAGCTTCTGCTTCAGTACCAGACAGCCTGGTGGCCCGAGGCTGACAAGGCGGGATCCTACACTTTCCTGCCTACGTCTACGAAGCCCGTGACTGACAGCTCTTCTCCTGCCGAAATCTTCGAGGCATCGACTCTGGTCTGCGCCAACTTCGCTGGCCCGTCACTTCCCGGCTCCGGCCCGACTCTGCTCACATACCTTTCCGAAACGCCTGCTACCGCTTTGCTTCGCTTCGACCAAAAGGAGGTTGCGGCTGCCTACCACAAGTTTCTCGTCTCCCGCTTCAAGCCATCATCTCAACCCGCGGAGCCAATCGAGACCAACTTGACCAATTGGTTGACTGACGAATTCTCGCGCGGTGCCACGACTACCCCGTCAATCATCTCAGAGAACGGCGAACGAAGCCCGCTGGACTTCAAGGAGCTCAGCAGACCCGTGTGGGATGGAAGACTCGGATTCGCTGGTGAGCACACTGAGATGGAAAACCGTGGAAGCGTTGCCGGTGCTGTCGTCAGCGGCTATCGTGAGGCCGAGCGTGTCGGTAGACTGTTGAGATTGCTAGAAGAGAACGCGAAGTTGTAATGGGGTTGAGGGTTGAGAATTGTATTAGACGGTTTCTCATAGACATGCTAGATTTGGACTGTGCTAAGGGCTCAGATGGGGGTTGAATCTTATTTTACCCAGAGCGAATTGAATATCGGAAACTCTGAGAGATTTCCAGATTGGGCGTGAATCGCTCATCGTGAAACGACCTGAAGCATAGCTGCTCGATCTTTGGCAATATCACACATGGCCTAGTACTTTGTTAGACTTCTGACTTCGGGCTCCAGGGTCATTAATGTCCTTGCCTGTACGGCGCCGAGTTCCTCAAGGGCCAAATCGCCACGTGAAATTCGAGCACGCATGTTTTCCATTATTTCCGGCCGACCTCTACCGTTGACGAAAACAACATAACGCAGGCCAGGGAACTTTGCCTCATACTCGGCATTGAGCGCAGCCAATTCGGTGGCGTCTCCGCTCTGAAGCTGTGCTTGCTCTGCGGCGGACTGTGCGCTCTCGACCTTCTTGGCCCCGAGCCGCGGATGTGAGCCGATGATTGAGTGCAATTGTATTTTCTGCGTAGGGTCTGCCGTGAGAGCCTCGAACGTCTTTTGAGCTTGTGTGATGAATTCATCGTAAGACTGGAAAGATGTTGCGGAAATGGAGGGGAGGAGGAGGCCATGGATCGCGGGACTCGGCTCAAAGAGCGCATCTAGAACCTTGGTCTGCTGCTCCACGTGAAGAGAACTGAGGCTGCTGATATCGGGCAAGGAAGCCATCTTCTACTTTTATTTGCCGAGTTTGATAAAATAGGAAGTAATTGATCGATCAGGTCCAGTGAAGTCGTAGATGTCGGGCATCGACCGTGCCTTTCTACGTTATATAAGGCAACGAGCTAGGTACCTACCTAGGTAACTGAGGTGGACCTGCAATACGTGATAAGATAAGATACTGTGCGACGGGGGACTCCGACGAGATAAGCCACACGTGATGGAGTGGCTCGTGCTTGCCAGCTGCGAAGCACGACCCACACTGCCTTGGAACTGAAGGTGCAGCGAGGCTGAAGTTTTGTTTTGGAAGAGAAAAGTTGACGCGAACGAACTCTGAGACGGCTCATATCGCGATATTCAAAACAATGCTGTGCGCAAGTAGGTTCGAATGCCTCGTAATGTCTCATTCAACTGCTGACTAAATTTTCAGTTTCTGGAGAAGCTCCTCAGGAGCCCGTCGCCTCAAAGAAGTCGGGTATGTGTTTTGCGCCCATACCGGTCAAACCCCAAATGCTGACTGTAACCAGGCACCGTCTTCGAAAAGCGATTGATCGAGAAGTACATCGAGGAGAATGGCACGGAACCTGTTACCGGCGAAGCTCTGACGACCGAAGACCTCCTTCCCTTGACCCAGTCCCACGTTGTCCGACCCCGACCCCCGACGCTTACTTCGATCCCGGCCTTGCTTGCGACATTCCAGAATGAGTGGGATGCGCTTGCCCTCGAGACATTCAACCTGAAAGAGCAGCTTGCAAGGACACGGGAGGAGCTTGCCACGGCTTTATACCAGCACGATGCCGCGGTCAGAGTGATTGCGCGTCTGTCAAAGGAGCGGGATGAGGCCAGAGAGGCGCTTTCCAAGGTCAGCGTCAGCGCTGGAACTACAAATGGGGATGCAATGGCCATTGATTCAGCCGAGGGGCTTCCCGAGGAATGGGTTGACAAAGTCAATGCGAAGCACCAAGAGTCAGTAGAGGAATTTGCATCGGCAATCCTGGACAGGTTCACTAACAAGTCACAGACTCTCCAAGAGCCGCAAGAAGCGCCCAGTCCCCGAGGGCTGGGCTACCTCCGAGGACGTTGCCTCGCTGGCCACCGTGGCATCGACTTCAACACCGGTTTCGAACGCCTCTTCTCTTGCGACCGAAGGAAGCTATGCGGCCATCAGCGGTCGTGGGGGAGATGCTGCGATATACTCTATTGAGGCAGATCAGGTCGAGCGCCAAATCGTGGTCAACGAGCCGGTCGTCGACTCTGTATGGACTGGGAGCAAGCTCATCTTCGCTACGAGTAAGGGATCAGTAAAGATCTTTGAGGGCGGCAGCGAAGTTGCGTCAATGTCTGAACACGCGGGCCCTGCAACATCCTTGAGCATCCATCCTACCGGGGACCTGCTTGCATCCGTTGGTTCGGACAAGAGTATTGTTCTGTACGATCTCAACTCCCTCAGGAAGATTAGCCGTGCCTACGCCGACTCTGGTAAGTCACCAACGCCTCGCAGAACTCCTAACATATTTGCTGACCTGCGCAGCCCTGACATCCTCGGCTTTCCACCCCGACGGACATCTCTTTGCAGCCGGTACAGCTACGGGAGAGATCAAACTCTTTATGACGACGACATTGGAGGTTGCGGCTGCGTTCGACCTTGGCGCATCTATCGAGGCCCTGACTTTCTCAGAAAACGGATTCTGGCTTGCAGCGACAGCTAAGGGCCAGAGCTCAGTCACCATCTTTGATTTGCGCAAGGAGGGAGATGCTGCTCGGGTCAAGACACTAGAGACTGGTGGACCGGTGCAGTCACTGGCTTGGGACTATAGCGGACAATTTTTGGCGACCGCGGGAGCTGGTGGCATTACTGTTCAACAATACACCAAGAGCTCCAAGAAGTGGTCAGAGCCTCTCAGAACTTCGGTGGCTGCATTGTCTGTCCAGTGGGGCGCTGGGGCCAAACAGTTGGTTTCTGTCAACGTGGAGGGCGTCGTTTCGGTGTTTGGAGTCAAGCAGGAATAAGCAGACAGTTGTGTCATGCGATATGTATTATAAGTAATGGAGGCATGGGAGTCTCATCTAAAATGATATCCGATGCTTGGGCTCACAAGGCGTCAAGAAATCCAATCATGTGAGAGTAGTGCGAACGATAAAACGTCAATGCTAAGGTAGTCACCACCAACCGGATGGATTGGGTGGCTTCCCGAAGTCCACCGTGGGTAACTCGGTGAAGCCCGGTGTGTTGAGTTGAAAGTGCATCACGACCTTTTCATCCCCTTTTGCGACCATGACATAATCACTGTAAGGGATACCCACTTACCCACTTTGCAGAGTCCTGTCTTCAATGGGAAAATGCAGGGCAGCGTTGCTTAGAAATATTCCTCCACAGTCACCTCATGCAGAACCTTATGTGCCTTGAAAGTCCAGAGGGGTTCCTGCCTTATCGGAGGTGTTGCCCCCGGCACTGTGCGAGCTTATCTAAGGCTGAAGCGCCAAAACCACCCGTCGCTCTCTCCGTTGAATAGACTAGACCCGCACTTAACCTTTAACCGCCACTAACAACACCACGACCACGACGGGCAATTCCAAGTAACCGCCTCTTTCTTCTGCTCGAAAGCGCTCTCGGAACTTCTTCCTTCTTCCACCTCTCGATTGCACCAAGAACTTCCACGGGATGGTCGCTTTACCCTTCTGTCCGTCGTAGGAGATTTACTTCTACGTTACGTCTCCAACTCGATCCGACCGACATCACGACTTTCCTGCCGTACACAAGACACCCGAGGAACAGACGGTTTGTGCGTGGCCACATGCTGACTGGAGCTGCCGGATTTAAGCTAACATGACTCCAGCGCCAACCCATATTGGCTCGATAACCCTAGTATGAGCTCAGTCTCTCCACCGTCTTCTCCGTCGACATTGTCTCCTTCGATCCCACTATCTCCGTCAATACAATCTTCGCCTTCGATACCAGATACGCCATCGATTCCAAGCTCGCCCTCGGTATCTCCGTCCCCCTTGGCTGACCCAGACCTCTACGACGACGTTGACCTCGAGGCCGTCTACCGCGGCTACGTTCCCGATTCCTCCTCCGACGTGGTTGATCATCGTTCAAGTATCTTTGACTCCGAAGCCGAACCCCAGGTGGATTGGGACCCTGAGTCTGCTTCTGAATCACAGTCACATCACTCGGAGGCTGACTCAGAGTCTTTGATGTCAGTCGAGATTGACCATCACGACCCGCTATTTAACGATTCGGACCCTTTTTCTCCTGATCTTGCCGACGAACTTGAGCTTGCACTTCTTGCCGAAATGGATCAGTTACCACGTCTACGCGAACAAAGGCCCCCAGGCGACGGCGAAGGAGGCATGCCGGGGCAAGGTCTCGGCGGCGATGCACGTCGCAACGGATCGGGCGATGTCCTAGTGGACCTGGAGTTGTATTTTGAGCAGGGGAGAAATGAGAGGAGATCCCAGAACAATCAAAACGGCCCTGCGGATGTGATCGACCTGACGAATGAGCCTGACAGCCCTATCCAGAGACATGCGCCTCGCCCTCTGGCGAATCCGAGAAGACAAAACTCTCAAGGCAGGAATCCGCCCTCTTTCACGCGGAGCGATAGTAGCATCCTTGCCGGCAACGCACCTGTTATCGACCTTACCGACGATTCTCCCGAAATCCCGCGCAGACGTACGCATGTGCCGCCACCTCCGCCACCCCCTCGTCACCGTGAACGCAGCAGACAGCCGGTTGGATTCATGTACAGCGGCGGCAATGCATTTAGTGGGCTGGCAGCAGGCATCAGGCGCCATCTGTATCCTTTCAGACTGTTTCCTGGTCCTGACGACGAGGTGCAACTGCTCGGCATGTTGCATAATCGAATCAACCAAGGCGGAGACCTGAACAACCCTCTTGGAAATATACAACTTCAGTACGAGCACGGCGCTTTTGATCAACGAGCCGAATCACCTAAACCAGTCCACCAAGCTCCGCCGCCGCCCAGACCTGGGTTTACAAGGGATACTGCTTCAGATCTGGTAGTAATATGCCCCGCATGCAATGAGGAGCTGGCTTATGACCCCAACGTGCCTGTGAACGAGAAGCAGCCTGCGCGTAAGAGTAACAAGCGTCAGCGCAGTGAGCATCACTTCTGGGCTCTCAAGGGATGCGGACACGTAAGATTTGGGACCTCATCACAATCTGTTTACTTTACTGACTCTATACTAGGTCTACTGTGAAGACTGCTTCGAAAACCGCAGACCAGCAGCCAAACGCCCGAATACTGGCTTTCGGCGCGACGATGACAGCAAACTCGTCTGTGCTGTGGATGGTTGCGAAACACAGGCTACGAACAAGACGGCCTGGGTCGGCATTTACCTTTGAGCGACGGTGTCAGGTGACATGGAGTTGGTCTTCCCAGGGGACATGAATGAGGAATGGCGTCATCAGGTTAGGTGGGCGGCATTAGCTTGGCGTTTGGGGGTGGGACGGCATCATATGATCAGAGATTCCCATGGTCACGGTATAGGCTTGCTTTCTCCCTTTTATTCAAGGGCTTGAAATTTTTGGAGTCCAGTGAGGGGGACAGAGTCTCCCAGCGGATGGTTTTCCGTGTAGCGGCACGCGCTGTACATGATCAAGGAGCATAGGTACATTGGTTCTGCGCTCCACGCAGCTGAACCCGCTGTACAAAGTCTTTAGTGAATAAGTTTCAATCGCTCGTCGCGGTCATCGTGAACCTCTTCCCAGAGCTGGGTATCTGCTTTTGTACAAGATGAAGAGTCTATTGCTGGATAATGACCAAACCAACATGCTATTGCTAATGCGTCTTGGGGTATAATTTCTTCAGGAGAGCCTTCCTAATGCTAAACCTTGACTCTCTGTGATGCTCCGGCATGAACCTGGCGCCTGATTGGTTCATCATATCCTTGTGTGCGTGTATCCCATTCCATAAGTGCATATATCAAAAGTCATCTAAGTCGTCATCCCAGTCTATCGACCCCAAGTCCATCTCGATGAGGGGTGAGGCAGGGTTTGCTTCGGATCCTCCCGACGATGAATGCGTCATGGCCTTGGCCGGCGACTCTATGTCCAGCACCTCCTGAGACGACATCATCAGGTCCTGAGTACAGATCATAGGAAACAAGTCGGCGGAAATAGGTAGAGATTTTCCAGCTGTTGGCTGTGGCAGAGGTGAATGGTTGCTGCTAATTTCCTGAAGGATGGCACGCTTTGAGACCCGGCTAGGCGCAGGCAGCGGCGGAGGGCCATGCAACTTAGCTGACGACGTATTGACTGTTGCTCGGGTTGATCTATCCGTAAACGATTTGGGACCTGAAGCTCGCTGAGGCATCATCACTTGATGTGGCTGAACTTTTGGCGTCTGTTCCCTTTGAGCGAAACTGTGTGGTCCTGGGGCTCTGTCTGTGGAAGGGTTTGGTGCCTGGAGGACATTGGCCTGTGGGTTGGGAACGACCGGCTGAAGATGCCGTGGACTCGAGGTATTCTCCTGAGTTTGTTTGGCTTCCAACTTGTTCTTTGTTGGTTCTGCTTTTCTCTCTTGCGCGAACTCTTTTGCCTCCCTGGGCCAGCTCGAAGATCCAGGAGGCCCCTTGGCAAGGACCTTTTTTGGCACTGGAGCACTGAACCCTTCCCTTAAAGGCAGTGCAGATTGACACGAGTCAACATCCTCTTCAAGTTCTACAGCGAGTTGTGAAGCTGTTGGGAAGAACTCATCAAAACAATCTTGCACAATTGCCTGTGTACTGGGTGGAGGTATCTGCGTTATTGGTCTTGGTGGTGGTAGTGGTGGTGATGTTGCGATTGCTGGTATGACCATCTTTATAGGAGTTTTATCTGCCATAGGCTCTGCTTTGCGTTTCTGCGATGGCACCGGGGGTGGAGGCATTTCTGGTGATAATCTTTTTGGTGCAGAGATTGCTGATAGCAGCTCTTTCGGCCATGGAACCTCTGATTTGATACGGAAAGAAGGCTCAGTAGGAGGTTTCTGCTTGAAAATTTTGTGTCGAGGTGGCTGATGGGTTGGCAATGTCGCTCTGGGCATCATGAAGGGCCTTGATTTTGACTTCACAATAGGCCGTGGGGGAGGTCCCATGGGAGTCGTTACTGCTTGAGGGTGTTCTGGTACTGAGAAAAGTGGCTTCAGGGGAGGAGGCAACGCTGTTACCTGTAGCGAGGAGGCATCTTTCTTCGTCGGTTTTGGTGCAACGCCTTCAGCCAGTTGTTTTCTCACTTGAAAAGTCGTGCTTTGAGGAGGCAACATGGCCGACATGATTTCCTGCGAGGGACGGGCGGGTGGCGCCATGGAGTCGATTGAGGGTTTCCGCTCCTCTGATGAAACAATTTGGGTAGGCGGTTTGGAAGCCCCGGATGGCGGCAAGGGATGCTGCTTGATATTGGCCAATGTGGTGGGTGTAATTTCGGCTCTTGGTATCGGTTCTCCAGACAAGTCTCTCTTTTTGCTTGAACCATTGCCTCGTACAAAACGCGCGATTGTGTCTTGACTTGGTCGACAGTCGAACAAAGGCTGCCCGGCCCTTCGCCTGCTTTCTCGGGCCTCCTCCTCTTTGACCTTTTTGCGTTCTCTCGCTGCCTTGGCCTTGACTGCGGCGCGTTCCTTTTCCAACTCCTTGCGAATCTCCTCCTGCCTCTCCTTCTCCCATTTCCGCTGCTCGGCCTTGGATCGTCGCGGTTCCTTAGTTGCCTGCTTGTAAAGCTTCTGGGCCTGCTTTGATGTCATCGGCGGCCTGTTTGCGACGCCGCCGACGCGCCCGGGGGCATCGGGGATGACGGCGAAGGTGTTCTGCTGCGGCGCCATGATGCTTTTGATCCGCTAGAAGACATTGTCGAGTAGAGCGACGTCGGCGCAGATCGCCAGGTGAGGGAGCAGGCGGCAATCGAGTGTGGATTCGTCTGCTATCCAAGGTTGTCCGTAGGCATGGAGGGGCAATCAACACCGACGGGGATGCGCCTGGGGGCGGTGGCATGACAGGTAACGCGACGCACATACGAGGTCACGTGTTTGAAGGACCGATGTCAAGCCACACTTAAACGGCTCCCTGCAGGAGGTCAATGCCAATGACGCGCCACGCGGGGTACTGGCGCCGCCACAAATCGCGGGGCCTCGATTTTTTTTTTCTGCAGCACTAAGAGACGGGTGGCATTTTCGCAGGTCACTGACCGAGAAAAGCAGAATCTGTATCACTACTTCCAATTTTGCTGCCCGAAAACTACAAAAATCATGTCGAAACGCTCCGCAGACGTCGAAATGGGAGATGCCCCTCTCAAGGGAGGCGACCGCCCTGAGGGTATGGACATTGACGAGAAAGCCCCCGACATGGGCGAGTTCGAGGACGAATTCGAGGACGAGTTCGAGGAGGATGAGATCATGGAGGCCGGTGTGGATGGACGGCCTGATGCTGAGAGAGAGGCCGAGGAGAGGGAAGGTATGATGATAATGGTCTTGCGACTCAGAGTTTAGCTGACCGATTAGCTGCCGTGGATCAAGGCACTTTCATCGTCGGGCGAAACAAGCTTGAGGCTGGGCAGACACTTGCGCCCGACGTGTCTACCTACGAGATGCTGCACAACCTGAGCACACCATGGCCTTGTCTGTCTTTCGATATCCTCCGCGATAGCCTGGGCGACAACCGCAAGGTCTACCCCGCCACCATGTACACCGTGGCTGGTACACAAGCAGAGAATGCTAGGGCCGGCGAGAACCAGCTGATGGTCATGAAGTTCAGCGGCCTGAGCCGTACGGAAAAGGACGACGAAGACTCTGACGAAGACGACGAGGATGGTGATGAGGACGCTGAGCCCATTCTAGAGCACAAGGCGATTCCCCTAAACTCGACCACGAACCGAATCCGAGCCCACCAGATCCCCTCGCAAGACGCTTCTAGACCTCCTACCACCCTCACAGCCACTATGACCGAGTCCTCCAACATCTTCATTCACGACATAACTCCTCACATCTACTCTTTCGACAATCCGGGCACCGTCATCTCTGCGCAGCAAAATAAGCCGGTGTCGACTATCCGCGCTCACAAATCAGAAGGCTATGCTCTTGACTGGTCGCCCCTTGTTCCTAGTGGAAAGCTTCTCACTGGTGATAACGATGGTCTGATTTACGTCACAACGCGTACCGATGGCGGTGGTTTCGTCACCGATACCCGGCCATTCCAGGGCCACACCAGCAGCGTTGAGGAGATCCAATGGAGTCCCTCGGAGCAGTCTGTCTTCTCATCCGCCTCGAGCGACGGCACAATCCGCGTCTGGGATGTTCGTAGCAAGAGCAGGAAGCCCGCGCTTTCGATGCACGTCAGCAACCACGATGTCAACGTCATGTCGTGGTCGCCGCTCACGACGCATCTGCTTGCTTCGGGTGCGGACGACGGCGAGTTCGCCGTTTGGGATCTGCGCCAGTGGAAGCAGAGCTCTACTTCGGCTGCCGACAAGCCCTCGCCAATTGCCAGCTTCAACTACCACAAGGAGCAGGTCACAAGTATTGAGTGGCACCCCACAGACGACAGTATCATTGCCGTTGCGGCAGGCGACAACACGGTCACCCTGTGGGACTTGGCAGTCGAGCTGGATGACGAAGAGAGCAAGGATACCGGCGGTGTGAAGGACGTGCCGCCCCAGCTGTTGTTCGTGCACTACCTATCCAACGTTAAGGAGCTCCACTGGCACCCTCAGATTACTGGCAGCTTGATGGCCACTGGTGACGAGTTTAGTGTTTTCCGTACGATTAGCGTTTAGACGGAGGGTCAGTCAAAAGTTAATGGGATACCAACTTTGTTTGTTCATGATGGATGACCGTGCGTCTTCATTTCCGTTGCTGCACTTAGATCTAAAGGACTTCGCATGGCTCAGGCGCTCAAACGCATGAAGAGCCTATTGCAAGAGATCGGAAGTCGTATGCTCGCTCTGTTACACAAAAACACACAGATATCATCGTATAACGCAGGAAGGTCAATGTTTGCTCCCTCATGTATGACCCGTCTGTCACATGAAAATGTCTATTTCAGGTGCAATATTGGAATTTCTGTACGAGACAGGGGAAAGCAATGAGGGCAACCTACTTGGAGTTTCCCAAAGCGGTTGAATATTCGCGCAATACTTTGGGGGTATCGTGGTTGTCGAACGTTGCTAAGTGTGACCGGAGGCAAGGGGGCGAGAGGCCAAGCGTCTCTGGCATACATAAGGAAGATGCGTCGCTATTTCAATGGAAAGCTCCAAGCAAAAAGATTCGAACAGTACTCAACGCTACAGACATCCTCTTCACCATGCGGTATCTTGCAAGTCTAGCCCTCCTATGCCATCTGGTACTTGGTGCCCCGTCTACCCCATCTGATGAACACACTGCAAGCACTGCAGCAGTCTTTGAAGTCGACAGATTCTTCGCTGGAAGTCTTCCACCGACTACGAGAAACTTGTAAGCTGGACCGCGCGAGGGCTCGGACCAGATCATAACAGAACACATCGCTGACATGAACTGCAACAGTGTCATATTTTCTGTCCGGCCAACCCCTGGCGCCGACTTCGCCAACTGCACCGTAAACACGGACACTGGCGCCAAAGTGCCAACGGTCGAGAAGCTGGTTTGTTCTGAAATCAACTCCATCACATGGAGTCTAGAACCGATGGGAACGGGGATGCATTTCAGTATCTGGTGGGCTTTTACCAGTCACGCTTCGTTGTTGGGGGGGATACACTTTGACAAGTCGTACTTCAAGGACACGACACTTGCAGATGGAAGCAAGGCAGAGAGCTATGTGGGACCGCATAAATTCACTTTGGAGACTACAATGGTGCTGAATAATCTCGGAGGGAAGTAGGAGACGCATGAGAAAATGGAGTAATTAGTTGCCGGCCAGTTTCGTAGAGTACTAAGAAGAGAACATTGCATTTGGATTTCAAACTAGCTGCTTGGTAGGCAAGCCATCATAATACTAGAGGTCTGCTGTCGAGCCACCATACGAGTGTATCTAAACCTGGTCAGTTTCGTAAAACCACCATGTCAGAGTTGAAGTTTCCACTCACGGTTTGGTCAGAGCAACCGGCGGGAGTCTGATACAGATATGCCCCCGTGTTGATAAACACCTCTTGGTTCTCACAGACAAGCCATGCGGCCACGTTGGGTCTGGCGATATCGGGGGTGCTCCACGTGACCGTATCGCCCTGGAAGGCAAACGTTCCATATGCGTTCTTGCTTGCACTGAACCACGTCTGCAGCTTTCTCTGAGTCTTGTCTGTCGGGTTCTCAACATTAAGATAAAGCGATGAAGATCCAGTCAGATAGACGAGTTGGCCTTCCTCGACTTTGAACTGGCCCGCGCTGGTGGGTGAATCGAGGTAGGCTTTGCTGGGCGTACCGGTGGGCTTCGCCTGCAGGTAGCTATGGAAGTTGGGCGAAGCCACAGCGCGGATCCAAGACCACCCAGAGACTAGAGTTGTAGGGACGGAGCCGCCGCCATTGCCTGCAGCCGTTGTGGTCACGGTCACGAGAGTGGTTGTCGCACGGGAAGTGGTGCGGGTACTGGTGGCCGTTGCGATGGGAGCGGTTGAAGTCGAGGCGGATCTAACAGACGTAGTAGTAAGAATATTGGATCCTGGGATACATTGAGAGTAGTAAGGGCTATGGCAATGGTGAGTGGATGGCTTTAGACGGCGTGATGTTTGCTGTACTTAAGAACTGAGCAGGTGTATCCGCTGACGCAGCTCGTGGTGCCACCACCTATGACTGTGTTAAATACTGACTTTGCATTACCAGGCGTGACTACCATAACCTACATTGTCCCCAAGCTGGCGCTGTAGTCTGTGCTATGACTGGCTTGATGAGGCAGGCTGCTGACAGGCTGGTGGCCAAGACACGCAGCAAGCTCATTTTGAAAGATTCTAGGGATGCGAATGTTATTCTTGGTGGTTGTGGCGGGATCTGTTGACACCTGGGCGAACTATTGAAGTCGATCCCAAATTCGGGCGTTTATATACTTGTGGAATATCAACGAAGAAATACAGCTGAAGGAGCCAGACGGAGGTAGCTACTCCTCTCCTGATGATCCATCTTCGGCTGCTGCAATGAGAACTACTAGAGTGGCATATGAGAGTCTGTGGGCGACGCTGGGAAATGCGACGCTGGGAAATGGGACACTCTACCAAAGTTCTCGAGGCGATGGCGTCCCGAGTATATTGACTGCAGACTTGGGGTTGCAATTTAATTGATATTCGGAATCGGATTTGGAGCAGAGCCTAAAGGAGACCCCGTCGTACGGTTTTACCGGCACGAAGTAGGCTTTTCCGGAGGGCAATCTTCCGGACCGGAAGTGGTTGCCGGAAGGCTGAGGGCAGGGCCATATCCATGAGGCAACAAATGAGAGTCTCCTTACCATCATCAGCCATTGTTTTGGTTAGAAGTCAAAGGGATTGACTAATCTTCAGATGTTAATTTACCTTGCAAATATCAAATGACTGAAATAGACGTGAAAAGAAGCTGAGTTGAAGGACTATTCGAGATTGTGAGCTCATATTTGATCGACGGTATCTACTTGATCAAGTCGCAGCACGACCGATGAACCCGCTCAAAACATCAAGTAGAAAGGGATCAAGTCCGAGAACCCCAGCGCCATGACACAGAAGATGCCAAAACTCCAACCGGTCATCGCCACCGCTCTCTGACGAACCGATACAGTTCCCGCCTCCAGTTGCGCCCGCGACAAAAGCCAACGTCAACAGAACCCAACCGATGGCGTCTTCCATGCGAGTGCTGCCGGAAGGTTGTCGAAACTCAATCGTGCGGCTGGTGTCATGCCCTAACAAGCGTGCAAAGTTCCACTTGTAGACTTTGCCGTGGACGAAATCCCTCTTCCTTCCGTGTGCTCGTCCATACGCGCTTGATGCTGGGAAGAGGCACATGGCTTCAACGACGGCTGTAGTACCGTGCTGGGCGGCCACGTCAAGGACGTCGAGACAGTCTTCGAGGGTCCGACACCTAGACAGCACCGGGTTTCGGCGGTTACTCTGACACCAGTAGACGGAAGTTCTGTCCTTCGGAACGAGGGCATCGAAGCAAGGCTCGTATGTCAGGATTGCCTTGCCCAACGAGGCTAGTTGGAATGAGGAATACTCCTGGTCCGCTTGACTGACATGCACGTGAGTGCTGCACTGGGAAAGCAGTTGAACGGAGGAGTGCTTCTGAACAGCAGAAAAGATGTTGTCTATGTCGGAGAGCCACTGAGATTCAAGGTTAAAGACAGGAGAAACTAACTCCAGCGCCCCTGAGTCGTTTTACCATCAGCATTTGGATCTTGTTTGTTTCGTGACTTGGTGTACTGACAGTTGTTCTTGGCAGGGTTCTGGGGGATAGTGATTTCCTGGACAATTGACCACTTGCGGTAGTTCCCATCAGCTTTTTCCTTGACATGATTGCTGACTCCTTTCTTGGTCAAGCGACTGCTGGTATCTTGCGCCATGGAAAGCCAATTCTTGTGCTTCTTGCTGCTGTTAAGAGATAGCTCAAGCTCGAAACCAAAGTGAAGTGGCTGGTAGTTGGACATCTTGAAAGAGCTTGTATGATGATGATATTGGAACATACGACTGGCGCAAGAAACAGGAAGAGCATGATTTGATGAGCCCAGACTTGAGAACAACAAGACGATGCCTTATAAGTAGCGTCTCAGATGAGAGCCAGGTAATATCCACATGGCCTTGAACCTCCCAGGACATGTCCAACACTTGTCGAGCTGGCAAATGTGTCTTTTTTATTTTCTTTTTTTGCTCACATATGCTTAATTCACCGATCACGCGGCCTTTCCAACAGCCCTCTTGACAAAAACGCCTCGTAGGCGGCTGTTCCTGTCAACGTGAGACATACTGGCCCAGAGACTTGAGATACCAGACCATGTCATAGTATCGAAGTCAAGCCAAGGGAAGCCAGCCACAGGCCAAAATTAACTGATTCTTCCACAAGGGCCGGCGAAACGCTCACGACTAGCGCTTGATGTCTTTCAAGAATATCCACTGGCCATCAGAAGCCGACAGGATAGTAGAAGCAAACACCCCTGAGGCTCAACTTAGCCTCGATCCATGGAGGGTGGGGGCCAGACGAGGCCGGAAGATACCAGTCTCACTTGTCCTCGAATGGGGGTTGGCTGTCAACACAAGGCGCTTCGAGCCTTCTGGAGGCAGCCTGGTCTTCTAGGGGCAAGATCTACTCAACAAGGCCAGAATCTGCAGGGTCAGTACAAGACTAGACCTAAGATGGCCGACACCAAATGAGATATCCCCGACAACCCTGGAGGAAACATGGCTTCCACCGAGCCTTTCGCGCTGACTAGGCGCCGGTGATGGCTGCGAAGGTGTGGAGGACCAGCGTGGAGGGGCGGTGAGAGCCATGGATCGAGTTGGGATGAAGGGGACGACGGGCGCTTTGAGGTATGGAGATTGCAACTTTGCGAGACACCTAATGGGGTCATCTGACGCAATGTCAAAGAGTGGATGAGCTGTTGTTGGTTAATGGGCTCGAAGATCCTAGGCAATTTGAAAAAGAGCCGCCGCGGGCACACAAACATTCTATTCAGCGAGCCAAGGGTGCTGGTACTCCTCTGACACCGTGTGTTGCCGTCACTAGAAGATGGCCGGCCGGCCATGGAATGGGTGTGTCGCGAGATCGTGAGCCTCCCTTACGAATAAGGTAAGCATAGTACTACAAAACGCGATTCTGACCTTGGCCCGACCCGTCACCGTGATATCTTGCCGACGGGGGAGATGTTAGGATGGTAGAATCCTGTGCTCTCAACATCAGCACGTTGTACGGTGCGGCGAGGTCAACTTGCGGAACGGCGTCGACATGGCAGAATTATTGAAGCCCAAGGTTGAACACAAATGACCGTGGGACCCAAGGGCGGCACTACGAACGCGGCGGAAGCCTTATGATGGTGTAGGGCGAGAGAACACAACCAGCAGATGATACCTCAGTGTAGAAGGATAAAAAAAAAATGAAATGACGGCTGAGATTCTTTAAGCATCGTCGTAAAGGTGACTGACTACCTTATACAGGTTGCACTCACATGGGTAAGGCATTCCGAGTAGGAAAGGGGCAGCAGTAAGGATAAGGGAGAGTCTGTGGGAGAAAACAAGTAGTCATCGGGATCCAGTGACTCGGAAACCATGCAGTAGACACCGATTCGGCGGCCTGCGTTGCTAGACAGATGGGTATGTCGATCCAATGTCCAACGTGCAGTGCAAGAGGCGCGAGAGTGACAAATTGGTTGCAGTGGCGGGTGTGGAGGTCTCGAATCACTGGACAGCGAGGGGCGCAGCCAATGACCGAAATTGGTGTCCCTCGAGGGCCCGAACATAGCTGGCGCGCCTTCAGTTCCTGTCCCCCGGAGCACCTGGAAGGTTCCTCGGCGCCCGACCCCACATTTACCGCTGGAAGGAGACGCTGACGAGATCACTACCGCCGCTGACGAATGCCCTCACTCACACTCACTCTCTCACTCCCTCACTCTCAACCTTACTCTCGTCCTTGCTCTGACAAATTCGATGAACTTGACTCGCGTGGCGACATCAACTCTTAAGCCAAACTCTGGAATCTATCGCATATAACACCTCAAGTACGAAGAAAAATACGACAGGACACATCTGGCACTCCATCTCAATTACCTACTCCACCTGAAGTAGCGACATCCAACAATCATCTCACTGCACCGCGACACCAAGCATCCACATCCCTCGCCCACCAAAATGGTTGTCCTCCACGCAACAACACTCACAGAGTTCACAAACCTCCTCTCAGCAAACACATACCTCGTCGCCGACTTCTACGCAGATTGGTGCGGCCCCTGTCACGCCATCAAACCCCTATACGAATCCCTCGCCAACACGCACGGCCAGCCCGGCTCCCTTGTCTTTGTAAAAGTAAACGTCGACTCTGCCCAGGATATCGCTCGACGCTATGGCGTGACCGCGATGCCGACCTTCATGTTTTTTGAGAACGGCCAACCCTACAACGGCGGACGGAGCGTCATCCGCGGCGCCGATCCTAGGAGTTTGCAGACCACCGCCCAGGAGCTTGGTGGGCTGGCCAAGAAGAAGGCCGCTGAGGCAGCCGCACAGAAGGCCGAGGCCGAGAGGAAGAAGAAGGAAGCTGCCGCAGCCGCCGAGAAGGACGTCCAGCCTGACGATGGTTCCACTGTGTCTGGCGGCTACACTCTCGGCGGCAACACGGGCCCGAGGTCGGACTGGAAAATGTCCTTGAGGGGGTAATTGCCGTCATCGCCTTTCTCATCATTTGTTTAAAGTACACACTCAAGAACGCCATTGTCACGCCGCTATGCAGTTGAAGTTAGAGGATGTACCGAGCCTTTGATGTATTTAGCGAACCAAAACGAATTTGGTCCAAAGTGTTTCTCCAAACTTTTTATACCTCCAATCCCTCACTTGCGCGCCGCCTTGTTGCTCAGTTTGGCTGTCCAAAAAATGCTGCCAACTTAATTCCCTGAAACCGCTGGTCTATATGCACAAAAAAAAACATGAAGATGTGTGCCGTCGTCCCCATTTTCCCTTGGCAGCCGTTATTGTATGGGGTATCTGGTGTTCTTGATCATGATAGATGCGCCTCGTCCTATCGTGCCCAAACAGTAAAACCCATCGCTGTCAGTCGAAAAGAAAAAATCGAAAAATAACAAAATCAATCGAACATCTGTCGTTGGACGCATTTCGTCCATGTTCCTCTTCCTTTCTTACCTGCCGTCCTCGACAAGTTTGCCACATTTGACGCAGATAAGACGTTGTCTGCCGCCAACTCTCTTCGCCTTGAAATCCTTGCTCGCACACTTCTGACAAGAGATTTGTTCCCCGTCTTCGCTAGTGTACTCGGAGCTAAGACGGCTGACAACCGAGTTTCGGAGCCTAGAGCCGTCTGGCTGTAGCAAATGTTCATCCACCTCAACTTTATCAGCAGTATCCTCAATACTTTTTGTGGTGCTTCTGTGCTCCTCCTCAACGGCTAAGCCGTATAGTCCCGCTCCTAAGCTCTTGCGGCGGGAGGCTTTCGTCCCATTACTAGCCGATGTTTGCATCGTGTCGGCTGTGCTCATGCTATTTCGCCCCTGGCCAACCTGCGATTGTGATGTGTTGACATTACTGAAAGACACAGAGGATCGCAGCGATGAGATCCCTCGCCATCGATTAAGATTCCAGAAAGAGTAGCTAGCGCCCGCAGGATCTAGTCGAAGCTTGTCGCTTTCGTCGTCGTCGGCGGACACGAAGGAGAAACTCGGGGTCGGAGGAATCGACGGAGCCCGGTCGCGGGAAGCCCGGCTCGATGGGGGACTAGCTGGAAGTTGTGGACGTGCTGGTGGTGACGATCCACTGTACAGTTGTTTCCGCGCCTCTGATGCGAGATTCGAGGCACTGTTGTTAATTGGTGTCCGTGTCGCCTTGCTAGGCGACAGGGACCGCGGGCTTTGAGACGCGGTAATGACCATGGAGCTCGGGCGCCCGCTTTCAATCCCTTGCCGCCACGTGTTGATGTCGGAACTCAGCTGAGCACCTCCAGGGGCTGCCAGACGGGTGACCGAACCCCTGCGTGAGCGCGGCTGACTGCCGACACTTGTGCGCGTTGCTACACTTCCGCTGCGTCCAACAATACTTCCGCCCATACGACGGGAGAATGTTGAACCTGTCTCCCAGTTCTCGTGGCGGCGTTTGATATACGCGCAGTCCTGACGGAAGACCTTGATGCCCCCAGATTGGTCCGTAGTGACGAGAATCTGCCCATCAAAATGTTTCGACTTCTCAATGTAAGCAGGCGATTCTTCGGGTCTCTTGATCTTCTGTTGCTTGACATGAGACTTCTCGTCGTCCGAGTTACCTGCTTGGCTGGCAATGGACTCCTGGAGACTCATCAGGGTTACGGGGGGCGGGTTGCAAAGGTCGTATAGAGGATCCCCCGAGCCACCAAGAAGCTGGCGCGATTTGGTTGGTGCGAATATCGCTGTTGAAACTCGATCCGAGTGCGCATCAAAGTATTCGCAAGGCTTCTCCTTGTCGGATTCTGTGGCATGCACAGACCAGATATACGTTCTCTTGTCTTCGCTGCCAGACACTATCCACTGTCCGTTGTCGCTGAAGTCGGCGTGGATTTGACTGTAAGTGTTTTCATAGCCTTTGAACTTGGATTCCAGGCTCTTGTCGCGCAGGTTATATATGCGCACTCTTGAGTCATTGGATGTGATTAAAACCTTGACTTCGTTGTCAATGACCATCGTCTTAATGCCAGTGATCTTGCTGCCCTTGGCATTCTTGCCTCTTGAGGATCGCACGTGCAACTGGGAGCTCTGTTTGAGACCCTCAGTGTCGTGGAACATGCACATGCCGGAAAGTCCGCCAGCTATCGCAACTTTTCCATCGGGTGAGAATGCGACGGCCGTGATGAGATCTGGTAATTGAGCAGAGTAGGCCACAGCTTTGTCTGGAATGCTCCAGAGACGCAGCATTGAGTCGAGGGATCCCGCTAGGAAGAACCGATCGTCGGTAGGATGAAATGCTATCGACGTGACAAAGTCCTTATGTTTGAACGTGCAAAGACATTCTTTCCTGCTGATGTGCCATAAACGGACAGTCTTATCCATCGACGACGACAATAGGAAGTTGTTTTTGCTCCAACTGAGGTCCAGTACTTCACCAGTGTGTCCACGGAATTCGTGAATCGGCTTGCTTCGGAAAACAGGCGCACTCAACCTCTCTCCACTGGCTCCATTGGCGTTTTCCTCCTCCTCGTGGCGCCGCCGCTCCTCATGCGTCGATATTACGGCCCATACTCTCACGACTTGGTCTTTCCCCGCAGCGGCAAAGTACTTGCCATCAGTGCTGAATTCCGTAGCCCAAATAGCTCCGCTACTGTTCGATCGTTGGGTGTCGGTCGATGCTTTCACTGTTGCGTTCTTATCATCTTTCGGGTCAGACTGTGGAATGAATAGCTCCTGGGCGAGGAACATGCGGTTGAATTCGCGAATCTTCTTGCTATGTGCCTTGACCCGGATGTACCGCGGAGGCTCTTTGTGGTGGGGTATGTATCCGGAGCCAATGACTGAACCAAAGGCTTGGGCATTGGTCCCATCTATCCGGTGATCACTGAAGACGGACTCCTCGTCATCTTCGCGTCTTCGTCCACCTCGCATGCTCAATCGACTCAGGAATGACGGCCCTTTCCTGCAAGATGGTTAGTACCACCGGTGTGAACGAAGGGACACAGGAGCACAACGCACTTTTTGTCCTTGGTGACATCGAATGCATGCGTAGGAAGCTTCGTCGGTTGTTCTGGATCAGGAGTCGGGCTGTCGGGGCGTTTGCGAAGCTGAGGAGGAACGGTGTGGCCCGTGTTGGTTCGCATCAGAATGTGCTACGGAAGGTTAGCGACCAAAACCGACCCTCTGGTCATGCCAACGGCGTCAACAAACCTGGGACAGCGGGTCAATCGCGGCGGGAGATTGGACGGCGGCTGGCAAGGGCTTCTCGGCCTTACCGTCCTTTGCGTTCGGCGTGGTACTCCGGACGAGTTTCGTGGGCGTCTTCTTGGTAAAAGTCGGAAAACCGCTGCCTGTGCAACGATTAGCATCCACCGTATGCGCCACACGGGGTCGATCATGATCCCCCGTCTCAATTTTGAAGAGATGAGGTGCCTCTCAGTGGCCCCAGTGCATGGCAGATCCGCATAAGTTTACGTACCTTGAGACTCTGAGCCACCGGGCGACTTCTGGGCAGTCGAAGAGCCTTCACGACTGAGGGGAGTCGAGAGACGGGGTTCGGAAACGGGTGCCACGGGCTGCGGCGGCGGCTGCGATGGTGCCTGGCCATCTTCGCGACGACCAGCGTCCATGGACTTTATGGCAGACGTAGGGGTCGACATTTCCCATCATGCGAGTGTCGAACAGGAGCGTCGAGCAGGGAGAGAACGGTGGACAGAGTTACAGGCACTCGGACTGTCGGTGGGCATGAGAGGTAAGCGCGGGTAAGCTGAGCAGGTCGTGGGCCTGAATTCAACGTGTGCTGGTTGTCGATGTGTGGTTGAGTGGTTCAAGACGTAGCAATACGAGTGATCCGAGCCACCCGAGCTTCACGAACGGTATTGCAGCAGCGTGATGCGGTGGGCGGATGATTTGATGGTCCAACGGGGAGTCCGGAATTCGAAGAGGACCGTTGCCGTGGCCGCGGGGGGCGCGAATTGGACAGTCGGACCTGGCTAGGTCGGTCCCTTGGTTCCCGTCGGGCCCGATACGAATTTTTCTTTGATAACGGAAAGAAACAGATTTGCTCCGGGGCGCGACGCGAGGTTTTCTCCCCAAGAGAAATGGCGCCCGCTCGCTCGACCGTCGTTGGTCAAACGCGGTACCTGTAGGTGGTGGTGTTTCCTGGTGGTTGGGAGAATGAATGGGTACGTATATTGGGTACGCGGGTTCGGATTCGTCCAGTCCCGCGTATTCCGTCTGTCGAGGCAAGGCACCCGCGCAACCCGCGTTTCCACCCTTTGATGAATAAGTACCTGTGAGGCTGTGATGGCTGGTGCTGGTGGGTAAGCAATTCTAGAGACTACTATCTGCAAATACCTATTGCGGCGATTCAGGTTGGGTTGGTAACTACTTGGTCGTTATCCGTAGACGGTGAGGTAATGAGGGACTCGGGGGTGTACCCGGCAATCAAGCATGACAACCCAAGGTACGGATACGGATAGGCCGTGATAAAATGTCGGCTGTATCCACACAGCTTCCCTTGCAGATGTCCAGGGTGGGCCCGCTTCGAGGAGGGCAGAGTGTGGGGGAGCAGGAACGCAGAAACCGTCGCGTTTCTTTTTCCTGGCGCAGCGAACTGGGGAAGAGGAGACTGGATCAGATTGAACCGTACGGTGTACCCTGGCCAAATTCAAGGGCGAAAAGGTACCGAACCGAGGCACGAGGCAAATGCGGGATTGACTTTGCGCGCAGTTGACACTCGGCGCGGAGATGACGGGAATTATGTTGGCGATGATTCCTCCGGGTATGGCCACGGACCTGAGTACGCGCGAAGATGACCTAGGAGGATGAGGGAAAAGTCCAAGAAACAGCTGGGAAACGGGAAACGGACGAAGAGAATGGAAAGAAGGAAGAATAGACCACAGAGGAGGGAAGTGCACCGAAAGCAGCAGGTCGGCGTCAGATGTAAGAAATTGGATACTAGGGGAGGGACATCGAAAGGAGTAAGGAGTACGCACAACTCAAAGTACTCTGTACCGTAGCACAAGGCGAAACTCAAGACGGCACATCACACAAATAAAGACCTTGATGCACTGACATCAGGCCGGAACTTGGAACTGGATCGCCTCGCCGTCGGTTGTTGACGCCACTAAGGTACTGGACGATCGCCACCGGCCAGCTCTTCTGGCCCCGCTCGGTTACCGGGCAGGTAGGTCTTACAGCGAACCATCTGTCCACGGCAGACTCCAGACAGTGGAGTCTACAGAGTAAGGTACAGTAGGTACCTAGGTAGGGATACAGTAAGGTAGTGTACATTAACAGAAATGGGGCTCTGCTTCGCTGCCCGCTCTTCGCTTTCCCACAGACCGCCCCGCCTTTGGATTTAGGCGCACCGGCAACTGGCGACTTTGGATAAGAAAGAAGAAGCTTCTGCCCTATCCAGGATGGATGAGGCAAGGTGACTTTTGGCAATGGCAGGGTGTCGATGTCAGACCAGTGACGGAACTCATGACTTCGATCTACGCGCGCCCAACTGTGCCTGGAACTCAACTCTGAAGCCCAAGCCGGGCAGTGGGCACGCAGCTTGAGAAAGATCAAAAGGTACGGATAGTGTGCCTGCGTCCGTGGATGAAAACCGTCAACGGTTTTCAGGGCGATTACGAACATGGATAAACTTCAGACGAAAGGTTCTTTGGCCTCGGTGACGCTCCAAGCAATTAGAATAAACCAATTGGCAGCTCTGACCTTTCTGAGGCGTCGGGGATTCGTCCAGTGTTCCCACAACACAAGCAGAGGGAGGGAACCTTAAGAATCAGCCATGACTGAACCGGAGGCTGGAGCAGAATGTCCCCCAGATTTCTGGGATCCTGGGGAAAAAGCCAAAACCCAATTCTGGTCCCTTCGACTTTTCACGTGGCCATGGCCAGAAGGAGAGCGTGCCAGAGTCTGTTTGGCTCCAAGTTACCTCAGGTAAGGTAGGTAGGTACCTTGCCTCAAAGCTGTGTGTCGTTATCGGACCTGTCTCAGATAACGATAACGATAACGTTCAAGGCAATCTAGGTACCTTAGGTAGGTACCCTCAAAGCGCATCTGGCGTCACATTCCGGAGAATCAGTGCAGTGACAGCCTATAATGATGCGTAGTCTCCCCAGCGGTCCGAAGCCAGCTGCCAATCTGCGTAGAGATATTTTCAGCCCGTTTTGATCCTTCCTCGTCGCAAACTCGAGTTTTTTTTTTCAGACGGGAACCCAATCATTCACGCACTACCTACCAGAGATGAAGCTCGTTCCCACCAAGGCGTCGCAGAATATTGCCGAAGATGCAGTCACTCTTCTGCCGGAAGACTCTGAGGATATGGCAAGTACTCACTCCAATCCACTCTGCCCCGTCGCCTGATGCGCCCCTCGATGCGATATCATGCGACGGGATTGCTTCACAGCAGACCAGGTCAATCCGACTGACACCACACTAGTGGCATGCCTACAACCTCATCACCCCCGGCGACCTCGTCATGGCACATGCCGTGAGAAAGGTCGTGGCGGAAACGAAAACGGGCAGCACCATTTCCGAACGAGTCCACACCGTCCTTGCGATCCAAGTCAAGAGCACCTTCTTCGACCCCATCGTCGGCCAGCTCCAGGTCAGCGGCGTAGTCAAGTCGGAAAATGCCTACGTCAGCCTGGGTCAATACCACACGCTCGATCTAGAGGTCACCCGCCCTTTCACGATAAGCAAGCCCCAGGGCTGGGACTCGGTCGCCAAGGAGACGCTATCAGAGAGTTTGTCGGATGACAAAGATGGCGCCATGGCTGCCATCGTCATGCAGGAGGGCATCGCCAACATTTGCCTCATTAGTCAGTTCCGCACCGTCGTCAAGCAGCGCATCGAGAGCATCATACCCAAAAAGCGAAGCGCCGCATCCGAGACATCGGAGGGCATGAGACGCTTCTACGAAAAGACCATGACCGCCCTTCTCCGAACCGTCAACTTTGATACCCCGAGACCTTTATTGCTCGCAAGTCCTGGATTCATAGCGGCCGATTTCAAAAAATACATTGCGGACGAGGGAAGAGACAAGTCGGATAAGAAACTGTCGGGAATAGCCAAAGAAGCGGTCGTCATCCACACAAATTCGGGCCATGTGCACAGTCTCAACGAGGTTCTCAAGAGCCCCGAGATGGGCACTAAGCTGAAGGACTTCAAGTTCACCAAGGAGACAAAGTTGATGGACCAATTCTTCGAAAGACTCCGGCGGGAGGATGGAAGGGCGTGGTACGGAGCGACATCGGTAGCAAAAGCGGTCAACGAGGGTGCCATCGGCCCCGGCGGCGGCGTTCTCATCATGAACAACTCGCTGTTCCGCAGCTCTGATATTCCGACGAGAAAAAAGTATGTGGCCATGGTGGACAAGGTCAAGGCGGATGGTGGCGATGTCAGGATTCTCAGCAGTGATCACGAGAGCGGCAAGCGACTCGACATGCTGGGCAGCGTTGCTGCCATCCTGTCCTACCCGATCCACGATCTGGACGATGATGAGGATGATGACGGAAATGCTGCGGATGGTGCAGTTCCTGGCGAGTTGATTATATGAGGTTATTAAGTATATGAGTTAATGATACCACAAAAGTTGCATCCTGAAGAAATTGTAAAGGACTTGAAGTCATACATGTCAAGCTCGGGTCTAGGCGCATTCGTAGCATTGTTGGGCGACATGGCGATGGCGGGGCATCGATGGCGGGGTAAGGTACCTTATCTTAATCAGTGCTGCCCGTTGCCCCTCTCCCTCCCTTCCAAGTTCCAGGTTACCTAACGTTCATGACGTCGGGTACCGTGCCGAAGGAAACGCGATTCGTGATCCAATGACCACCTCATGTCCGTCCGGCAGCGCACAACAGCTCGGCACAGCAACACCGAACATGCAGCCGACAGCAGGTGCGATTGGCGGGGATCTCTCCTCACCTCATTGCGGACCGGAATGACTAATGGCCTCATTCGGAACGACATTTCCCAAGCTTCAGGTGCTCTTCGCCGGCTCATCTATTTCCTACCGCTCTACTCGTCGTCAGACGCTCCAGCTCACGAAGCCCATCGTTTTCGCTGCGTACACAATCCACACAATGGCGTCCGCACTCACCCTACAGTCTAAAAAGAAGCTGAACAACGGCCTTGAGATCCCCGTGCTGGGATATGGCGTGCGCCTCCCCCTCCTAGCGCGATTATCGTGAACCTGTTGCTGACAAGCACGCAGCTCTGGAAGATGTAAGTACAACTCGAAGAATACCGTTTCCTTCAACGTTACCAACACCGACTGCTAGTGCGCCTGAGCAAGCTGAGGAGGTCGCCGGCCAAGCCCTTAAAGTCGGCTATCGCCATGTGAGTCCAACGTCTATGCCTCCGCTTGTACCATCTCCTGACCATCCCCAAAGCTCGACTCGGCGGCTTCGTACAAGAACGAAGCCGGCGCCGGAGGTGCCATTCGCAGCGCCAAGGACATCCCCCGCTCCGAAATTTTCTTCACCTCAAAAGTTCGTTGGATTCACTACGACGGTGCCAAAGACCAGGTCGAGAAGACTTTGAACGAGACCGGCCTTGACTACATTGACCTGATGCTACTTCACTGCCCCTACGGCGGCTCAGAGGGTCGCAAAGGTGCTTGGGAGGCCCTCGTAGAGGCCCAAGAGGCCGGCAAGGTCAAATCCATTGGCGTCAGCAACTACGGCGTGCACCACCTCGACGAGCTCGAGAAGCACATCAAGGAGCTCGAGGAGGAGCGCGGAGGCAAAGGCAAGGGCGGCGCCATCAACGTTGCACAGTACGAGATCCATCCCTGGTGCGCGCGCAACGACATCGTTCAGTGGCTGCAGAAGCGCAATGTCGCCATTGAGGCCTACAGTCCTCTGGTCAGAGGCGAGAGGTGGGGTGACAAGACTCTCAACGCCTTGGCCGACAAGTATGGCAAGTCCGAGGCTCAGATCCTGCTACGCTGGAGCTTGCAGAAGGGGTACATCCCTCTCCCCAAGAGTATTACGCCGACCCGCATCCTGGATAATACCAAAATTTACGATTTCCAGCTGTCGGACGAGGACGTCAAGGCTTTGGAGACTGATGAGTATGCCCCGGTCTGCTGGGACCCAACCATCACACCCTTGGATGGACCGCGAATTGGTTGAGTATCTAGGGTTCTTGGCAATGCAGCATAGCCTGGGCTCTTTTATTCTCAGCGATACTTCTCTAGGTTCATCATTGTAATCAGACAAATGGACGCAAGAAGTGCCGTACATTTAGACGTAGCGTGCGATATCCATAGGTGCACGCCATCTGGTCGTAGCATCTGACCTCCAGAACGATGAAGGTCAAATATGTTCATAACGTGTAAATAGGAGGTAGACTGTGAACTATCGATTCGATGAAGAAGTGTAGACTTTTTTCAATTTGGAATCATCGAGACCAGCTAGTGACCAACCATGAGCGTTCCCCCAAACATGAACTGGGAAATTGATGATGTTGACGAAACTTAGACTCGTATCAATATATCGCATGATTGATATTTGAATTTGTTTTAAAAGAGGTCGTACCTCCCAGCAAGTGGCGAATAATTCAAAAAACAAATGACTCGTAAAGCTTGGCGTCAAGATTCCAAGTCTCTTGAAACTATCTCCAGGAAACCGAATCCTGGACAACAACCTGCATTGGACGGCAAAGGTGGTTTCAAACTCCGTTAAAGGTCGACGAGAGAAGATGAGGGATAGGGCTAATCACGCCTGCTGGCATATGTTTTTATCAAATTCTACATGCTGACGATTACTCTGTGATCTTTCACATCATCAGTGAAAGTCGAGTATATTGAATCCAAGATGATGATTTGTGCAGGGGCAAACTTCATCAAAAACCTGCAGACGATCTGCAGGACCTTCGCGACCAAATTTAGTGAGATAGATGGGAAGAATGATCGACGGATGGGACAAACAGTCTGAACTACGCGATTGAGCTGATCAGGATAATTTTGTCGTCTTGTCTGCGAAGGTGCGCTGTCTTGAAGCTAATATTGAGGATGTCACCGTTCGATCTGTGCCAGAAGTCAAATGGTCTATGCCACTTAGCCTGCCGATGAGACGAGGCTATCGTCTGTCCTAGTTGCTAGCGCCGGTTGTTGTCCTATCATTCAGATAAAGGTTCCAGGTTTCGAAGGCATTCCCCTGGACAGACTTGAGTGTTGTCTGTGGCATTGGCAGCTCAGACTGCGCGGACGTTAAGGCATAGGAACCTTGAATAAGATTGAACTAAAAGAATTTTATGCTGAGATACAACCCGTGCTGCTACTGGTGCAAAAACGAAATCTTATGGAAGAAGGAGGAAATTAACTCCAATTGAAGCCTCCTCCGAATTGATATTTGATTAATGAACAGGTCAGGACAAGCAGTCTTTGATGAACGATTACCTCGCTTATATAGCACTAGTTCGTATCATCGCTGATGGATGCCAGTGTTGTTGAAAAGGCGGCGAACACTTCCATCATATCATTTCACAAGGCGACAACTGGAGCCTTTGGAATGAATCAGGAACCTCAGGACTTCAGAGCAACTCGAAGTCATAGTATGTCCTGTTTTCGTATCTAGCTAGGCATCCCACATGAAACCACTGCGGGATGGTGTCGACTCTTCCAAGTCTAGTTCAAAATACTCGACTTGAAATGGACTTGGTGAGATGCCTACTGAATAATGCTCAAGCTTTGAGGCGTTCAAAAGTAGTGTGCAATCTCGGCCGGTTCTCGCATTGATTTGATACCTTCCGCTGTCCCAGGGCTAACGTGCGCTTTCTTATGAGTCGTACTAATAAAGCACAAGGGAAAATAAATTCTAAATTGCACCTAACGGACGATCTTATTTACATTATTCCGCCACTGACTGTTTTATTAAGATAAAAACATGGGACTTGGCAACTTTTATAACGATGTCCAATCCCATCATGCTCCCCTTGATTCTTGAACCTTGGCCAACTACACAGACAGGATCTCTCGTCGTTCATTTTCTATTATTTTTCTACCCAACGTCCTTACAAGATACGAAACTCTATCATTGACGCCGCCGCTCCACCGGCCTTGGGAGCCAGAGCCGACATTTACCCCAACTCTGAGTATGGAGACATGTTCTTTCTTAGCCCTCCCACCGGCTGTCAGTACATCACCAAGACCACCTACAACATGGAGGTTCCCAGGCAGCCCGCGAACTGGGTCAAGACCGACGAGACACAGCGTTGGCCATCTCTTTGGATCGGTTTCCAGTACAACCCGTATAACGGCGATGTGTTCAACATGAACTTTGTACCACCCCTTCTCAACTGGGGCCCCGACAACTCCATCTGTGGATGCAGTGCTCCCAACACGCATTGGTGTGCTGCTGCCAGTATTACTCACCACCCAAGCGGCCAAATTGGCCAGCCCTAAGTCCCAGTCAACAAGGAATAAGGAGGCAACTCTTGAGTTTGAGAGTATGTGGTCTTTGCCATGCCTGACGCAGTCTCGGACGTCTGAACACGTTTGCTTGCAATATTATAGTTTCTCTCAACGCCTCCCCCGACATAATTGATCAGAAGACTTGACAGAACGGCGACCTCATCTACTCGGAGTTTGATTGTAAGTATTGACTATTTCAACTTTGAGGATGCATTCTGAAAAGCTACTGCAGCTAAGGGAACGAGACCGGCCGTCTTTTACTCTGGCAACAAGTGCTACGGCGATGGCTACGGTACCATTCCGGCTTACAACTACACCAACATCAGCCTTGCTTTCAAAGAGCCTGTCAAGAGCTTTGCCGACGTCATCTTATACACCAACGCTACCCACACCGAAAGGCGGACGAAGGACAACGGCATCAAATGGACCGTCAACCCTATCACCATCGCGGAGGACAACTTGACCGAATAAGCTGACAACTTCACTCACGGCCCAAATACATCTTTGTTGTATATTGCTTTCACATCCTTTAAATGAATTGTTGCCAACTATCGCCATGTAGGCCTTGGAAGATATGTTCCGAATCCATTGTAGATGTCAAAGTGGATATCAACTCCGGGGCAACGTTGTCTGCTAACCCTCCATATGAGACGCTATCTATAAGCCAGCATCTCAAAAGGACGAAAATTACCAAAGTGAACCATGATGGACCATCAGTCGTTATACGTCGTTGAGGCATCGCATTCAAGACGTCGTGGGTGCGGAGAATGCCAAGGACATAGCTGCGGCGGTGATCACGACGTGGGGCTCGGCTTGAGGCACCGGCTTGGCGCAAGGAGAGAGATGGCATCAAAGCGAATTTGAGAAACACCAAGTGAGACTGTCTTTAATGAATATTTTGAAGACTTCACTGTGCAGAAACTTATCGATTTTCTCAGCTATTCAGTAGCCTGTCGACACCGGCCAAAAGACACACCTCGGAGATAAATCTTCCCAATAAGGAAGCTTAAGTTTCCGGGGACCGGCAATTATTATTGACGGACTTAAGACGATTTCACTTGGCCAATGCGGTGGTCAACCACGCAGCCAATTGCAGTGCGGGCGTTATTGGCGGACAAAGACATCAATGGAATCGAACCCAATGTAATCCTCCACTGCTTTTCGCGTCTTTGGATACCTTAATGCCGGCGTGGTCAATGATACTGAAATACGAGCAGCAGCTAGTGTGAACAGTGCGTCGACAGTGCTTGCCCTTGTATGACTTCTCTCTCTGGAAAGCTCATACCCACAGCTGTACCTATTTCCGCCTAGTAAACTAGTAAATCCGAGTCTAACGTCCAATCTGGTTCGCCGCGCGACGACCTTATTGCTGAGCTGTCGTTTTCGACGATGATGGCACTAGACTAAGGAGGTACTCTGCTTAAGAATGTACATTATCTTGGGCACTGGTGGGCTCTGGGAGAACCTGTATAAAAGCCAACCTGCAATCCACCTGATAATATTGCAAAAGCACTCCAAGCTCATCTTACCATTTCCACGCAATATTTCGAACTGATCAACATTAACCAAGCCAACTAAGTGAACTTGATGACTTCTTTACATCTTGATTATATACAAAGTATTTGCACTCAGAGGATCTTTGCAATGGCCCCTAGGAGTCTCCGATTCGCCAAAGACCAGCCGACTGGCTTTGTCAACCGCATCGAAAAAGTTGCGATCGTTGGAGTAGGTACCCCTTAAATAATGAACCCTCCGTAATTCACGAAGAAGACGACTGACATTATTAAGGCTGCTGGCACCATGGGGAAGTTTGTCACCCGGGAGCTACTGAAAGGCGGAAAGCACACAATCACCGCAATTACCCGACACGATAGCAATTCCAAATTACCTGAGGGTGTCATTGCTGCTAAGGTTAATTACGAAGAAATGAGCTCGATTGTGGAGGCTCTCGCGGGACAACAATACTTAATCATCACCATGAAGTCAACAGTCGGCCAGGAGACTCAGAACAAACTAGTACGGGCTGCGGCCAAAGCTGGTGTCCCTTACGTGATGCCAAACGCGTGGGGCCCGGATCCGAAAAACGACGGGATGATGAAAGACGCTCTTCTCGGCTCTTCATTTGAAGGAGCAATCAAAGAGATTGAACGGCTCGGTGTCAGTGAATGGATCATCATGTCTTGTGGGTTCTGGTACGAATACAGCGTGGCCGGCTCGCCTAATCGGTATGGATTTGACATTAAGAACAAGTCACTTACTCTGTTCGATGAGGGCGACGTAAAAATCAACACCTCTACCTGGTCTCAGTGTGGCCGCGGCTTGGCCGCCTTTCTGAACCTTAAGTGGTTGCCGGATGACAAGGACGACAAGTCTCCTAGCATTCAGAAATGGGCTAACGATGTGTTTTACATCTCGAGCTTCTTGGCTTCCCAGCGAGACATGTTCGAGAGCATGAAGCGGGTGACGAGTACAGCTGATGAGGACTGGGACATCAAGCATGAGAGCTCCAAGAAGAGGTGGGAGGCCGGCCACGATGCTTTGAGATCTGGGGACAGGAACGGGTTTTCGCGACTGATGTACTCGCGCATCTTCTTCTCCTCGACTGACGGAGATGTTGAGCATAAGCACGGTTTGGCGAATGCGGCCTTGAATCTTCCAAAGGAAGACCTAGATAAAGCTACTGCAGAGGCCGTACAGATGTGTATCTCAGGAGAATTGGACTCTTACTAGGCTCAGCAACCTGAGGATGGAGTCTGGAGGCTGGTCCATGACACTACTGGATATAAAGTTACACCTTTTCATGTAGCACCGCGTCTTGTGTTAGCAGCATTGCAAACTTAACAAGAGCAAGGATTTGAAACAGAACAATGTTAAATTATCAGTGATCCATCATCAGCCTGGCTTCCATGCTATGTTTGAAATAGGATTGCGATTCAAATCGAGATGGACGGCCATGGCCACCTCATCCATGCCATGACGGTAGCCGCTGACGAAGTAACACAACCCAACGTTGCGATCTGCCTGGAGCTCAGGAAATTTGAATCTTCACAGAAATTGAACCCTTCTTAGTTTGGACTACGATAAGGTCATGGTCGTAAGAGATATCTTCGACGGTGGTTTCGAATAGACGAGACCTCGGGATGACGCGAAGGGCCATCATAGCTACCATGTGATAGACTTCACAGAATGCCAAGCTAAGGAATACCGTTAGCATCGAAGAAAAAAACTATTGGTTTCAACCTTATAACTCACTTTTCGCCGACACACGACCGACTGCCTTTCCCGAACGCAAGAAGAAACTTCTGGAGCTTGTAGTTCGGCTGGCCATCAATCAACCAGCGCTCAGGAACAAACGCGTCGGGGTTGGGGAAGAGCTCTTCGTTCCAGTGGTTGATCATTGATGTCATGCCAACAGGGGTACCTCTGGGGATGACATATTCCATTTTACCGTCACGAGTCTTGTAGACCAGATCCTCATCGCGGGCAATCCTTGCAGATCTGTGAGAGACTCCAGGCATCATGCGAAGAGACTCGTGAATGACTGCCCACAGGTAAGGCTTCTGTTCGAGCTCTGTCCACCTGAGGTTTGATGGGTTGAGACCCTGTAACTGCTCCATCAGACGAGCATAGGTCTGGGGTTGGGCGAGCAGGTAGTACGTTACGACCGTCAGAGTAGCCTTGGGTAGGATGATCAGCATTGTGTGATTGACGGAAGGGAAATGCGTCTTACAGCAGTGGTCTCGGTCCCGGCCAATAAGAAGTTGAAGCCCTCGCCAGAAAGTCGGTACATGGATTTCTCTTCTTCAGGAAGTGTCTTGGATTCCATGAGATCGGCAAAGACTCTTCCGTTCTCAGGATTGTTCAAAGCCGCCTTGATATACCCAGGAATAACCACGTTCATCTGTCTCATGACCGACTTGATATCTTCACCCAAGTAATCCGCCATCATGGGCATTACTTGAGCCATCTTGCGACCAAGAGCGTTGTGCCTCATCATGTAAGCACTCTTGAAGAACGACTTGACCCAGGTAGCAAAGTTGGGCTCCCATCCTTCCTGCGCAATGAAACCCATGGGTTCTCCAAAGGCATATTGGGAGATAATATCTGCAGTGAAGCAGTTGAAGGCTTCTTTTACGTCGAAAGGCTCCTTGCCCGCTGAGCGGAGCATCTTGTCAGCTGTGAGCTGGGCAAACTCTTGCACCTCACCCTCAAGCTTGAGCATTTGCTGGCGTGAAAAGAACTTTGACAAAGCGCCTTTGCGCATACGATGGACTTCATGATTGACGGTGGAGAAGCCGGTAACTGAGACAGGGCCTGCACCGCCGGTGTTCAGCTGATGTTGCCACTTGTCGCGGATACGACCCGGACCGGCATAGATCTCATCGGTGAAGTAAGGATCAGAAACATGAAGCTCGTCCGGGTTGATTCTAACAATGGGCCCTGCGATTCAAACTGGTCAGAACTGAATCATGCCTTTGGACCAGGATTCTGGTCGAAGTTACCATAATGCTCGTGCATCTGTGCAATGACCTTGCCGTATCTTCCAAGTAGCCACCAGTCAAAGTACGCTTCGTATAGATAAGACGCAGCTGCGATTTTGGGACCAGGAAAACGCGCCAGCGGGTGGAAAGGCGAGATATTGTACACGGCTATGGCGACATGATAAAAGAGATAGAGACCGACGATGTAGACGACTGCATTGGGACTCAAGGCGGCCTTGAGGACCTCTAGGATGGTGTACGAGGTCATCCTGAGCACAAATTGGAGGACTACTTTAGCTGAGTGTGCACGAAAGGGCGGCTGAAGCAATTTAGTGTTCGCGACCTCTGCTACGCACATATTCATGTGACACCTATATATGGCCCATATATCTTCACCACACCACCAAGGAAGTGCATCCCGAAAAGTTTGAGGCCCACCAGAAACCAGGACATTGATAAAAGGCACACGCTTACTGGTCGGACTCGGAGCTTCTACGACCTAGATACCCCGCCTGGACACCAGGACTGAAGCACGACCACGACGAGCCCCTGACAAAGGGGTAACTTGGGCAAGAAGGACTGGTTAGCGTTGAGTAGTGCAGAAAGCCTGCGGGGACGATCCACAATGCCGCGATAGGAAATCTAGTGGCCGTTAAAGAATCCTCAATGAGGCCATAGCACCGGCGCGTGTGCTAGGGTTGGACTATACCCTACAAGTTCGACAGACACAATCAGTACTAACCCATCAACAAGAGGTAAACTAAGAATAAACAGTGGCGGGGATCTTTGCGCTCTTAATCACGGTAGAAACGATCCCCAGTCCTGATCTCTGGGACTGTGGACAAGCAAGATCATTAAACAGATGGTTTTCCCTTGATTAATGATGAATTGCTGACCGACGAAAAACTCTTGTCCCTTGTTGCGCGATAAATGTATCCTGGCAGATGAACCCACCAGGTCGTCGAAACGGGGACGCACATAATTACATACCGCCGGAATGCAACATGGCCAGCACTAGAATGAATCGTTCAAAGATCTCCAAGCGCCTAGGGCAACCTAATGGAACGGACCGGGGGCCGAGAATGGAGACACCTCCACCAGCTATCCACTCCATCAACACTCTGTGTATCTGTTCACCATCCAGCCAGGCTCGGTTTTTTCTTCGTTTGAATGGGCAGCCATAATTTTCAGCTGCTATCTTCCAAACCCTCCCATCTAGCTCAGAGTGAAAATTAAGGGTGGAAATCAAAGGGACCAGAAGCCAATACGTGGATTGGAATGTATTCTCCATGGTAGTTACGCAAAGATACTGAGGTCACGAGAAAAGCTCGAGTACATTCAAAGCCCATGGAGCTCAATGACTTAATTCATCTCTCTCCCGGATCCGAACCAAAATGAGATCTTGTCGATGACGGAATCATAGTCCAAGCCTGACGATTGAAGTGATGGAATCTTTCAAGCCTAGTAAGTGACTTGTCATCGTCCCTCACCGTGCATATTCTGACCAAAAGAAGCCCCCTGGATATTCAACCTCGACAAGCAACATGCAAATTTGTCAAAGTACCAAATGGCCTACGTAAAGCTTTCTTTACTCAGGGCCCCGACTGTCGGACCAGTGCCGAGATATTTTTCTTGGGTTAGGTATAATTTGGGTACCTGATGTTCAGGCATTCCCTTCTCTTTGAGGAGAAGATCGACCATTTGCAATGACTCATGCCACCGACCTTTTAAATGCGTTTGGGCAACCCTGTGATATTGTAAACCCAGTTGTATTGATCGACCATTTGAAATGCCTAATCATAACCAATCGGGCCGCCGCTGGATGATCATAGCCCGCCTCCCTTTGCCCTATCTTGGGTACTTTCTGGCTTAAAAGTTGTAACGAACTTTTGCCCTGGAACCGAACGAGTCAATTCTCTTTAGCGACCCGCAACCGGGAACCGAAGGAAGATGACGCGGGATTGGAACACACAGGGGCCCACGCATCCCAAGGGGATCATCAGTTTTGTGGTCAACCATGGCTAAAAGTTGTGTGCCCCAGAGTGTAGAAAGGATATACGAGCACTCAGCTATCTCACAAAGCAATCACGTAAAAAAATGATCTTCAAGGTGTCCATGGCTGCCACGCAACGCCATTGATTTGGATTATCGCCGCTCCATGCATGCATCTCTCTAGCTCAACTTTCCAAGCAAGACTGGTAGATAACTGACGTCTGTGCCGAGTTCTGCCAAATCCAGAAGCTGTTCTACCGATAATTGGTCCGACAGCAGAGTCCTTGAATTGTGTTTGAGTCGAGCCTCAGATCTGGAGCTCGTTTAGATGCTAGAGGGGCTGCCATCCATTGGAGCGCACGTGACAGGACTTGCACAACCGGACTTTTGTATTCAACGGATTCACATCTCAAGATCGACAATAGGTTGTTGTCGCGAGTCACGGCTTGAAAGGCCTTGCCATATTTGGTCCACAAGGAGACGAGGCCATTGCCTCAAGGATGCCAGGGGGTGCCCAGAACCAGGGCTCGAGAGTTCGGCAGTGCAGAGCATATTTCCCGGCTTCAGCTAAATCACCATAGAAATGATTTTCTTTTCAGATTGCCTACTACGGAGTACACGGCGCTGGGACACATGATCGAAGTCAGGTATATACAATATCGCCGAGCTTGACTGCCTGACCTTCACAACCTTGATGACTGGAGCTTCTGGAACTAGCATGGTTGCCACCCATCATCTCTATATCTCCTGTCTTTGTATCCCTTTCTTTTTTTCCCCCTTCCTACGTAGTCGGTCGTCGGCTCTCTGTCATTACTCATCCACGGCTCATCCGCTCAACGTTTCCAAACTCCCGATCGACAGCCCTCGATGGCAACAACAGTAGCGCTGACGCCGCCGCCACCGGTGTATATCGCGATGACGACCAGCGCAAGGAACTCACTCATAGCTATATGTTTTCTTTGGGCAATTTTTGCGGCAGTAGTATTTGCTCGACTTTGGGGACGATATCGTGGAATTGGCATTGGCGGAGATGACATCTTGGCTTTGACTGCTTGCGTGAGTCGCGGCTGATGAATAGTTTCACCCTGCTCTTTGCCTGACAAATATCATAGCTTCTATCAGGTAGCACGATAGGCATGGATGCAGCAGGTATGTTGTGGTAGTCGTTTCCAGGTTGTAGGCGCAGACGTGCTGATTCAAGTCCAAGTGTTCACGTCTGGTGTCGGATACAATTTTGACCCGACCTCTGAGGTGTACCCAAAACGTAAGTGAATAGTATTTGAGACAGCAAGCGATTTGGAGAATCGATCTTGCTATTAGCTCAGTGATGCGACAATTGCAAAATTTACGTTGATTTACATAGCTTCGGCGCTGACAATGTGGCGCAGTGCTCAACAATATGCAGTTCATCTTGAAGGTATGCGAAGAATCTGTGGTCTTGGAGAATTTCTGTTCCTGCTCTTGAGTCAACGAGCAATGACTGATCAGCGTACTACCTAGGCGACTTTTGCCTTCACTCTCATCTACCTTTGGGCGTTGGCGTCCTTGAAGCTCAGTCAGCTTTGGTTCTACTACAGAGCGTTTTCGCTTCAACTCAAGTGGTGGATTTTCCTCATTGGTGGTGTCGTCATTGTATGGGCCCTGGTCTTCACCTTCATTTTTATCTTCCTTTGTGATCCAATTTCCCAGCAATGGACAGTGGAACGGATCGGCCACTGCATGGATCAGATTTTGGTGCTCAAGTGCATCATCATGACGAACGTCGTCACTGATCTGTTCATTGTCATCCTACCCATCTGGACCGTCTGGAAGTTGCAAATGCGGAAAACCGAGAAGCTGGCTGTAATTGCCTGTTTCGCCCTTGGCTTGGCGTGAGCTATCCCCTCTCTACCCCTTATTACTCCTCATGGTTTTGTAAACTAACGCTGCGAAGATGCTGCGTGATTGGCATTGTTCGCTTCTGGCAGATATTTGTTATCGATCTCATCGGCAATCTCACGGGCACTTCGTTGACGACATTCATGCTCTGCACAGTCGAGCTCATGCTTGCGGGTCTTTGCATCAATATCCCAATGCTTCGACCGTTCTATCTCAGATGGAGAGCCAAGTACAAGTCTTCCTCGCTGGAAAACTCCAATAGCCAAAGCGCGTTCAATAAGGGATCGCGAAGTGGGCAGCTCAAGGTGCAACCCAAACCTGGCCAGTATACGGCATGGATAGAACTAGTCAGTTATCAACCTTTCCAACCGCATCCCATCCGACCTGATATTACTGAAAGATAAATGCTGACCTTGCAAGAACGATAAGGAGAATGAGACGGGGAGCAACGATGACGGCGGTTCCGAACGAAAACTTACCAGAGAACAAACCAACGCTGCAATTCATATACAAACCAACTGGAATGTCACTAGGGAGTGAAGAAGAACAAAGGACAGGAGTCGGATACAACGTGGGGATTGACTAGGTGTTTGGGATCCTCTCGGTGCAAAGTCAGTGCTACAGAAAAGGCATAGCTCGCCGTGCCACTATAAACGATACATCGCGCCGATACCAGCTGCACCAACGAACTTCAGATACATTTCTGCACATGCAACGTATTATATTATGCCCGAATTAGATGAGAAAGATTTGGAGGTGTGGATGAAGTTAAGCCGGCTTCTAGAAGGATTGTATAACTCTCTGCATATGACCATCTTGTGAGTATGTGGGGTTAGTAGCAGGTGCGTAAGGGGACTCGGACCCAGCAATATCAACCGTCTGTAACAATTTTGGCGTTCTCAATTTCCTGGGAGGTATTGTAGGAGCTTTAGTCGTCTTCTACATGAAAGGCTCCTCGGTTTATCACACTGTAGGTTTCCGACGGAAGGAGGAAAATGTTCCCCAGGTGGTGGTATTTTGAGAAACCGTAATGAAGCGGACGACGACTGTACTCGATTGATTGGGCTAGACCCACTACATATAAACTCCCGTTTGGCTAAAGACAGATCGTCTGGAGCATCTGTGAATAGAATGCCGAGAGTGCTTGGCCTCCGGAGCTTCGATAGCTAAAATCAAGCACTGGTGTTCGCCCCTGCGGACCTTTCATCACCTCCGTGCAATTCTGCTGTACCGTTACTCCGTTTGAGTCTCTTTTCCCGCTCGTCTCTGCTTTCGCTGTTCGCATCAAAATAGGCTGAAAAGTTTGTTAGAAAGGTGAGCTTGAGTTTAACCGAAAGAGCTCCCACTATACTCACGTTTCTCACCAAACACAGTTGTTCTGATACCTTTGCGCGGCGCGTCGTATGTCCCCGGGATGACACGGTGAATTGTACATCTAAGAAAGAAATGAGCTAAGGTGACTTTGATAAAGCCCTTGAAAAGAACAAAGACAACCTATTATCCCACATAGCCACGCTACCCACTTGCCACTTCCAGCGGACAGCATGGTCGTCGGCAGAGTGAATGTGGTATGCGAAGAAGTCCAAAAGTTTGTCGGACTCGTACTTTTTCAGCTCGGCAAAGGCGGTCACGAAGCCGGGATTGACATTCAACGCCTTGAGGCCTGAGACTGGATGTGTTCTCACAGCTGGATGATGAGAATCAATGGGAGGTCGGTTTGGGCCAGTGCCCCAAAGGTCCAAGATGGTTTCATATTGCAATCGCGACGTGTGTACAGCGTGCAAGCCGTCAACGAATTTCTTCATGGCGTCACTGAGAGCGTCATAGAGCCCGTATTGAGATACCCAAGCAGTATCACCGCCGACCTCGGGGTGTTCCTCCATGCGCAATAGAGAGTACGAAGGCGGGTTGATCTCGAAAGATGTGTCGGCGTGAAAGTCTCCCGAAGGCCAAGGGGTATACTTGAGGATTTCACGGTGGTCCTCGCGACTGCCCTTAATGACCACATGCTTGACATCCTTTTGCGCAGGGTGACGGTCAAGAGTGCCATAATGCTCGAAAAGCTTCACTTGGCCTTCAGTTGTCAGGTCCTGACCCCGGAAGAAGACGACTCCGCGTTCGGTGACGAGAAGCGCGAGTTCATCCAACTGTTGCGCCGAAAGCTGCGATAACTGCACACCTTCCAATACTGTACCGATTGATTCTGTCAAATCAATCCTGTTAGCGACCGAAAGGAGTGCCGTCTTGTTGGGATCGGCGAGGGAGGCCCTGTCTTTTTCCGGCAATCTCTGCTCATGATAAGACTCAGGAGGTACGTGATCTTTGATTTTGGGATTGAAGTGCGGATGCAAGGCAATGGGGAACCCCGAATCCGGGGAAACGTGCTTTCTAGACTCTAGATTTGCCATGATAAAAAAATCTTATTGCAAAACGAAGAAGGCTAAAACAAGATGGAGGTAACTCTCCGTGTTTGGAAGCTGTATTTTCAAACGCTTATGAGCTTATGTTGTTGTGGACGCCAGCACTCCATCGTCATTTCCCCTCAGATGATGGCATCAAGTCGACCAATGTCCTATTATTGCGCGATCTGAGGTGGAAATGAGACACAACTGAGAAGGCTTCTCATTCGTTGGCGATGATGTGGGTAAGGTAGTTCAAGCATCAAAGCAATACTTAAGGTGAGCTCTTGCCGCATTTCCTGAAATGCAACCGGGAGATCTCGCTGAGCTTGAATCTTTCCAGACGTCAAAAGCTCTCTGGCAGCCCCGAGAAGCACATGAGAACTGGACAGAGGCTCAAAACGGGGTATCAATTTCATGGACTCGACGAAATGGATGACACGCCACTCCCTCAATTTGAACATTTCATCGACTAATTGAATATCCAGGGACTTAACCTGACCAGCTTTGCAGAAGGAGAGATTTCCAGCAAGCAGACCTGTGTGTCGGAGCACGGCCGACCAACGGCCAGAAGGTCGGCCACACCCGAGGAATTGGGCCATTGATTGGTGTGAAAGATATTCGCCATCCTGAGAGCTGATTGCATCAGTCGATTACATAAGTCTAGCTGCATAAGGTGTGGATGCTTAAGTGGGAGTTCAGAGCGTTCTGAGCGGTCGCTGTCGATGGCGTGAGCGATCCAGACGATGGCATCAGTGTGAGAGTGGGTCGTCTTATATATCGGCACGGCAGACGGCCGAGTGTGGACCCAAAAGATATGCAAGGACTCGACCACAACCCGAAGAATTGGCACTGGAACACGTGGTGCCCCATTGGTACTCCACCATGAAGTTGCGTTCATGGCAACGACCGCTCCGTCAGAGCAAGAAATCCGACTTTGATAGATGTACCCGAAGTCGGACACGAAACCGCAAGGCGAGGCCTGGACAGGTAAGCCGGGATCATGGAGGGGCAAGGTACAATTTTCTTTGGAAAAAAAAAAAAGGCTTTTGGTTGAATGTTGCGTATCCGTAGCTCTTGGACAAGAATATGAAAACGTTGCAGTGATCACAAGGCCCTTCGACGTGCTTGGTGCTTCTTGCGAATCGACGCCAGTGAAACAAAATCTACCAGATCCTCTCCATCCTTGACGATGATAACCGCGGTAGATGAGAAGCACATCAAGGCGGTGGCCGAGTGCCCAGAAAATCACAGCGATGGCGAACACCCCGAAATCGATTGGACGCCGGAGGAAGAGCGGCAGCTGGTGCGAAAGTGAGTTTGGAACACTTTCCTTAGCTTCTGTCAACTCGGGCTAACTCCAGAAATTGCAGAGTCGACTTCCTCATCATGCCACTGTTGATCCTCGCCTTCTTTGCCCTACAGCTCGACCGTGGCAACATGTACGAATACCACCTGCATACTACTTTAAGAACTTGCCCTGGAACAATATCTGATCAAGAGTAGTGGTAATGCCTTAACGGACTATTTCCTCAAGGATATTGGTATAACACAGAACCAATTCAACGTTGGCCAACAGCTGTTATCGGCAGGCATAGTCATTCTTGAAGTTGGTTATGGCAGCGACATTTAGCCACGAAAAATATCCAACTGACAACATCTACTAGATTCCTAGCAACCTCGTTTTATACCGCATTGGACCAACGCTCTGGATTGGAGGACAGATCGTGGCCTGGTGATATTTCCCCATAATTTTCGAAGTGGACGACACTGGCTTGACAGCGCTAACAAAGAACCAGGGGCTTGGTCGCGACCTTCCAGGCTTTCCAAAAAGGGCTGGGCGCATACATGGCGACTCGAATACTTCTAGGGTGCGTGCAAATAGCTGGCATACCTAAGTCACATCATGTGCCGAAGACTGATTATTTTTAGCCTTTGTGAGGCAGGATTCATTCCTGCAGCTCTCTTCACCATGACGCGGTGGTACAAGAGGGACGAAACGAGCCAGAGGTTCTCGTGGTTCTTTATCGGCAATATGCTAGCTGGCGCCTGCTCAGGCCTCATTGCGTACGGAATGTAAGATTATCACAACCGACAAGTTTGCGTCAACGTTGATCAAAGCCTAACAAATTGTGTGTCCCAGCTTACATATGAGAGGCATTGCTGGACTTGCTGGGTGGCAATGGCTCTTCCTGGTAAGTCATTGTTGATTTATAAAAAGAAAGACAACAAGCAAAGAAAGATCTTAAGATGACTAACATTTGTTAGCTTGAGGGGATTTTCACAGTCTTGGTCGGTATCGCCTTCTTTGTTTGCTTTCCCTACCAAGTCAACAACCCAGTTTCAATGTTTGGCTTCCGCTACTTCTCGGAGCGGGAGACTGAAATCCTCTACAAGAGAGTCATGATCGATGACCCTTCCAAGGCTCAATCAAAGCGCTCGGTCAGCTGGCCAGAGCTGAGATCAGCGGTTTGTCATGACTCGATTTGCTGCGGTATAATCACATGCATGCTGACGTGAATTAGTTAACTAATTGGAGACTGATTCCGCATGTTATCTTCACTATTGCTGCTCTGGCGCCATCCTCTACTCTATCATCTTATGCTCCCTCTCTCGTGAGCTCCATGGGGTTTGAGAGATTAGCATCCAATGCCTTGGTTTCAGTTGGCGCCTGGCTCCTTATACCCATCAACCTACTATGGGGTTTTGCTGCGTAAGCGCTTCTCTGCCAAAAGATCGTCATCAAAACCAAACTCAACTGACCGATGTTCCTAGCGATAAAATGAGAGTTCGTGGCCCATGGGTGTTCTTAGGCCTGTTGATATTCTGGGGCTTCAATGTTAGTCAATGTTTTGTTATGTGCTTCTTCTTTACGGATTTCCCAGCTGATATGAATAATATACAGCTTGGCAACTACCTGCTGATAGATGCTGGCCGCAATTCGAGGTTTGCTATGTTGACCCTCTCAACAGCTTTTTCATTCCCTTGGCGTAAGTTCATATATCTTCTGAACACTTAGCGATTCATGTAATTGACCCGCATTGCAGATCCCGTTAACGGAGCGTGGGTTTCTGCCAACGCCAAGTCCGCCGGTGAACGGTCTATCACAATGGCTATCCTGATCATGGCGGCGAACTGTTCGGGCATTGTTGGCAAGCAGCTATTTAGGGAAGAGGATGCACCAAAGTATCGCAACGGATGGACCGTTATTACAGGCCTCACTACTGCCGCCGCGGCTTGTGGTATTTGGGCCAACGTGCAGTACTACATTCTCAACAAACGCAAGCTGAATCGAATGGGGCTCTATTATCAGTACTGATGGGAATGCTAGCGAGGTGGTTGGGTAGCATAGTTTCGACCTCGGATAATAGGGGCTTAGGGGAACGGTCGGTGAGTGATTGCCCCTGAGTACTTAATTTATCAATGTCGAAGGCAAGCTAAGTTTTTCTGTAGTTCTTATGCAGACAAAAGAGAATGCCAATATGCAAATACCCACCGCCATCTTGGAAAAAAGAGGTTTTGCTTGTATTGCACAGATCTGCCAAGAGAAAGCAGCTGAGTGGATAGGCAGGACTCGGACCAGCCTGGTTCATGGCCAGCTCAAGCGGGCGCTACGGTATTGAAACAATAGACCTCGACGGCAGAGTCATGACGTGCAAATGTGCGGAGCGGGCCTAGTCCGGGTAAAGATCTGACGTGGAACACTTTGGCCTCATCTTAGGCTTGGGCCGAAGTCTTGTGATCAAATCTAATCGTCTACTAGTCCTATCAAGTTCTCTCGGCTTGTCATCGGCTCCGGCCTCCATTTCGCGCCTCGCGTTTGATGTTGAACTTCCTCATCCATCGTTCGTACAACATTCCTGTAGTGCTCTGCAAGGGACTCGGGATAGTCAGCAAGGTCTGGAATGGTCCATTGGTCGTAGCAAGCCCCGTGCGTATTGGCGGCAAAGTAAGCCCCATGATGTCGGATGAACAAGAAGCAGAGGTAGCAAAAGTACTTGGAGGCCCCTAGACATCTTGGCTTGTGCCAGGGACTGTCAGACCCTTCCAAGTCGTGATGTACGGATAGAATGACTTCCGCGTGCACGTGGGTAGATTTTGCCCACGGCTGGTAGGCTATAGTAAGAGGCACTGCCTCATAAGGTGGTAGAAAAAGGAGTTGGACGCTCTCGAAACTGGTGGGATGCGAACGGGACAAACTAATCAAAGTTTGACATATGCGGTAATAAGCAGCAATCTTTTCAAGCTGACGCAAAGTTTTGAGGCAGGCCTGAATTTGAGCTGTTGCCCTGATAGCTTGTAAACGGTCAAAATAGTTCGCGATCAGGGTTGACGTGCAGAATTGGTAGCTAGACTGCGCAATTTCAATCAGCTTCTCGTGGTCGTCCGTCTCCGACTCGAAAGCTTCCAGTAAGTCGGCCATCTGCAAGAGTTCCTGTTCAAGCTGCGCCCGCACGGCTGCTTCTTTTTTGGAGTAAAGAAACTGAGCGCGGTGGATGAGGTTTGCAAAGTCGGCAAACAGGGGTTTCTTGTGCGTGCGGGCAAGATAGGCTGGCTTCTTCCATTTGGCGGATCGGAGGCGGTTGAGGAGGCGGGCTTGGTGATGCCGGATGACCAAGTCCAAGAGGCGATGTAAGGGCTTGGCAGGCGGCGGGGCAGAGAGTATTTGGAAGACGGAGCGCAGGAAAGCCTGGGAATCGGGCTCGATCGCGTCGGCGGATGCGATGGTAACCTTGAGACTTGCTGCAAGTGGTTGCTGATCCAGATCGCGGCCTCCATCGAGGCCTCCGGTTGAGGCATCGATATTTATCCGGCCTTCTTGAACAGTGGCAGCGGCAACTGACTGCGCCCCCTCCCCAACAGCAACGAGGTAGGCAATGTCATTTGCCAGGCGTTGCTCCGTGGCAGTTGATAGCAGGCGGTGACGAGGATGCTCGGGGTGGCCGGCGGAGTTTCGGTGGTAAAGGTCCGCCCAAATTGTCTCTGGAGACTCGGGGGGATCTGCATGCACTTTAACACGTGCCTCCACAGTCCCATCTGAAGTTGCTATTGCATGGGATGACAGCGGGAAGGATTGGGCGTCGACAGGCACAGCATTGGTTAGTTTCTCTAGAGCAACGACATGCTGGCGGAAGAGGCTCTCGGGGAGATCTCGCCAGATGGATGACGCAGGCGAGGCAGTGACAGCAGGGCGGGGGTGGATAAGCCCGCTTGACTCGGGTACAGAGTCCGTCGGTAGCGTGTCTAGCAGAGGAGACAGGGAAAACGACATGGATGATGAGGGTGGAGATTTGAGCTTGTGGGTGGCTGAGAAGTGAGAAAACGTGCCAAGGACTTGTCTGTGGTATGTTGCGTTGTTGATGTTGAACAGGTGAATGAGGTCTTATTCGGGTTTGGCCGACTGGGTCGTTTCGAGTTTGCAATCTGCTCGATTGCTCTTCTTTGGCTTGGATAACTGCGGAGAAGCCCATAGGTGCCTGCGGAGTATGATTTCCCTGTTGACCTTTCTGGAAGCAGAAGAAAGCCGCCGTGCCAAGCCAAGATGTGGGAGGAGATGGAAAATTGGAATAATTACAGAAGGATTTTCAACCTGTCTCCAACCTCAAGATTTCGGCAGGGCCCACAAACCGCCGTCCCGCCTCCACTCGCTCGTCCTGGACCTGCTGACAGAGAGAGCCTGAATTTGGAATCCTGCACGAAAACCTTGGAGCGGAAGGGCCACCAAAGTAACCAATTGCGCGGCGACCCTCGTCTGACGCACGCAGTGCTGCAGTCCTGAATTTAGTGCGCCAAGACCAAAGCGTTATTACGCGCTAGGGATGACCACTCGCCCGGCCCAGCGCAGTGGGAGGGACTTCACATGTGGGAGCATCTTGTGGGCGCAAAAGATGGTGATGGGATGAACGGGGATGAGACTAGCTGCCAGTTGGATAGTCCTACTTTAATATGCCACAACAAGTGCCAAACTTTAGCAAGCAAAACATTGTCGGGTATTCCTAGACTTGGGGCAAGCGCTTTCATACTTTATGTTGGTATTCGCAAGTCTTGACCAATGACGGAATAGTGGAAAGTTTGCTATCGCCCCAAAGGTTCCTTGTGCGATCCATTCTGGCCTGTAAATGAGCCGTGGCATCAGGGTTCAGCAGTTTGAAGCAGACTCGCTACGCTTCCACAACCGCAAGAAAGGGATACCGTCCTTGGTGAGGGTATCCGCAAGAATCAGACCAGGCGAAGAGCTAACTCGTGAACGGATACGGGAATCCCTGACGGCACCCTAGGCAGTAGCTTAGAGTGAGACACAAGCCGCCGGCGCAAGTCAGTGCTCACATGTGCCTGCCGGTTCCTGTTCCAAGGTGTCGGTACGCCCGCTCCAACCTACTGAGAAACGGCGGCACCATGCCTGATAAAGAAAGTCGGTCGTGCCCCAAGGTCTTGGTTTAGGGCCTCGGCAAAGTCTTGGAATGTTCCTGGGGCATCGAGGAAAGGCCGTCGAGATGGCATGGATGGGTCGCATTGGGGTGGCCATGGGCTTGGCAACTTTCACCTTGAACTTTGAAGAAGTCTTTGCGCTCCGGGCTACTGTGTAATCTTTGAACAGAGTTACTCATGGCGGAACCAGGCTAGTTCCAGTCCTTCGCCGACGCGGTATGCTAGAGGCCCAGAGTACTGCTACAGTCTACGACCTACATGTAGTAGCCGTAGAGTCGCAGGGCAACGTGGCTTTGTGCCAAAAATGCATTCTAGGCATGTCCATAAGCGGCCCCCCTTCAGTCTTGGCTCAACATAGACCGACCTGCGGGTTCATCTCTGTTCATCTCTAGTGGCGTACTTGGCATGCGACCAAGGAGGCTCCAATCACAAAAGCCACAACGACGCAGGCGCATTGTTCTTCTGGACCCTAAACTTTATCTTGACCAGCATCAACCACGCAGGGCTCAGATTACCTGCGTCTACGCCGACCGCCCAGGCCTCAGTCCTTACTTTACTATGTACCTCACAATGGGCCTCTCTACATTTATCGCATCGAGTGAGGCGCGCGCTCTGGAAACCCCGGAGCCCTGTCCACAATTCTTGGCGTCAACGTCTTCTGATCACCAATGACCTTGACCCAATCGTCATGGGCTGGCGGCTGCTTGTGCTCTTCACCTCTTCCAGTCCCATGTTCTCCACCATCCTCTTTCTTTGCCATGTGCTGTGTTCGCAGACCGCTATAGCGAGTTCAGACGATTCATCACTCGGGGATGCCTGCTTTCGCGAATCCCAGCGACAAACGGCTATTCTTGAACATACGTGACAAAGGTTAATGAAACTGTGGCCACCAATACGGCGAGTCAGCCGCTCACGGACCTGCGTCGGCCCCGAACAGCTGGCTCCCTCTCTTTTGCTTGGCCACGATTTACCATCTACCGTTTGGCCAAGACTCACGAATCTGCTCAACATCGCTGAATGTTGTGTTCACGCGGGATGTCGCTGTGCTACGTTCACTGGAATTGCGACGCCCTGCCGACAAGCGCTCCCCAGTTTGACATTCTTATGAAAACCTGTTCCGCGCAACCTTTCAGCGTGCTTTCCTAGTTGTCATTGTGGCAGCGTTCGCACCCATTCTCTTGGGCCTGACTTGATCCGGACATGAAAATGCCCCCTCCCCGTTCTCGTGATGTGTTTCCCAAGTCCTGACTCCTATCCCTGCCCGTGTCTCCCCTGGTCCCGTCCGCGATTGATCATTGCCAAGCGCGTGGACGCCCGCCCCTTTCATCTCAAGCAGGCAGCTGGCAGAAGCCTGTCAAATCCTCAACGAAGCAAGGATTTGGATTTCTGGTGTCTTGACCGTAAACATGCCAAGACGCTGCTTTCTACGAAGGCAGCTGCCAGCGTGGCCCCACGAAATTACTATCGCATCTCAATGTCACAGCTTCTCGCCCCTTGCAATTGACTACCACTATGCAGTGCTGGTGTATAATTATCTTTAGATCTCCCGCCCTCTAATCGGATCTTCATAGAGCTATTCATAGCTCATCTCACGGAGAACCAGTCCCTCTTTTATGCTCTTCGACGATCGATTTTAATATTCAATTTTTGTTCACACTATGAAGCCTGTCGCTATTCTCTCCCTCATTCCCGTGGTTGCCGCTTTCTGCCATCATGGAACCAGCCTCTTCAAGAAGGATCAGCTATTGAAAAGGGCTGACGGTACTTTTGGTTTTGACGGCCTGAACGGCCCCCTCAACTGGCACTCAATCAGCTCTAGCAACTCTGCCTGTGCTCTCGGCAGAAGCCAGTCTCCCATCAACGTCCAAGAGTCCAATACCAAGCAGGTCCAGGGCTCAAACATTACCTTCACCCCCGACCAGTATCCCGAGGGCGGCGAGCTCGAGAATCTCTTTGGTTTCCTTGAGGTTCGCGCAAATGGTACCATGAAAAATCGTGGCAAGACTTACAATTTACGCCAATTCCACTTCCATACTCCTAGTGAGCACCGAATCAACGGCGAGCACTTCCCCCTCGAAGTTCACTTTGTTTGGGAGGCCGAGATCGGAAACGGTAAGTCATCGCTTACAGCCCCAGTGACACTAGCGGACATGGCTAATTAGAATTTAGGCTCATCTGTTGCTGTCATTGGCTTTCCTATCGAGGTCGCAGAGACATCCGATCCTCTTCTGGCAGCTGTCTTCAAGAATGTCGACAAGGTCACCGAGTTCGGATCCCACGCTCCAACCGGATCTCTGGACTTCACCACCCTTTCCGAACACGTCTCAAAGAACATCATCTACCAGTATGTTTGATCCATATGCTCTCAAATCTCTGACTGGCTCGATCTAACATGAACCACAGATACACAGGATCTCTCACCACCCCTCCTTGCACTGAGTCCATTGCGTGGAGCATTGTTGGACGCCCGATTTACCTCGATATTGCGACCTACCTGAAGGCAAAGAGCATTATGAAGTACAACGCTCGATATACCCAAAACAGTCCCGGTGAAATAAACATGTTGGAGAACGCATATGAGAGCCTGAAACAGATTATCGAGAGTAGTCAAGGTACGAACTAGATTTACTAGACGATCTTCATAATTAAACATGCTTTATGTTACTTCCAGAGGAGCCTAGCTTCGAGCACAAGCCCCATCTAATGATGATGCAGAATGTGCAGAATGCAGATATCCAGGCATTGTGTTCCTGCAACAAGGGAACGCAAAGTGAGACATGAAGGTCGCTAAACATGGCCAGAAGCAGATCCCGTGGAAGAGAGTCCGTGCAAGAAGAACAAGAGTGGCAAGGGCGGGCGCAAAGACTAAGCCCATTCAACAACCAAGCCTAGTCGTCGCAGCGATCAGTAATAGATCTGGAATTCACCCAATTCCCTAAATGCAATACCAACAGACAAGCCATGTCGACACTCCCCGGTCATCTTCCTTGCGGGATGGATATGGACAGCGAACACCGGGACGAATACCAACTATTCAGTCAGCAATCCCCGAAAGCCATTGGCTCCTATAGGACGGAATAGTCACTTACTTAGAGCCACCTACGTATCTTTTCCTATTTTGTGACTAAAACATACAATTCCCACCCCCAAGCTACTCGAACATTGAATGCGAATCAGGCATCTAAACTCACTCTGGAATAGAAAGGATTACTTGAATCGTGTCCTCAATTGGTGGTACTAGCTCCGAAGCGTTTGTTTTTAATCCTGGCAGCGGATAACGCGATACCTTACAACTGACAAAGAATGTCAGCGCACTCATCTTACAGGTCCAGGAAATTTCTCACTAAACTGGAGACGAGGAACCTAACAAGGTCTTCAACATAGCATCGTACACAGTCGCCTCGTAGAAAGCTTGGCTCGTTCACAGCAAAAATAAGCAGCAGCAGGGGGAGCTCATTGTATTTCCTTCCCACGCACTACTCTCCAAGCACTATGATTTGTGCGAATGAAAATGCCTGCCAATGTGAATCACATCACAGCAGGTTGAAAATTTCGTTGGCCTCGGGCTATCTACGCTGTGCGGCGCCTAATACAGTCGGTGGGTCTCATTTGAATACCTGGCGTCAGACCTACTGACGCCAAAAACTGCTTGCTACAGCCAGGCGACCGAACAAGTCTTCTAGCCAAGGACGACTTCGGAGTTTTCAGATAACTTCAATGAGGGTGACCACAATTTTTGCGTTCATCGAAGCAGTTAGCTCAGTATTGAGATCTTCCGCGTTGTAGGACGATGGCTGAGACTATCAGACGACACATGACCTATGAGGTAGCGCTATCTTCCGCTGATGTGGCTCCGGGAGTGTCAGATCTCTCTGAGATATGTTGCATGTTCGAAGACGCTAGCTGATTTGTCAGGCACGGATGAGGGCATCAGAAGAGAAGGCGTACACCAAAATACTCTCAGAGGCACTCATCAAGACTGTGCTCTCGTGTTTGGTCTTTTGGCATAGATTGTCGTGAAAATGGTGGAAATTGGCGGTGGTGATAGACATGATGGTTTAGTTCATAGGGTTGTAGCAAGTTGAGGGAAATATGATTTATACCCATTGCGTGCTCACAATACCTTCGATAATTTGATTGCTCTCAACTAAGACGCAGTGCAGGCAAGCGCTTCATTTTTATCAACGTCATATACGTTCGACTTGTCTGAGAACTGTAGCCGTGCATCTGAAGGTAGGGTAAGATGGGAAATGAGAAGAAGGGGGATGTTTAGATTATTCCGGGAAACATAATTATACAAGAGTCATAAATAGCAGCGAGGACAGTTAAGAAAGAGAACCAAGAGGAGAAGAGGGGAGAATGAATGACTTGGCCGTAATGCTTGCGGATTTGGCGTCATCGGCCACCTCGTGACAGCCTTGTTGGGTGGGCTCGACGATTTTATAAGCATTGGTCGCGGCTGGGGATGGTGGAGGATGGATGGTGGTAGGCATAACTTGGACATGAGGGATCCATACCCACACTAACGAGGCAGCCAAGGGTCTAGAAACAACATCTATTGCCACTGGATGCGCCTGAATCTATAAGCTCAATTGATCCAACGTAGCCATGGGATATCCTTGAAATCTAAGGTGATGATCCAATCGCGAGAGGCGCAGCTAAGCAAAATTTTGAAATACACAATAGACTTTAAGCCTTGTTGAAACATCAGGTTGGACCAAGAACGCGAATATTCGGATGAAACAACACCCCAAGCGCTTCAGTCACTAACGCAGTTGCAGAGAGTGGCAATCCAAAACAACAATTGTAACAGGCGAGTTTGCGCACGACCCTTGCGGAAGGGAATCAGAATGAGCTTAGTGCACGGATAGTTCAAATAGCTCAATAAAGACAAAGAGTTTTCCTTGCAGCAATCATCGGGCTTGGACAGCGTCTCTTCATTTGACCATCAAGCTATCTGCATGCAACTTCGCACCCAGTAATTATGTCTTCGACACCCGAATATCAGCCCTTTCTCAAATACTCGGACGACCCATCGACCGAAGAGCCAACATCACCAAGGCGGCAGTCCGCCCGTCGAAACACGCTTCTTTCTCACGTTTTCGTTCTCATCGGCACGTCGTTAGTCTGGGTCCTGATCTTCTTTCTATTCTTTCCGACACCTTCTGCGACGACCTCATCCGAGGGTAGTGCAATATCCCACTTACCAATTACCTACGGATCTGGCGAACGACACAACATCACCAGTGGTAGGACAAGAATCTCTTGCGGCAACACAACACAAGAGGCGAGAGCAAAAGGCTGCAAATACGATGTCTTATTGAATCACTGGGTCCCGGCGCAATGCTTTGACAAGGACTCCGTCGCCGAATATCAAGAAGACGCTAGTTGGGGGGCTTTCGCGGACAAAAACATGACACAACAATTGACCATCGATGAGATGTCAGAAAGAGACTTCTACTGGACCTCAATCCGGGACCACATCAACCATTGCGCCATCATGTGGAGGCGCCAATTTTACGCGCTCTACGACGAGCGGCTTGCAATCGATACCATTGTCACCAGTCCCGGACATACAGAGCACTGCTCTCAGTATCTTATGGATGCCGTAGACTCGAAGTGGAAGGAACCGACGAAGACGATGAGAGGTTTTGCGGGTTGTTGGGTACGCGAGGCATAGACTTTAATAAGGGTGAGAAATAGTTTGTTAGTTTAAAGAGCGTCAAAGTATCTTTACATTCCGTTGGATCTCTCAGTAGAATGTGGATCATCCGAGCAGCAGGTGAATTGAATGAGGAGTGCATTCTGAGTGTCTGCCAAGTTATTTTCTTGTGCCGCTTAATAGACCCGTTTGGTGCGACGTGCCGTCAAGATCCGCTTGTTCTGAGCAAAGTAAGTTGTCTGTTTTAGAACGTAACCCACATATTAGTCTTTACAAATCGGGACTCTGCGTGGGACACACGATGAGAGTATTTGTATTGTGATTGCAAGCAAACAGGCTCTGACTTATAATGATAATGGGTTGAGGCCAAGAAATATGCTCTAGAACTGGGTCCTTAATGGCTTGAAGTTGAGCTAAAGAGAAAGATGAATGACTGGTTGGTGCGTTGTATTAACGTGGACGTCAAGCATGGCCGGGCACGTGCCGGGCTGGGAATGCCGATTGAGCGCCCTTCTGAACGGCGTCGGTTGTCTTCCGGATTTCGGACTTGCTCTCGACTGTCATTAGGACTCGCCCAATGTGCAGCTTCTGCTGGTGTAACAACGTGGACTTGCACTCGAACTAATTAAGATATCCTGAGTTATTCGCCAAAGTAGGCATACAACGGACTTCAGAAATAATTGCGCGTCTACTAACGCTGGGGGTGGGTAATCGAGGTGGTTATTCCTGGGACGAACAGGGATTGCAAGAATGTCGCGAATGCCGAATCCTTGCGTCTCAGCCTCCACGGACACCAGCAAGTGCCAATACCTTTTAATGGTAGACGAGTCTTTGTTTAGGAAGAGGAACTTACCATTCTATTCCTTTTACTACGTTCTGGCTGACCTGGTAGGACGACATGCTAGTTATATTGAAGGGTAAGTAAATAACTGCGGCCTAGAAAATAATCAGAACGTAAAGATATTAGCCGAAACATGCGGGAACCTAAAAAGGCTTGTCAGAGGAAATTCCGGCTGCTACCACATTACGAATCGATGGGCTAGTTGATGTGGTTGGCGCGTCGGGGCACTCTGGCTATGCTGCCTGGAACTAATTGGAGGGGCGAGGAATTGATTGAGTCAAAAGTTGCATTTGTCTTGAGAAAATGGGACTAGTTATTGAGAGGTAAAATACTAGCTATGGTGATGTTATCTTGTGAACTTTTGCTTTCGGATGCCCCAATCATCTCATCATCGGAGCCCGTTCACCATCGTCGGACGAGGTCCGGGCCATCTACTTGGCAACCAGTGTGTCTTGAAGGCATCGTACCGGAAACTAAATGAGGCGTTGATTGGTTTGAAATGTCTCGCTGACTGCTTCGAGTGATTTTGTCGGCATTTGTAACATAGAGCCAGGGGACCGCTGACGCTCCGAAAGCCGAGGAAACGGGGGTCCGAAAACAACTGCCGGGGGTACGGGTACTTCCGGCCTGGTCCTGAGACGTATGCCTAGAATCTATCTTGGGTTCCATGTATATTTATTACATTCATTTCATCGTGGAGGTTCATCCGAGCTCATGCACACATTCCTAGCAATCTACCGATCACTACCCAGCATCTCGACTCCAAATGCCTGTATCAATCTCGAATTCATTCAAGGAGAAGCTTCTTCGCAACGAGGTAGCGTCTACGCTCAGCGTTCGACTTGTCAAATCGGTTGAGCTGCCCATGATAGCCAAAACTGCTGGCTTCGACGGCATTCTTGTCGATATGGAACACTCATCTTTCGACTTAGAAACGACGTCTCAACTCTGTACAGCAGCCCTATATGCTGGCATTGCCCCGATAGTGCGGGCCCCAAGCAAAAACCCTTTCTTTGTCTCTAGGATCTTGGATGGTGGCGCGCTTGGCATAATTGTTCCACACATTCGCAGCGTTCAAGATGCTCAAGATGTCGTGTCAGCCGCCAAGTTTCAGCCGGTTGGGTCACGGTCGTCGACGAATTGTCTGCCTCATTATCAATTCCGCTCCATACCCGCCAAAGTCTCCAATCCTGTCATGAATGACGCAACTCTTGTCATCCCAATGATCGAAACGATTGAAGCGCTGGACCTTGTCGAGGAGATTGCAGCCGTTGATGGTGTTGACTCTTTGTTAGTCGGCACCAACGACTTGACAGCTGAAATGGGGATTCCTGGGGATTTTGAGAGTCCCATGGTTTCAGAGGCTTATGAGCGCACTATAGCAGCTTGTAATAAGCATGAAAAGTGGGTTGGCATCGGTGGCCTGCATTCGCGGCTAGATTTGGTTGAAAAATTCTGTCAAATGGGTGCTCGGTGGGTGATGGCGGCTACGGATGGGCCTTTGCTGATTGCCGGAGCTTCCAAAACAGCTGCCCAAATGGCGACTTTGAGTGCCAGGGTAATTGAGATGCCTGAAAAAACTTCGTAGGAAGCTTCCGATACGCAATACAACCTCCGGACATCGGAGCAAAGTCTCTACGCTTCTCATGTTTCCTGGACAGGTACTGCTCATCTGTATTTGTGCATGAGCCTTCCAACATAACTTTGGAGAAGTGATCAGAACAAGATGTGCATCACAAGCAAAGTGTTACAGGCAGGTTCCCATGGCAAGATACAGGCCATGCCCATATATCCTTATATGACTTGAGTAAAACGGACCTACAAGTCAGGGACTGTTAGTTCCGAACCTTGTGGTAAACAGCCATGAATTGGGGCCATGGTCCCTTTGATCAGGTGTGCTCAAATGAGTACTACTGTTACCTCCATCGGTGGGGCCAATCTATCACATTTAGGTACTCGTAAATTTTTGTTCGCCAATCTCCAGTCCCAGATCTTTTCCCGCAACGATGTTCAGTCATTTGCGGGTTCATTTATTGCTTTTTTGATGGACAACTCATCCGGCTGAGAAGGATAGCTGGGTAAATAAGGCGGTTTCCAGGTGAGACCATACAGCTAGCTTCACCTGAAGGAGAGAAGCGGGTGGCGATACCTTTCAAGATCTGTTTTAATCAAACTAGGGTGCCCTATAGCGTTGATCGTGGCTATTTCTGATTATTCTGGTACTGAAGATCTGCTTTTTGTAAACTAGTGACTTGTTTGGGAGTTCTATTGTAGTTGTTCGTGGCCCAGTATATCGACCCCTACTCTCTGTCACAAGTAGATTGTGCAGCGTTGCCAAAGTATTCTCGACGCTCTCTGGGATGTTTACATGAGTGATAAATCATTGTACCCTTGGACCATACCCGTCTGCATTATCCCCGAGGCGAGGAATCTCTCCCATCAGCAGATCGACAAAGGGCTCCATGCTCTACATGATGGATGAAAATCGACTAGTTGAGCTTCTTATCCATTTGCCTCGATGTACGAATAGAACTGACTGATGTTTGAGTCCCCCTCCGCGTTCTGCCTCTCAAGACTGACGTTGAGACCACCACCGTGAAAGGAAAATGGGGGAAATTCGAGGACGTCCATACCATTATTAGCCGCCATTTATAAGGCGAAGGACAGTGGTTGCAAGTCTAGATCTAGCGAAGATACGGTAGACACGACTCCTTGGAAATTATTCCACTCGAAATTGTTCGTTTGATAACCTAAGCTTTCCGTGAAGTGTCTGAGGTGTTCAGAGGATTAACCATCGGGGAGACGGGCTGCTGGCTGTAGTAACTCAGGGTAGTGGAATGCTAATGTATTGCAAAGCCGAGTATTTGTTTAAATGTAGCTTCACATGTCCATCCATATGCAAGCATGACGTCCAGAATCATCTACCTGCGACAGCGTTGAGCTCCTTCTCAGGTGCACAGCCACTGGCAGGGCCCCGGGAGGGTGGCAGCCGCAGTGCCACCGGTGATGGATTAACGTTATCCCCGTATAGAGGGAATCAAAAGGGGATTCCAAGCGCCGTAGACTTAGGACAGGCAGATTCGAATGACAGTTAATAGACCCTACCCGACCCCTTCACTTGATACGACGCGGCCTGACACTCCTGAATTCGTGAAGCTTGATGTGACGTTCTAAGTAAACCTTCACGTCAGCCATGATTTTCCAAACCAAGCGGAGGAATTAGGTACTTTTTCTCATGGAACTGGATAAAAAGGTTAAGATAAGGTGCAATATGATAGTTGGTCTACTCACTACCAGTTTACTCTAGTGCCCAGCTCCAGCAATGAGGCCGGTCCGCACATCTGTAGAAGTCTTTTATAGTTCCGGCTGCGCCGCCACTCTTTCTTCCTTCTCGGTAGGATCCAAATTGAGCTCCTTCGAAATTTCGATCACGACGGTATTTTGTCGACTCTGTCCAGGGCCGAGTGTCCAGTCCTAAGCCTTGATTACGTCTGCGTAACGGGCCAAGAAAACAAATGACAGCCTACCCGCACACTCGAATCGCTGGTGCTCCTGGTCGGTCAGCTTTCTACCGTGGAATAACCTTGCGATTCGAGATGCGGACGAATGTCTAGCGTACCAAACCTGATCTTTGTGAGCGGACCAAAGGCCTCGTTAAAAGCGAGCAGGTTGCTGGGTGGCTTTCAAGATACCATCCAGCACTCGCGCGAGATTATGAATTCGCTGATGTGTAAATACCCTGGCCGCGAAGAAATCCCATGCTTTTTGAGTCTCAGTAGTAGGGTTCGATCCGTTCGTAATCTTCAACTCCGACGGGGCCTATACCGCTCCTGGCTCGAACGGAGGTGGCCTGGTCTTCCTGACAGTTCCACGGGCTGCAATCGTTAGAGTTGCCGAGGGGGCATTCAGGTTATAACACGGCCTCGGGGGCTGATTCCCTTGCCACTGCAGGAGGCACGGAGTGAGACCCGCATGCGACTGTTGCATTTCTGCCATGCTACACTACAAGATTCGGACTTTTCATTACATGGCCCTGATCAATAGGTCCGGTTTTCTTCTGCTGCTAGGTGGAAATAGGAGTTGGTCATTTTCTATCTGAACCATCAATTTGATATGATGGTTGCACCTGAAAGTCTGCATACAATCAACCTGGTCCAACCCATGCTGTGAACGAGCGATGTTTCCACACCTAACTTGGCGTTGATTGCTTGACATACTAAGACACCATGGCTTGCTACATCTATTGAAAATTTGAACCCACTACCTCTATTAATAAATAGTGAGACGCTCAGGCGGCTATACGTAGCAGACGCAGGTGCCGCCTGGTGCTACCGATGAGGGATCTTTAATAGAGAAATCGCCGGCCACCGGCATGCAAGACCCGCGCCATATGTGCATTTTGCAGCGAATCCGGGGATATGGATACTACCCTACTATCTACGTTTTCCACATGCATCTACTTGCTACCAGAACCTGAATGCTCTTGCAAATTGTGGAGACAAAAGTCTCAGGATGGGATTTTATTTTCGACTCCAACTAGAGGGGCATGGTTGAAGTAAGATCTTCACTAGAATAATCTAAGGCGTAGAGCATTACAGTCTTGGTAGCGAAGGAAACACTTTGCTTGCTCGTACTTATTTTAACATGCTTGGACTCTTGGACACTGCATCCTCTTGAAACCCAGACCCACGTTAGTTCTGTCTGATGGAGAACGAATGGACCCCAAGCACAACCAGCGTTGTATATTAACCCACTTTTATCCGCGTTAAGAGAAGAAAATTACTTCTAATTAGTAGCTTTATGATCCCCTCCTTATATCTGGGGTCCATTCGTCCCCGATAGGACACTGGGGATGCAGTGTACTACATATTATGCAGCATAAATAGCCCGGGTACCACTGTGTTAGCCTATCTTAGGTACCAAGCCAATGTCGACACCATACTCACACACTCTTGAAGGTGCTATAATACTACTGGAATGTATAAAGGAGCGGGCTTTACCGTTTTTGTCTCCGTGAAAATGATATTATTGTGTTCAAGTCCACACTTTCTACCAGCCTATCTCCAACGGCAGGTAGCCTTCACCGGCCTGGGAAATATTGGTCGGTTACAGTCTAAATACCCCTCGCATTTGATCTTCGAGAGCCCGCCGAGTTAATTTGCCCTTTGCATGAGCATGTAGGGCATATGCTATGATCTTGTCCACAAAGTCCTCTGATCGCCGACTCGATGCAAGATGCAGTGATGCGATCCGACTAATAATCACTTATTTCAGCGACGAAATTGCCGTCAGGCACGTTTTGGAGGCTGCAATATCATGCCAAGATACTCTTTGTGGAGTGGTTGACCATCCACCCATAGGAAACCAAGTCATTGTCAGAGCAAGTCTTGCGGGCCGGGGCTCGATTTATTGCTTGCCCGGTCAGGTTAAGAAGCTGGGTGTGGTGTTTTATGAGGTCATGGATCTAAACATTTGTGCAGTTTTGGCGCCCTAGATCGAGCCCACAGTAGTCAACTACTCTGCGTTCCTGCCGGCCCTAGATCTGACGTGCAGTGCGTCCAGACTTATTGCCAAGGTGGTACGGGTCGAACCGTCATTGGCCTAAGTGACAAGGCACCCAAGGCTGCGATGGCATTTATGCTCATGGCAACTTCTTCATATTCAGCACGGTCGAGGCCGTGGCAGAGGGGCATGCTCTGGCCGGGAAGAAGTGTCTGTGCAGTGCTCGGCTGCACGAGTATCTTGCGTTGTTTTTTCCGGGTGTCTAAGCAGATTATTTCCCACGCATGATGACGGGAGATTATTGGAATCAAGACGAGATGAGTTAAGCTCATATGTCTTGCCTTCAGGTCAACTATCCAACCTAACTCCAGCTTGTCTTGTCGCAGCCACTCTTCCAAGCCCGACTAGCTCGCGAAGATGTTAAGCATGCGATGATTCTCGGGAAAACAGTCGGGATTTGACTACCGGCACTGGAAGTGGCTGATGCAAGTTTTGGGAAAGTCGAGAGGCTGAAGCAGAACAAAAGCGACTATGCAGGCTTATTTGGAGTGTTGCGACAAGAGGCAGGGTTGGCGTAAGAGAACTGATCTTGAGAGCACAGAATGGCCAATCTTGAATTCACGTCTTTCCAAGATCCCAGTATTGTCTTATTAGGTGTCCTTAGTCTGCAGCTACGTAAATAAATAATTAAGCTGAAACCGGAGGCCTATCATTAATGTCACTTTTTTTTAACTACATAATGCAGGTTGTTTCCACCAGTTTATGACTGGCGTATAAACCCGAATAACTAAAGTTTGCCAATGCATTTGCCTACGTCGGTAAAACAGGCAGTTTTGCTGTTGGTAATGGACTATAGAAATAACAGGCGCCATTAAGAGTCTGGGCAGGCCTTCGGATTCTTAGCTAGAATAGACCGAGTTGTCCCCGTTGTGAAATTAGTGCTCCAGTCTTTCCTGAGGTAAGCCATGTCAATCCAAGGGCGTACGTACAAATTCTCAAGTGTGGACAATAAATTTCAGGTCTGTATGGTCCTTTTGTTTGGTTCAATCACCATCCTTCATTGCCGCTGGTTAAAAGCATCGCGTCTCCTTGTTTCTACGAACCGCAGTTCCACTCAACCGTCACTACTTTGGTTCCAGTCTTTCATTAACAAAAATAACGCATCGACAATTGGTAGACGACATGGCGGGGATACCTATTGACGAATAAGATTCCCCAAGAGCCGCTCACAGAGGGAACAATCAGGAGAGCATTCTGCCCATGAATCGCCCCTCCTCGGCCGCTCAAGCATCGTTAGAGACGGATCCTCCAGACAGCGGATTACACGCCTTGGCACAGGTTGTATCGGGTCATTTAGTAGTCGCATTTACTTGGGGTATGCCTCGAGCTTCGGGGTATTCCAGAACTACTACGAGGCCATCCTACCACAATCCCCATCCGATATTTCTTGGACCGGGGGATTCCGAGTTTTCTGTCTACTGTTCACCTCCACGATCTCCGGACGCGCGACTGACGCAGGACTTGCCCGGCCTGTGGAAGTAATGGGAGCTGTCTTGTTGTTACTTGGTACATTTATGACCAGCTTGGCTACTGAGTACCGGCAGATTTTCCTAGCGCAGGGCCTTTGCATTGGTGTCGGCCAGGGTCTGCCTAGTGTGACCCTCATCTCGACGTATTTCTTTCGCAAGAGGGTCTTCGCTGTTACCACCGCAGCTACAGGGACGAGTACCGGTGGTGTCATCTTCCCAGCCATAATACAATATCTAACTCCCCGGATTGGTAAGCTGATTTCCGATATTGGCACTTGAAGACAAAAATCTGACCATGAAATAAGAGGATTTCCCCGGGCTGTGCTGTTAGGTGCATGGGATTTGTTATGTTGGCTATGGTGGTCGTCATTATCACACTCCTTCGTACTCGGCTTCCGCCTCGCAAGTCTGGCCCCTGAGTTGAATGGAGCGCATTCACAGAGCCTTCGTACATGCTGTTCACATTTGGCATTTTCCTCTTATACTGGACCCTTTACTTTGCGGTTTTCTATGTAAGCTTTGCGTTGAAGGTTAATTTTCCTCTAAGTAAAGTATTAATGGCGTTGCAGATTCAGGTTTATGCTATTAAAGAGCTGTACTTATCCCAATCTGCCGGAGTCAACCTGATCATCGTTATTAACGCATGAGGCTTTCTCGTGCGCGCTCCCTGCGGCTATCTAGCCGACCGGTACCTAGGCCCGCTTAATTGCTTGGTTCCATGGGTCGCACTTTGCGGCATTCTAATGTTCTGCTGGGCGGCGGTCCGTAGTATCGCCGAGTTATACGTCTTCGCCTTTTTCTATGGGCTTGCCTCGGCGGCAGCCATGGGCTTGTTCGCCGGCACGGTGCCGTCGCTTACCAGAGACATGGACAAGATTGGAACTAGAGTGGGCATGATACTGACTCTAATAAGTTTCGGTCCGTTGACGGGTCCATCCGTGGCCGGCGCCTTGATCGCACGCACGGGGGGAAGTTATCTGGCAGAGCAGAGCTGGGCTGGGGCGTCGCGGTTGGTGGGTACAGCGGCCTTGATTGCGGCTCGAGTCATCACGTCAGGATTCCGTATAAAGGTAAAAATCTGAAGTTGGTCGATGTTATACAATGTTAGATGTCAAAAAAACTTGGTGTGTTACCGTGCAGCAAAACGGGCAGGCGGGCTAACAGGGCAGAAGATCTACTGACATAGCATACTCCTTCAAATCCTCCATGAGAAAGCAGTCTGCCAACGCGTAAACCCAGCTATTGCCCGTCAATCTATTATCATTTACACTGTAGTTAGCTTAATATTAAGGCTCGACTACGATGCCATCCCTTATATATCTCATACCTCCACCGAGCCTTTAGAGTACTCATTGTTGTAGTTGTGTTCGAAGACTCGTAAGTGGGCATGCATACTCCTTTGCTGTAAAGCGAAAGATCTTCAAGTTCCCTTAGATTAGGGCGCCTTGAGAGCCTTATTAAAAAACCCACTTTGGGTCTCAAGTACTAAGCTATGTGCCCGCAGCTCCTGCTCGCCGACGTAAATCTTTACGTCTGCATAGTTATGATTCTTGAATAATTTGTTCGACCCATCTTTGTTGTGGAGATGCATCGGGCACGGTTGGCCACTTTACTTAGCTATCTCCTAGACAAGGACCTCCCTAGAGTGCTATTCGGCCACTTTCACATCATTAGGGCTGTATTTAATAATAAACTCTCTGAGTAGGGGGTTATTGGTGTGGGAGGCGGCTCTTTTATGCGCCACTCGCTAGTCTATTCTGTGTGCGAGTTGATTTGCAAAACAATAAAAGTTAAATCTTTTAGGAACTAGATTACCACTGCGTCCCGGCTCCTCGACGCGGCCTAGAAACAATACGAATATAGTATATAGAACCCTTTTAGGAGTTTCGGCTCTCTTATCAAGAGACAAGTAATGCCTTAATAGTCACATGTGTCTATAAGCCGCACGACATTAATTATGATAGTATGTCTATGGCTTTATCTAATTTAGCACTACGAAACACACGAGAACTCAAATGACACTTAGACCCTTAATAATACGAGAACCTTAATAGCCCGAGAGCCTTAATAGCCCGAGAACCTTAGTAGCACGAGGAATATAGTTTTCTCCCAAAACCATATTTTATCTCAATCACTGCCCAGCTAGTTATTATCTCACCGTTTTCGGCTATAGACCGGCGCCTCTGCCGTGACCGTTAAGCACTGAGGGATAAGTATTTCCAGCTCTATGACCAGCTCTGGCAATAGAACCTGGCCACTAGGCGCCCTTTCATATTGTCAATTCCCAGCATAGGAAGTTTACGACGCCTAGAATCCCCTTTTAATTCCCTCAATACGAGTATAACGTTAATGCACCACCGGTGGCACTGTGGCTGCGCCCCCGGGACCCCCCGGGGCCCCGCTACTAGCGGTGTACCTAACACTTGAACGCCGACGAGAGACTGGATTCGGGAGCCGAACTGTAATTCAAAGAAGTTTAGCTTAACAAAAAAGGTTTTCCGTCGTTTTTATGTATATATCATATCAACCTGGCAATTAGCAATTAGCGATTAATCACGAGAAGATCCGGGCTTAAGTCTTTTTAAGGGTTCCCTGAAATAGAGGTTTATTATTTCCAGGACCTTCGGCCAGAGTTTAAAGAGAAGGTTAACAACGGTGGATCACGCGTCATGACAAGCCTGTTCTCGCCCCTGTTTCAAATATACTAACACTCGAAAGTATTGCCGAACATGGTTTTAATAACGGATCATCTTATGGAGATTCTATTCGGGTTTTACAAGGAGCTGGTATTGAAGCCGTCATCGCTAAGCTTTTTGCCTCCAGTCCTAAGTTTCCATCCTCAGATACGACTAAATAACCGTTAACATATTTCAGACGAGAGGAACAAGCTTAATATAGGTTTGCTTAATTTGAAACTACAAGACGTAAGTTTTTACGAGATCGCTCCCTTCAAAATTAATCCAACGCCTATAAGTTGATCTCGACCGTATGAATTCTGCTCCGGGTAATCATAGCTATAGGGAAGTTCATTATATTACTATATGCTAAACTATGACTGTAAAGTACGTACTTTTCTAATGAACACGTTTATACGAAAAAGAGAACACAAAATTTCTAAACTCACTTCTCTTATTTAATTAGTTATTTAGCCTCTGTTAGCTATATAGACACGGATTTAAGTAATGTTTCTTTTCGTAGCGTACTAACTAAAACTACGGCGCCCCGCAAACGTACAACAGTGCCTACTTAGGCAATATAACTTAGTCTAATAGAGATTAAAATATTTAAATGTACCCCTATTTTTACTACGTACCTCACTTCTACTAACTACAGAGCTATTTAGTTTTTAATTTATAGAATGAGATTTTATATAGAAATGAACTTTTAGTTCTATTATATAGTATAGACAGCGGCTTAATGTAAGAGACTTTATAACAGCTCTTGGGATTATTAAGTAGAGCCTATACTAGCTGTAGGTATTATTTTTCTTAGCACACATAGTCTCGTATACGGTGTTAACGTCCCCACTAAGAATTTATAATTAAGGATCCAGTCCATCCCTAGACAGACCTATTAATCTTACTTTTCACCGGCCGACTTCACGATTACAGGTTAATTACATAGTATGGCGAAAGTTAAAGTCGCCCTAGAAGTATAGTATGTAAATGATCTACAGGATTAGTATCTGCTTTAATAGAAACGCCGAGGCCTAATAGCAGCAGTTTCGAAAACGACTTACGCTTATCGCCCGCCTTAGCGTCGACTTCTCGCCCTCACTTATCAGCCTAAGCATCTAGACCCTGCTTCAGCAAAGAGGCTCATTTCGGGTTTCAGAATATTTTATGCATTTCGCAAGGTGAGCCTGATGAGATGTCCATTGCTGAGTTGCTTTTAGCCAAGAGCCAAAGTCTATTGCGTACCTCATTTCGTAATTGGGTCTCTATAAGCAGAAGCTCCAGCAATATAAATACCCATGGCCTGCAACCGTAAGCCCAACAGTAAATCATCATAAACACATCTCTCACTCTTCAGGAATTTCCTTACCATCTCAATCACAACCTTTCTTTTTAAATAACACTTACCTTCTACAATCAAGATGAAGTTCTTTCTCACCACCGCTCTTTCACTCATCAGCCTTGCTGCTGCGGGCCCTGTTGTACAGAGAACCGTTTATATCAGTTATGCAGGTCTCAGAAGAGATGGCACTCCTTGCAACCTGGAGAATGAAAGCTGGAAGAACTGCCGTCCTAAAGCCCAACAGGATTGGACTACGGGTTGCAATCCTATCTTGCATTGCCGTGAGGGTTATCCTCCGGGTCCTCAGTGAGCTCTTCAGGGTTCATCTGATTAAAACAGGTTCCTTCGTAAGTGTAATGAGAACTTACCATAGGCGAACATGTAGCTAACCGGTAGTAAAGTCAAAACCATACCATCTGGTTTCAGTCAATGTATAGACTCAGGTAGTCTATAGGGATGGATCAGGTTTTATGTATCGAAAAAAGGGATGGTGGAGGGGTAGAGGGCAAGAGAAAAGGGTAGCAAGACAGCAAGGTTTAGTTAGATACTGTTGGCAATTTATTCTACCACTCGATGCTAGAGCTTCCATTATCCGTTGAGTAACCTGAACTACTAAAGACGCTTTCTTATGCTCTCTTCCTGCCACCACAAAGCTTAGGAACCTTGATGTAATATAAGACCCTCCTGCTAAGCTGATCGTAGAACAGTAATATATGAGGGCAATCATGCTCCATCACACTACTCTACTATTTAGTAATGTTTTTTTTTTTTCGTACGGTACGTAGCGTGCGTGACGTTCAATGTGACAGTGGCCAGAATAGGTTAGCTGATTTTTACTTAACATAAAGCCGTCTTAATCCCCCCTTAGTCTAACATTTTCACTTTTAGAGTATCCTTCCCATTAAGCTGCACAAACCCCTTCTCTTCCTGCCTCCCCAGTTCATCCATCCACAAGCCACCTTAGACCATACCCACGTAACTTGAATTATGGATATAACCGGCCTATCCGCCGCCAGTAGCATGGATGGAATCTTAGGAATCTTAGGAATCTCGAACGAAACTTACGAAATAGTTCCATTCGCCTTAGCAGCTAGTAAGCGAATCTTCTGGACGCTTAACGGCTCTCTTGAGAGCGTAATCTAGGTCGCGCTTAACCCGTATTATGAGCCTGGCGACACTATGGAACCCTACTTTCGCCCTGCTACCGACGGTCTCGCGCTGAGCTGGTATTCCGTATCGTAAGAGTCTTTTATGGAACCCTAGATTAAGATAACTATTGTTAGGATCCGTTGTATCAATTTATGGGAAGAGCTTTGGGTCGAGCTTAACCGCGAATGTACCGGTATAAAGAATGACCCCCGGCGGCCGCGTGCTAAAGATATTTAGTTCGAGGTAACGACTACCGGTATATTTCTCACGATCTATAAATATGTCTCCGCCGTGCACCCGTGGCTTATGGGTATGCGCGAGAAGATCTTAGATTCTTTAAGTAATATTTACAATAAGGAGTTATGGCCGCCCAAGACGGAACTAGCTATTTTGTAATTATGCTGTGGGCCGTTAAGTATTGGTTATGCGGATAGGTGGGCTTATTAGTATAAGAAGCCTAGCCTGGCGGTTACGTTAAGCGAGGCCGAAAAAGAGGTAGCTTTATAGAAAGTTATAGAGAGGTATAAGGTGAGATCCGCGGTACGAGTACGCGAGTTAAAAAGGCTCCGCTAAAAAGGGAATAATTAAGTAGGAAATACGCTCGTCTGCTAATAGTCTCCGCTTTAAATGTCCTAATACCTTAAGGAAAAGGTAAAAGTAAAGGATATAAAGAACTGTTAATGCGTATATATTAAATAAATCGGCCTATTTTGTTTATACGACCGCTCTCTCCTTACCTTCTATAACTCCACTTTTAGACGTATATTAACAATAGGTTATTAGCTTTATATAACTTTAAATTATAACGCACCCCTAGGCCCCGAACCCCCCTATCGGAAGCAACGTATATATAACTAAATAACGATAATAAAATTCTCATTTTCTTTTTTATTAATTAATTATTATCGTTTACGTA